CCCTGTGCCTGATGTTACACTGATGTGCCAAGACAAAGGGGTGTTTATGTAAAACTTGCATCCATGCTGGCTGACTTCTGCTTCCCAGTTTACCTCGCAAAATAAAAAATATACAAGATCCAAATTTTCAAAGTACAGGGCATTGTAAGCAGGATGGTGGTGCCTGTATCATTGAGTTATGTAGAGTTACTACATTCTGAGAAAAACACTTCTATTCTGTTTTATGCAGCTGTGATGTTCAGCAATAAGATACAACTCTTATGGAATAGTCTTTAAAATAGCAGACATTTCCAGTAATCCCATAAGCAGCAGGATCCTTTCTCAAGATCTTATTAAAATAAATGAAGCATTCAGTGCCCATCAAAACACAGGAGAAATAAAGAGCTAGTATAAGTTTTGCGCTGCAGTCCTATGACACTTACTTGGGAGCAACCCACCAACCTCAATAGGACTTACTTCTGAGTATACATGTATAGGATTGCATACTGTTAATGCACACACACACTACCAGCTTCATGCTGTTGTTTTCACTTTAGTAGTCTTCAGATGGGATGCCAGGTTTAACTTGCACAACAGAAAGAAAGTCACATATTCATCGAAATAGATGAGTTGCTTTTGCTCTCTCTCTCTCACTCTTTTAACTTTTGTGTTCTTGGAGACATAACATTAAAGCATGAGAGAGACAGCCAGGGAGAGCATGACGTCCTCTAATCCAACAAGTCACCTTCCCCAGCTCAAACACCAAGTGATTTTCTCTCTCTCTCCCTCTCCCTCTCTCTCTTTCTCCCCTGCCTTATAAGAAAGAAATTGACTTTTGTTTGGAGTTTGTGAAAAGTGGGACTCGGGGCCCAGTCAATGGGGCTCCCCGCAGCGCACTCTGAGTGGAGCCATCTCGAACCAGTCAGCCACGGCACCAATTAATCCGCCCTTTGTCAGAGGCCCAGCCTCAGCAGTAGCAGTGGCAGCAAAGGCAACAGCAACACATTTGGCCATTGTTCGGGCCTTCATGCAATGGGATTTATCCTTTCAAAGAGCGAGTTTTGTCCCAAAGAGTTCGAGCGGAAGTTTCTCACTGACAATTTGCCCCAAATAGATAGATTTGTCAGAAGCAACCTTTAAAAGGAAAGAAAAAGGAAAGAAATGCCACATAATTATTATTTTTATAAGATGCATCTCTCTATCTCTTTGTAGGCCTAGTCTGGGCAGGTGCAGTAGGCTAAGAAGAGCCCATGGTCTGAGGTAGTGTTAAAAATGGGATTGGTGGGATAGATGAGGCGGCTCTGTTCATCTCAAGACAGATGTAGCAAGCAAGCTTCTTTGTACAGCTGCTTTGACTTCTTAAAGCCGGGGGGGGGGGAGGTTTAGAGTCTTTTACATGTCATTGTCATGATTACTACATAGCATTGCATTAGGCCAGGCAGATTTGGCAGCCTCCAAATGCTTCCCTAAGAGGTCAATAAGAATGATCCAAACAGGTTCCTCCAAGACTGTACACCAGACATGGTGGTGGCATTTTTGCATAACTTGATGCAGCTAAGGAGAGTCTGCCCAGCCCAAGAAAAACTGAAAATAGACCTTTGCTATGTTTTTGAGACTTGTTGTTTTACTATTGCCACTGAATACAGCAACTTGTTTGTTCCCAGCAGGAATTACGGAGCAAAACTTGCAAAATCTATAACTCGCTACAGTGGAGAAGGGGACGACAGAGGACGAGATGGCTGAACAGTGTTCTCGAAGCAACTAACATGAGTTTGACCAAACTGCGGGAGGCAGTGGAAGACAGGAGTGCCTGGCGTGCTCTGGTCCATGGGGTCACGAAGAGTCGGACACGACTAAACGACTAAACAACAACAACAACAACAACAGTGGAGTGAAAGTGGGAGCATCCATTTGGTAAGCTTTGTAGCTCATACAGAACAGCACGTACCTGAACACATGCGTATAGACTAGCAGTAAGATATTGAGATCTGTGAGCTGTAAGTCACTTCAAGTAAGATGCAACAGAAGGGCATGGTAGAGACCTAGTACTTGAAATCGCAAGTAGGAACTCAGGTGCTTAAATGCTCTTCAACACAAAAACAAACAAACAAATCATTTTCATACAGAAAAGCTAAATTTCAGAGAGAAGGTTGCTTCTCCCAGCCTTCTCCCTGACCTAGTTGCTCTCTATGTGCAAGAATGTTTTTATAATTATACAGAGGAACATTCAGTTCAGTGAAATTCCAACTGCAATCTGAAATTATACACAGGTTTATCATTGTGAGAATAGGCCACAGAGAGAGATCAATTGTTTTAGGGTGACTTCTGGTTCTTTCCTTTCAGAACGAAAAGATATTTTACAAATCTCTTCCCCCACCCACAAAGGAGGAACTGGGAGCGATTGTACTTTGTGCCTCAAAGACTCAAGTCTCTGAGATCTCACATTTGAAGGGAACAGATTAAGACAGTCTCCAAAACCAGATAAAGGCGTGAAAGGTTTCAGATGATCAGTGGAGAAGTGGCATTGGCTTGAATGGCTTCCTGGTGCTCTCTGAAGGTTGTTTGGTTGGTCCTAATAAAAATATTTCCCAACTGCAGATCTCAAAGAGTGCTGTACTGCTTGATACTTCCTGCCTTAAGGATACATGTGATTCTTTCTCACGTGTATCTGTGGTTATTGTGAAGTATAAGTAGTGACTACAACAAATGTTCTTAAAATTCATTAAGAACATTGATTGATTGACTACAATTTAGTCTAGCAATGCTTTTGGGCTTTACAGTGAATCTTGTGCCCCGCTACAAAAATTGTTTCTCACCACCCACCCCAAATATAAAATTATGTCTTTACATGAGTCCTCACCACCACTGCCCAACAGAAAGACTTATTCCAAGACCCCAGTGCACAGATTCCCATCTAAATGAAGCAGATGTTTTTCTGGTTGGTTCCGTTTGTATGTTGAGCATTTCCTGACTCTTAGTGTTCATATAATGCACCGGTCTATGTCATCTTTATGAGAAGCAAACTTTTAAGGCCACAAAATGTGGTCAAGAAGTAAAGAAATAACTTACATAGCAAGTATCACAACTTTTCACAAACTTGTAGCTACTGGAATTTAATGGAAAGCTTTTGATCTGTCATACAAAAAAATTCAAAGATGTCAAGCTTCACAATTCTGATGCCTCCTATAACCTGGTTTCAGAGAGTCAGGCTGTCAGAATAGTTGAGTGTGCAGGAAAGGTGGGCTGTGAATAAGTCAGGGGTTACTCAGTTTCAACATGTGCACACTGTGTACGATGTGTGAATAGCAAGTGGGGGTAAATTTGTGTTTGCAAACTCTCTCCTGAGAGATATCCACCTGTCTCCTCCTATACTAGTTTTTAAATTGGACTTAGAGATCTTTTAATTTTGATCTGCTTTTAGTTATGACGTGGGCTTTGTGGCTTTAATTGTTTAACATCTCACTTTATCTGTCTTAAGTTGTTTTACCTGGTTTGTTACGCTAGCCAGAAGAGTGTTTTAGATGGTGGTTTTCGTTTTGGATTTTTTTATTCCTAAATGAAATCCACTGTGGCACTTGAGCTCATGGTGCCTTTTCTGTTGAGGTCCTTGCTGCTGACTGTGTTGGCCCAGCTCATTTCCTCCCTCTAGTGAAGAAGTAGGCACCTTGGTTACATATTGTTGAGCATAATTCTTTCACGTATGCAGAAAAGACAAAACAGAAAGGCAAGGACCTGTTGTTTATATATGAGGTGATTTGTTCCTTTAGTCTCATACAGAGCAAAACCCCAGGTGGCCTTTAACAAGTATTCACTAGTTCAAACCACTTGCTGTTAACAGCCTTAAATGCAACAATACTGTATTTAAACAAACGGGGAAAATGGTTAAGTACTAGTGGGATTCCACACTAATCTTCTTGGTACATTTGCAATCATATTTTGCTTTCAAAATATTGTTTCACTGCATGATGATAATCCTTCACAAATGAACCATTATACAGTGGTACCTCGGGTTAAGTACTTAATTCGTTCCGGAGGTCTGTTCTTAACCTGAAACTGTTCTTAACCTGAAGCACCACTTTAGTTAATGGGACCTCCTGCTGCCGCCATGCCGCCAGAGCACGATTTCTGTTCTTATCCTGAAGCAAAGTTCTTAACCTGAAGCACTATTTCTTGGTTAGCAGAGTCTGTAACCTGAAGCGTATGTAACCCGAGGTACCACTGTACCTAGAATGAAAAGTGCTTATGACAACACATACTCTTTGCTGTGACGCCTTGCAGTTGCTTAATAGATATTATGACTTCACACCATGCACCTCCCATAACTCTGGTTCATTGGCATTCTTGTTAAAGCAAATAAATTAGAATCTCGTGTGTGCTTTACCCATGTGTTTACCATGTCAAATTGCACTATGATCTGTTATAATACCAGTACAACCTCTGCTCATATACCTGTGCTGCAATGAATCAGTGCCTCTGGCTGTTAACCAGAAGGTTGGTGGTTCAAGCCCACCCAGGGAAGGCTGTGGGCAGGATTCCTGCATTGCAAGGGGTTGGACTAGATGCCTCTTGGGGTTCCTTCCAACTCTACAATTCTATGGTTCTTTGAATGAGTATGCTAAACATACAATGTAAAATTATGCATGCCGCCATAGACCATGGTCAGAACTCTTGTAGTCTCCCTCCGTCATTCTCTCTCACATACGTACACCAGTTTTTTAAGTAGTGAGAAATATTGTACACTTCATTCCACATCCTGAATATGGATTTAAATGGAACTTCTACATAATTTCAGACATTGATGAATATATGAGGGCTTCAACAAATAAATGGTACTTTCTATATGCAACAAGGACTTCTTTTCCCTGGAAAGATGCTGTGCAGCAGGTAGGATGTAGAATCTCCCATCTTCCACAGAGTGTATTCTCCATTTCTGAAAGCTGAGCAGGTGTGCATGCAGAGTTCTGTCGCATCACAAATACAGAACACTCTATAAGCACATCACTGCCTTATAGAATTTTGGGTCATGCATGCCTAGTATGCTTAGAGTGGGTTCACATTATGCATCGTCTTCTGGAACTGGATACATATGGATCTCCTCTGTGATCACAAACATACTGAAGCTGTTGTTTATGTAACAGTCATCCTGGAGGGAGTTAATAAGAATTCAGGTGATAACAATCACAGACAAATATTTGTTAGTAGACCTCGTTCCCTTCTAGTAGATCCCATAATGTCAGCATATAACATGACTTTTAGGAATTAGAAAATGTTTTAAATATTATTGGTCATGAATTTCAACACCACAGTAAAAGAACAGTGCCATGAAGATGGAACATTGATCTAACAGTAGCTGTGATATCATGAGGACAAAGGCTGCTGATTCATTGGCTCTTTGGTATATGACCATACATACAAGCTGTAGGTGTTTTTCTGATTTGATTGTTGTAGGTCTATTAGCTTAGTTTTAATTGATTATTGGCTGTTGTTTCAGATGGCAATTGTAAGTACTGCGAGCATTATTGACCACTGATAATGGAAAGAACAGAGGAGAATATTTTAAATAAAGTTGCACGGACCTGATAAGTGAGTATTAGCCATGTGGGTTATTGCGCCAAACAGAAGCAATTTAAAATTGCATTTATTAAATAACTTTGAAACCTGATGTGTAGGGAGATGCTGTAATATTGCAACCAATTAATTGGCTGAAAGCTGGGTTGCTGAAGGATGCTCCCAAATGTTAATTTGCCCAAATTTTAAACATTTAAGAAATCTTGCTTAGCCTGCAGGTGCCACTGAGTGAAGCTAAAATTACACCCAGAGTCTTTTGCCATGCCTTTACCAGCCTGACATGCAGGATTTTAGTCCCCACCCCCCACCCTTGTCCCTGTGCCAGTGCAGGGAGCAGAGAGAGCTTCACCTGCATAATATCTGTGTGTCAGGCTGTTGTGCTGTCAAAGGCAGAGAGCCAGGGCCAGGACAAAGAAGAAATAAAAGGTGATAGCAGCCTAAGTGAAGCACAGCTTCCCGCTCTTTTAGCAAACACTGTGAGGCTGTTACCCACACTAGGTCCATTTTCTCTGGAAGTAACCTTGGCTGAAGTCACCCACTGAATCAATAAATATACTCTTCGAAGAAGTGAATTAACCAGTCAATCCAGACCCCTGTTAGAACCGCTTTGTGAAGGGAATTTGTCTCCCGATGTACTGGCAGGTCAGATACCAATGGAGGCAGACAAGCCAGTCCAGGGCTGGCATTTTCTGAAGGCATATATGTGATTAATGGGGCGTTTCATTGCTGCAAGTGAACTGTGGCTGAATTGCCTGCACTGCTTCATCTCTGAATGGAGGGAGCAGGAGAATGCTTGGTGACTGATAGCTTTTGTTTGCGTAGGCAGCCTGGACTCTGGTATTACTCCTCCCCTTGCCTCTCCTTGAAGATGCATTCACAGAGAGCGAGTGCTTTGCAATCGGTCCTCATGCTTGCTCTGCTGTCAGGCAGCTGAGCTCACCTGGGAGTCACTTCTGCACACTTTGGATTCTTTGGACTCGACTTCCCAAGAAGCTTCTGTCTGGTCCGACAGAATGGATGGATGGGTGGGTGTAGGGTTCATTTCCAAAAGGATTCTGTACTTACAATGAAAATTTGAGGCCAAAGTAGAAGTTATCCTGCCGCAAAAATGGCCCGTCCTTTCCCCTCCATAATATCTCGCAGAACTTTCCCTGTCTCTTGACATCAGGACATTTTTCACTTCTCTGTCCTTGTTCTAATGCAGCTGCTGTAGAGATGTGTATAGAAACTTGGAGAGGATATATTTATTCAATATTATCCTTCCTTCCTCACGTTTGTGAGTTCAGCAAAGTGCATCCATTTGCAGCTTAAAATAAGGAAGTTTTGATAGTCTAGTTTTAGTCTTTTAGTTTAAGTAATCCAGGATGCTTTAATGCAGACTGGATTCTCCTGGTCTTTCCCTTTTTCTCCCCTTAACACAATCATCACACAGTCTTGTAAACAGTAAATATAACATTTACTCACTCAGAATACTTGTTGAAGACTAACAGATACTGCAGCCTCGTTCAGGCAGGCTTAAAATGATCATCAGGTTACAAAGACATACTTTAGTCTAGTTTAAAGTGGTGTCTGAGTAATGGGGCTTAGACATCCAGATGTTTTACATTGGTGAGATGAAGTGCAAAGAGGAAGTGCCCAGCCAGGTGGAGAGATTGTATGTATGTATGTATGTATGTATGTATGTATGTATGTATAGTCCCTCCCCCTAACAAGGCACTGTGGGAGTGTCTCTCTGGGTCCTCTCTAAGAAATTTACAGCACTCTGAGCTACGGCTCTTCTCATGTGCCTACCCAGCAAACATGCATGGTTGGTTTTTGACTGCATTGTAAATATCTCACAGCTACTGCTGATCCAAGCAAGGAATTGTGGACTCGAGGGAAATTCTGCATATGTTGCTGAAAGGGAACATGGACCTGCAGTTACCATTTTCAATAGCACCATGGATTGGGGAGTAGCATTTGGTTTGGTCTTAATTCCATGCAGCTCAAAGAGCACATAAGCTGAGGTCTACGGATCCATTCTAATCATTCTGATGGATTCTAATCAACCAAAACTTTAATCACCAATTATAATCCTGAATTGCTTGTTTCTCATTCCCTCTGTTTTTGGTTCAAGTCTTTATTTGCTTGCGCAAATGTAGCCAATATGGAACCACACACACACAAGAGAGTAAACCCAAACTCCACATAAGTACCAAAAATCTGTAGGAAAGAACCATAATTGTGGAAAGTGGTAGGGGGTGTCAAAACAGTCCACTGATGACTCAGTGTGCATGGAGTCCACCCCATGGATGTTTGATAGATGAATGTTGTTGCATGTCAGGGTGGCCTCAACTCTGCAGACAGGGATTTGCCAGCTAGCTGGCAGAGGGCATATTTCTACCTGCATATTGCAAGGTCCAGCCCAATAAGTGGTGTTCCTCTACCTAAGCATCAGACTGTTGGTTTGTGGACTCGGATGACACAGGGCGGTTCCATAAGGCTTCATACACCTGAATCAGAATCCCTCCCAATAACCTTTTGCTTTGTTAGGGGGTTGATTCTGGTGGCCCCATAGCAGAGGTGACCACAACAAGACCATGCAGTCTGGAGAAGCTTGCTGCTGCAAGCGCCTGAAACAAAACATAACCTGCCGTCTCACCTATGCAGTTGATCTCTTCTTTCCCCCTCTTCTTTAAAAGAAAGAAAGAAATCATTTCCTCTTTTAAGCAAAGGGATTATTTACTGCAAATCCGAAAGCAATAAATACACCATGACCAATTCCGCAAAGAGGCTCACAGCCAAAGGATCTCCCCTCCTCGTTATGTCGTTAGAGAACTGTAGCCGATTTAATTAAACGTGCTGACTGCTGATCCGCAGCAAGATCTGCGGCGCCTGGGGTAAAAACATCCCCTTGACATGCACGCGAAACAATGCCGCCAACCCTTTACATCCCCCCATCGACTGATGGGATTGAACGGGAGGGTCTCTCTCCAGACTCCCCTCCTCCTTTCCGCGCGGACACCCCCCTATCGAAGCGATGTAAAGCCCCCCAAAGCAGCCCCCTTCCCTGGGAGAGGTTAATAAGCTCTTGTTCTACTGACAGAGCCTCTGATTGGGTTTAAAGTTCGAGTTTAGTAATCTCTTAAAGATCAGGGGCTCGGATAATGGCTCTCTTTGACTAGGTCCTTTTTATCGTTTGGGGGCTGAGAAGATGGGGGGGCAACTTAGGACGAGCCGGTGTGTGTGTGTGTGTGTGTGTGTGTGTGTGTGTGTGTGTAAAAGAGGGACTGCTGTAGATCTGGGCAAGAGCCCCCCATCCTCTGAGCAGAAGGGTCTACTTTGGTCCCCTGTGGAATCAAGAGGCAGAATTGGGACCACAGCTTCCACTTACTGACTGTCTGAGGGCATCCTGCAGAATTGCTTGATCCCGGGGTCCCAGATAAGGAGCTTCCTTTAAGAGGCTGGTGTTAGTTCAATGAAGTTTTCTGAAATCGTGGTGGCGCTGGGGTTACCTGCTAGGAAAGGTTTGTGTTCTGGAATAAGAATTCATTGTGTATCTTACGATGGATTGTTAAATCTATTGTTTTAACCATTCGCTTTGGTTGCATTATAATAAACCTTTGGGGTTCAAAAGATAAAAGAGGGGGGATAAATATCCAAGTTTGCATAAAGTACATTAAAAAACTTTCTCATCCAAATGAAATAAATCTCAAGTACAGTGGTTTGTGGAAATGGGATCAGATCTGTTGCCCGTTGGTGTTCCGTTCTGTGTGGATGTCCAGTCTTTATGAATAAACTCTTCCCCCTGGGATATCAGAGATGGCTACCATTAGAACTCAGCCATAGCAGGAGTTGGGGGCTCGGGGTGGGACGCGCGATTAAGGCCACCTGTTTAGAGCGAAGACTCCGCGTTTCGGATTGGCTGCTTGTTCCAGATTGCGATGAGATGGGGAACTTTCATCAGATCATACGGACTAGTCCAGGCGTAGGCAAACCTCGGCCCTCCAGATGTTTCGGACTACAATTCCCATCATCCCCGACCACTGGTCCTGTTAGCTAGGGATGATGGGAATTGTAGTCCCAAACATCTGGAGGGCCGGAGTTTGCCTATGTCTGGACTAGTCACTTGGGGAGATTTTGCCTGCTGCTGTGTCCTGATGGCTCAGTTCACCATTTACTGGGTAAGTCGCTTGAACGAAAGAAGCATTTCTAGCGGGTGGGAGAATCCTTTCTTCGGCTACTGCAGTGACCTGATAGTCGTAAAGTGGGGGGCGGGGGGAGAGCATTGCTTGCGGTGCGTAATTCCTCTAAGAGGACATGTGTAGACTGGAAGATCTTTGGACCTGCAGCATCGCTATCATTCTAAGCCAGCCTCCTTCAACCTGTTGCCCCTCAGCCCAGATGATCCGGACTCCAACTCCCATCAGCCCCAGCCAGCACGGCCAATGGTCAGAGATCTTACGGTAGTTGTCGAGCAACATCCGGAGAGCACCAGCTAAGGGGGATGGTGTGCTGGGCAAACCAGATCACAGCCGTGCTCACATAATCGTGCTTCAGTCTTGGGAACCAGCTATGCACACATAAGTATATAGACAGATGCCCAGACACACCTGCATGCACTTCTGTTTTGAACGCCTGCCCCTGAAGAACAGCCGGGGAAGCCACTGGCTGGGGCGGGGCGCACTTGCTTTTGGCATAGGAAAGGTCCCCTACAAATGGTCTGGTTCAGTTTTCCATGTTCCTTAGGAATCCTGCGTAACCTAGTGAAGTACTTCGAGGGCGGGCAGATGATCCAATCACAGCCCTGACTAAAGGGAGACCATTATTTTCCGAGTGTTCCCATCACTCCTTACAACAGCCTTAACCTGTAGGCCGACAGCATCAGCAGCGCCCACGTGGCTGCGCAGCAAAAGCTGAAGACCTCGCAGGAGCTGCCTTGGCGTTGGGGCCCAGGGCGAATTGCAGGCCGAGCTTCACCACCGGGAGGGGACTTTCCCGCCCCAAAACTCAGGACGAGGAGGAACCGCAGGACCACCACCACCTGAGCATCATCATCCAGGCTTCAGAAGCTGGTGGGGCCCGATCCACCACGCACGTTTCTGTAGCCAAGAAAAAAGAGCCACTTCTGTTTCCTACAATGGCTTTCTTCAAGGGAGTGCGCGTAGGATGGAAGCTTGGAAGAGCTCTCGGGATCGGGAGCAAAATGGAATGGGAGGGGAGTTAGAAGCAACCCCCCCCCCATCGCCGCTCCCCTTGATCCCCCCAACCTGGCCGAAGAGGCTGGAGCCTCGCGCACAGGCCATCTCTCGCCCCCTGGACTCTGAAGCGCGCCCCCGCCTGGCCGGGAGGGACGCTTTCCTTGGAGAGAGTCCCGAGGGAGGCTGGTTGACCAGGCTCTCCATTAACAAGTCAACCACGCCGCTGAGGAGGGAAATCGGACTGTAGGAGAAAAGATCCCTTTTTTAAAAAAAACTTTTTTAAAAAATATGTATTTATTATTTGTTTGTTTATTTTTGCATCCAAGGCTGGTAAGAAGCAAGAGAGAGAGAGAGAGAGAGAAACGCTCCGGACTCGCCTTTTCCAAACTCCTGTGCAGAAGCCGCTGGGAGGTTCATTAATAGCATTAGAATTTAACACCCCCCTCCCTCCCTCCCACCCAGCTGACGTCACGCACATCGCCCAGCACTGGCTTGCTGTGAAGGTGGTTGGAGGGAGGGGGGGCGAGATGGGGGAAGAGGAGGGACGGAGGCGAGAGGAGCCCCCTCCCCCTCCCGGCGGGCTGCCTGTCAGCGCTCCCGGGGGATATGATAGGCGCTTCAGGCTGGAGGCTCAAAGCACAAAGTCAGCCCGTGTGGTGAACTTCTGGAAACCTTTCACTTTTTTCCCTCTCTCCGCTCGGTGCCATTCACTTTCTGAGAACCAGACCCTGCCTCTCCTGACGTTGCCCCCCCCATCACCGCCACCCCCGGTTCCTTTTTATGATTTGCCCGCCTCTGATCTCTGCCTCGGCGCCCTGAGCCGCGCAGCGCAGCTCCGGCGTCCTCCGCTCGCCGAGCCCCCCTTCTTCTCGCCAGCCCCACCGCGCCGCCGCCCCCTTCCTCGAACCCTCCGGAGGGACGACGACGACCAACTTCTCCTCCTGAAGAGCCACCGGCGTCCCCTTTCCCTTGGAAAAGAAGCAGCGAGCGAGCGAAGCCAAACTCTCTCCCCCCCCCCCCCGCCCCGCGCCCCGTCAGCTCCTCCCGCCAAAAAAAGAAAAGTTTCCCCTCTCTCTGCCAGGCAGGACCGTCCTCTGAGGAAGCGGAGAAAGTGATTTCGGGAGGCGGGAGGCGGGCGAGGAGGAGATGCGTCGCTTTCGCCCGCGGGAGGAACCCTGAGGCAGCTGCCCCGAGGGAGCCGGAGGAGAAGCCGCAGCGCCCGCTCGCCGCCTCCGGAAAAGAAGCCCCAGCCGGAGCCGCCGCCGCCGCCCCGAGGGACTCCGCCATGAGCAAGCCGGCGGGATCCACAAGTGGGTAACGCGCAGCGGGGGGGGGGGGCGCGGGGGGGGCGGCGAGTGCCTTCGCAGCCACTGGGCCAGGCTGGGTCCCTCTCAGGCGGCGGGGCGGGGGGTGTCCTCTCGCTCCGAGTCTGGATCTTCCGCAAAGCGCGCTTCCCGGGAGCAAACCTACGCGGAGAGGCTTTCCTCGCAAGGGAGTCTGCGGAGGATCGCGCTGCGTGGCTTTGGGATTTTGGAGGTTGTTGTTTTTTCCGAGCCTGTAATGAACTTCAGATTTCCCCTTTCTTATCGCGGGGAGGGGGGGCAAGGATGGGGCGCTGGTAGGTCGCGATCGAGTCAACTAGTTGCGCACGCGGGTCGCTTTCCCACGGCGGAGATCGCGATGCCGATCGACCTGCGCAACTTCCTTCTGCTGCTCTTAATCCGTTTTAGAAAGAGAAGGGAGAGCAGCCCGAAACTTCGGAGTTGAATGCCAAGGAGGAGGAGGGAGGGAGCCGTTCTCTGGAAAGAGGATTTGACGGGAATACTTTGCACACCATTTCCAGCCTTACCGAATAATCCTGCGAAAGGGAGAAGCAGAAACAACTTAAAAGTCACATTTCCCTTAATCCTAAATCCGGGTACACCTCATAACGGAGGGATTTCTTTCTTTAAGTCTGATTGACCGCTCGGGCTAGGAGTTGGCTTCAGACTCCAGAAATCCAACAAGGGACTTTGGGGGTGGGTGTCCCCCCTCTTTTTTTGGTCGTAATATGCATAATAGGGTCAGTAGCGTACACGATCTAGTTTGATGTAAGGCGACTGGTGAACCAGGTCATTTTAGGGCGAGAGCGTGGGGCCACGGTGACTTTTTTTTAGCAACATCAAAAATGCCTTTGGAGAAAAAGAAGCACGTGCGTGTAGAAATGTCTCCCCCCAAAAAGGGCGCATTTGAGCTCACGAATCGTCTCCCTTTATTTCTTCTCCATCCTCTTCTTCCTCCTCTTCTAGGGCGTTTGTTGCTTGCTGTAACTGCAGACTAACTTTATTCCGAATTATCTGGCATCGCTCGATATTGACTCGCCTTCGAAACTTTTCCCCAGAGAGCAAAGTATATAAGAGAGGATATTACACTCTCTCTCTCTCTCTCTCTCTCTCTCTCTCTCTCTCTGTGTGTGTGTGTGTGTGTGTGTGTGTGTACACCACCATCATCACGACAAAAAGAGAAAGTAAAGTTTTTTTCTGTATTTGAGGATCACCAAAATATAGTTTGGGTCTGGGAGAGGGGAGGTTAGCGGGATGGATCTGATAGCAAAATCCCTTTGGATCCATCTAGAGCAAACCTCTCCCGTCTGTTTTCCCGCAATCTTTGGAGGGGTCAGGGGACGGTACATCCGCGTTGCTCTTGCCAGGGGACGTGCAGACTGTTATCTAAAGAGAGGTGGAAATTATTCTCGGGCCAACTTTGTGAAATTATGGAGGCTATGGATAATTTACTCGAGAGTAGTTCTACTTTCAACGGAGCTTCCTCCAGGTCACCGTGCATGGAACTGTCGCCTTACAGCTCGATTCTTTATATCTGTTACCTTAGAATTTAGTCGCCAGGATCCAGTGGGCGTGTGTTCAAAGTTTTTGCAGCTTTTTGCCGCAGCCCCCTGAGCTTGGCCTTGTTGTTCCGCTAGTCCCTGGGGTTGAACCAAACTGCCTCGGGGAGATGGGCTTCCCAAGTGTCCTCGTTACCTCACCTCCTTGGGACTCTGTCGCCTCTTACACTGAGGGCCATCACAGGTTCTTTCGGATAACTTTATCCCTAAGGAGAAATAAAGAATGTGGTGTAAACCTGGAAGGGATGTGTGTGTGTGTGTGTGTGTGTGTGTGTGAGAGAGAGAGAGAGAGAGAGAGAGAGAGAGAGAAATGTGTTAGGACACTGTTTCTTTCTTTCTTTCTTTCTTTCTTTCTTTCTTTCTTTTCTTTTCTTTTCTTTTTAACTAAATGCGATTTCTGTGACCTGGGAATGAGATCCCTAGAGTGGGGTCGGGATGTTACTTCGAAGTAAGTTTCCTTCATTTCAAGGGGGCGAGACGGACTTCTCCTGCCCCGTCTCCCGCGGCTGCAGCCCGCCCGGGATAGCTTAAAAACAAAATTAACTTGGCATAACGGAATAAACGCCGCTGGAAGATTAGCTCGGGGGGAACTCCGTCCCGGCCAGTTTCCCTTTGCTGGCATCTTAACTTGCCATTGATCCGCCTTAAGGCTCCAGAAATGATCCAAACGCAACGTTTTTGCAGCTAGGAGGGTTTTATTACGTGGTCAGCGAGTTCTTTCCTCCAAACAAAAAAACAAAACCGGACTGTGTTCACAATCCTAACTGAGATCAATAAACAAAAACCAAGCGCCGTTGGTTTGAATGACATTGGGTTGCTCTCTGACGCGACAGCCTTGATTTTAGGTGATTGGTCTCAATCTGCGGTTTGGGGGGGAGGATTCAAATGGATTAAAAAATAATAATCAACCCAGAGACTTTAAGCTGCTCGGCTCTGTTTGGATCGTCCCCTGTTTATGAGTTGGGGAACATTTTCTAATTCGGGGTATGCGCAAACTTGGTTATTCTGCAGGATAGAAGCTGCGGCTTCTCACGCCATTTCCTCCCTGGCGGACCCCTCCCCACTGATCCCTCTGGCCTTTACTCCCCCGCAGGACCTCGGCCCTGCCTTGAGGAGGACTGGGGCGATCTCCTGCGCCCCTTGGAGGGAGGGCGCCCCTCGCCAGGCCTTGGGCAGCCCGTCTAGTCCCGTGCCGTGGCGCAGAAGCGGCCGCGTCTCCTCCGGCCTTTGGCGCTGGCTCCGCTTTCCCTTCCGCCAGGCTGGAGTGATGTCAGATGTGATCTCTCTGCTTGGGTGGTAACAAGACCCCGTCGAGGAGTCCTCGCAAAGCAGCCTAACTTCTTTCAACAGCCTCTGATGGTAATTACAGTAATCGAAGCTGCCATATATCTTTAAGCAATTACGAGGCGCGCACACACACACAAAAAAGTGCCCCCGCCCCGGACGCCCCGTCGAGGGATGTTCCAAACGGTTTCCCAGCGCCGCCCGAGCCGCGTTTGTCTTTCCCGTTAGACTTCTGGGGCCTTTAAACAGGGGTTAATCAGTTATCTGGTGACCTCGTGTCAAGTTAACGGGGTCCCTCGTTCGCCTGGCATCCTTCGGAATTTTATTCTCAGCACAGGAGCCATGGTTGCTGGAGGTGGGGGGAGGACACATTAATGGGCTGAGAGACTGACACCCACCCTCTCCAAATGCCATTAAAATGGTGGAGGGGGTAAGCGGAGGGCAGGGAGCCAAAGTTTGCTGCAGAAGAGGACGGTGGCGAAGGCGAGGAAAGAGGCACTGCCGAAGTTGAGACCCGCAGGGTTTCAATGGCGAGAGTTTTTAAGCTTCTCCTTTGGAATTCGTAGGATTTAAACGCGCTGGATTGTGGCTGGATTGCCACCCGCCCCCCCGCAATTATAGTAGGCTATTCTGTTGCCTATTTCGGTGTGCAAGGTTTAAGATAGCAATGGAAGGAGAATAAGGAAATTATAGAGACAGCGAATCTAATACCCAGCTTATCCTATCTCCTGTCTGAAGTGGGTGCCTGGTTGCCAAATAAGCAGGCATATTCAACGGGCACCAATACAATATAAGCACTTAAAATAGAGCAGAAACAAGAGGTCAGATATAGCTAGCTACGTTGGGCGTCGCAGAGAGGAGAAACAATACAAGAACAGAGCAGAATCGATCCAGAATCTGGAGAGGGCGAGCGGATCCGGAGGTGTTTAGAGGAATCCTCCCGGGCATTAATTAAGGCCATTAGTTTTTCCGCAGGCCGCGGGAAGAAATTCCGTGGGCGTGTGTTTAATATAAACAAACTTAATGCAAATAAGGAATATACAATGTGGTGTAATACGTGGGGGTCCCAGTGAAATTAAAAGTTAAACTGTGGCTGAATTGGCTTGTCAAAATTGCATGCCTTTTCGGGGACGCTAAAACAGTTGTGCGTGTTCCGTTATTCTGTATTCGCCGCTGGAATATTTTGCCGCCCTCAATTTTCCTAGGCACTTTTACTCTGGATTAGGATAGCAGAGCGGCTTACTCCCAAGTAAACGAGCAAAGTTTTACCATCTTAACCCTGTGTGCGTGCGCGTGTGTGTAAAAATACACGTGGAAACAAATCCCTTTGAACTTAGAATAACTTTCTGCTCAGAGGAAATATTATTAGAAACCGGCTACAATTGCACTTATCCTGCATTCAGCCCCTGAGGAGTAAATTGGGCTGCTCCGAAGTAAGAGCTATACATTTTTAAAATATTTAAATTTAGGAATTTAAACGTTTTTTTATTTATTCTAGATATACAACTAGGGGCTTTAATAGTTATACCTCAGGTACTCCTAAAAGAGCTATTTCAGATTTTCTAAAATAGTTATGACTCTCAGGGTCGTAACTATTTCCCTATTTTATTTCCCTTTTTCTTTTTCTTATTTTTTTAAGCAAACCCCTAGAACCAAGGGGCTACGATTTGGGGAATGGTATCTCCAGAAATACTAGGAAGTAAACTGGTTATTTACTTTACACTTAATATGATGTTTACCGCCCTCTGAATATATTTGCGACTAGATCCTCTGTTGGCTCAGAAGGAAATCCGATGGATTTCATCGCGACTGGAAGCCTGGTTAGACTATTTCAAGCCAGCGGCTCGCAGTTACAGGGACGGCTTTGGGTCGGACGCCTTGGGGGACAGAGCCACCAAAAGGACGCCCCCCGTTCTGGAGAAATGTCGCGTCCTCAAACTCGATCCTCTGAGGTTTTTTATTTGGAAGTGAGCTCAAGGATCCTCCCCCCCCCCCCGTGCAGGGGGATCTCATCCTCGGTGGCGCGGCACCTCCCGCCTGCACTTCGACGTGAAGTCCTATCGCTCGGGCCTTTGAAATCGGTTTGTGGGGCAGAGACAGAGAGAGATGGGAAAGAGCGAGGCTGAGATGCGCGTCCTCTGTGCAAGTGCAAAAAAATAAAAAGCGAGGAGCGGGGGCAGAAGCCCAGAAGGCGAGTTTTGGATTTGCATAAGGAGTTGCGCGCGTTTTGTCCGATTAAGGAGCGGTGAAATCCAACGCCGGGGGATGGTACCATGGCATGTCCGATTTCCTTGCCTTTTCCCCTCTTTGAGAGTGGAAAGTCCAGCAGTGGCTGCCTGAAGGACGTGCGGGGGGGGGGCAGAGAGAGAGAGAGAGAGCCGGCCAAGAGCGGTGTGAGAGGCAGGGGAGGGGCGGGAGGAGGCGGGGGGGGGAGTCGAGTGCTCTCCCCTGTGGCCATTGTCTGCAATGCGAATTCCCATGCTACTCTTTTTGACGGGTCACTGGTGACCCAATAGGCAGGTGGCAAGGAGGGCGTGTAATTACACAGCTCTAGAAGCCAAGCTTGGCTCGCCCGGCTCTCCTGGAGATCGCTTACCTTCCCGCTCCCCCCCCCCCGCAAACCACCACCCACATTCACACAGCAGCCAAACTTCACTTTTCATCTCGAGGGGGAGGGCTGAAGATTCCTGAGCGTTGTCCTTTCCACGGACCTGTTGTGACTGATTCCCCCCACTCTCTCTCTTTCCCTCCTCCTCCTCCTCCTTGGAAGGATCCCTCCTCCCTCCCTCCTTCCCTCGCGCCCCCCTCTCTCCGCTTCCCAGCGCGCCCCACCACCTAATCCCCCTTCCTCCCGCCGGCCCCGCATATAGCAGCTGTCGGGTTTCATTTGGAGGAGAAGCGGGCCGCGGCTGGCAGCTTGCGCTGATTGGAGGCAGTCAAACGAGTTCTCCATAGGGGGAAATCATTAAGTTAACACGTTATCTAATGTCCCTATTGTCTGCCGGGGAGGCATTGTTTCAGGGCCCCGCCCCAAGCCCAGAAGCCAGGTCTCGGAGCAGCGCTCTCGCCGGCCTCGCTGCTCCAGAAAGCGGAAGAATCTGCTCGGAATTCCGTGCCCCCCCTCCGACGACGCCATTCGGGCAACCAGCCATCCCAGACACACACACACACACACACACACACACACACACACACACACACACAGGTAGAGACTGGAAGCCCCGTCTCCTTTTCCGAATATTCCTCTTGCTCTCTGCCCGCTCAGCTGCAAAAAGATGGTGTCTTGCACCTAAATCTTCCAAGTCCCTTCGACTTCATTGCGCCCCATCTTAAGAGGCTTACAGCTTTCAGGCTGCCCTCCCTGCAAACATATGCCTGCCCACTCACAAGGGAGCCCCACTGAGTTCAATGGGACTTACTGCCAGGTAAGTGGGGATTGGACTGCAAGCCTAACTTGGAGGCAAGCCCTCTGCCGTGCGAAGGCCGCACACCTCTGCTCTACACCTGGGAAGTAAGCCACCTTGAACAGAGCAGGTCTTTCCTCTGGGTTGCAAATGTATGGGACCCGGCACGAATCCGATCCGTAGTCCTCCTCACGTTTTACAATGCCATTATTATTTTATTGTAACAAATACATTTGCTCCAGAGCATGGGAGTGAAAGGGGGACAGCTGCCCCCACCAAATCAAGCAAATAAATAAAAAATACTTAATTAACTGACCAATTGCGTCGTAGATAATTCGGTTCGCCCCCCCCCACAAAACCGCCCCCCTCTAAAATAGGTCCAGGCTACGACCATGCAACCCTCTTAGGCGCAACGCAATCCTTTGAATGCCTTAGCTGTTTGCAGAGTGTATTAGCCGGCAGTACGTAGGATTGCAGTCTCCGTGGGGCCTCCCGTTGTGGCGGGGCTGGAAGGGGCTGCAGCTTCAGAGATGAAACTGCCGCTGGGACATTCCCAAACTTTTCCTCGAGAACTACCCGTTGACCTTTGAAATGCTGCTCTCACTTTTGAACAGCCCGGTCCTAAGCGCCTTGAATTTTGCTGGCAAGTTCCAGAGGCTGTAACGTAGCTTTGCCCACAATCGCAGGCTGACAACTAAACTTTATCCCAAAGGCATTTGCAAGGAGGGCTTGGGGTCCTCGGAAACGCCCCGGATGAAACGATGGTGGGCTGAGATGATCGACCAGTAGATGCTGGTGCTTGCGGGTATCAGCTTTGAGCCTGTTCCTTTTAGTCAGGTGAGGACGCGGTTACTTGAGAGTAAGGACCGTTGGCATCAGTAGGACTTTCTGGCTGAGAAAGTTTAAGAGTGTGGGGTAAGAAGAGAACTGGGGTGTATTATTAGGTGAGGGTTCTTCTGCGACACAGAACATTAAGGCATAACTCACCTAATGCGAAGTTCCCGTTTCCTTAGTCTGGGTTTGTAAAGCACCGGCTGCGCACCACAGGATGGCGCAGCGCAATCCTAAAAGTGTTTACTTAGCAGTTTCCCCCAGAGTATGACTGGGCTTTGCCCTAGTCATCGGACAAGCCTCTGCCTGCTTTCTCGTAAGCAAACCCCATTCGTTCCCTTAGGACTTAACACCTGACAGGTTAGGTTTGAGCCTCATGTCTTTAGGAATGTGCCCTTAATCGAAATAAAACCTGGTTGATTTTAAGAGCTGTTCCACAGTGGCTGCCTCCGAGAAGGTGGTAGATTCTCCTCCTTTACCAGGTTTCAGTAAGAGCGGATTGGACACTCGATGCTCTTTCGGGTTCCCGCCAGCTCAGGATTAAATGTCATTACTTCCAACCAGAGCTAAAAGAAGGCTGTACTCCCAAGCAAGTTTACTTGGAAGAAAATCCCCTAGGCTTCAATCTTGCTTCTGAGTAAACATCGATAGACTGAACTATAAATTTGTTTAGTGTAGTAGCGGCGTATTGGATTAAGGGCTGGGGAGACACCAATTCAAATCCCCACTTAGCCATGAAGCTTCATGAGCGACCTTCTTGCTAATCGCTATCTTTCAGACTAACCCACCTCGAAGGGTTGTTGTTACAAAAATGGAGTGGGGAAAAGAAACTATGCACACTGAGCTCCTGGAAGTTAAGGCAGCAGAGAAATGTAAGGCATAAATAAAATCCATGCTTGTTTGAACAAGGAGTAAGCCAGTGGAACTATTTCCTAGTCACTTGGGGATCCTGTACACATTTGCCCGGAAGTCCTGCTGAAATCATTATTGCTTCATTCCCAGCTAACGTGCGGAGGCTGGGGATGCAGGAGAGCTTAGGGTAGCAACACTAAGGAAGTACAAGCTTCTGTTTCCAGAGGGGAAGTGAGGACTTCATGGTCTTGTAGAGGGTGGTTGTCTTTGGATAGGCAAAGGCTTCTTACTTCACTTCCTCCACAACGTGATATGTCAACCCTGCTGCGTTTGAGGGTCCTCCTCCTGCTGAATGAGACTCTGGACTTCTGCCCCCAAAGTCCTGCCTGAGTGTACCACCGTCTAATTCCCGCCTCCTCCAGCCAGAATTTCTGCTGCTACTCCTGTAACATGGAAGGAGAGGACTTGTAGATGCTGGCCTCCTGATCAAAGCAAATGCAGCCAGAAATAAGTCCCTGAAAAGCTGGGTGCAGACAGTGGTGCAACAAGTTAATTTTATACTCTGGGCTTAATGTCGTTTTTTTAAAAAGGAGCATGTGTGTTACTTTAGTTGTGAAGCCCACAATTAACAGTGATTTTCTCACCACTACTATCACCTCCTGGCCATTCCATGTTTTACAATTGCTTCTACAATCCTAATATGTAGGACGGCTTTATTTAATTATTTATTTTATTTTATTTACTGGTCACTTTCTTTTTTACCAAAGTAACTCTAAGTTACTTACAATACAAAACAAACAAATACATTAAAGTCAGGTTAAAATGAAACAAAAAAATTCTAAAAGACAATTCTATTTTTAAATAGGTGGATTTAAACATCCCACTCAATCATGGAAGCCATGATAATGAAAAGCCCCTGGGTGCCTAAACGCTATGCAATGATGGAGCCAGGCATGCTTCCCTGGGAAGAGATATCTATATACAGGGAGCCATTACTGAAGAGTCCTGCTCTTGTATTGCCACCCTCCAGACCTACAAAGAAGAGCCTCACATGATGATCACAGAGTCTGGGTCAGTTCATGTGGGGAGAGGTGGTCCTTGAGATTTGGGGCTCCTGAGCTTTATACATCAGAACCAGTGCTTTGAATTGGGATCAGAAACTTAACTGGTAACCAGTGCAGTCGAGCCAGGATTGGTGCAAGGAAATAAACAACTATCTGACTTTTAGAAGACATCTGAAGGCAGCCCTGTTTAGGGAAGTTTTTAATGACTGATGTTTTAATGTATTTTTAATATTTTGTTGGAAGCTGCCCAGAGTGGCTGGGGAAACCCAGCCAGATGGGTGGGGAAGAATTATTATTATTATTATTATTATTATTATTATATCATGCGCTCAGGCTATCTTGCCACAGTGAGCAACCTGGCTGCTGAATTCTGCACCAGCTGCGGTTTCTAAACTGTCTTCAGAGGCAGCTCCATGTATATGCATTGCAATAATCTAACTGAGAAGTTACCAGAGCGTAGTCAACAGAAATCAGAAGTTTGCTGGGCCACCAGCCAAAGCTGATGGAAGGCGCTCTGTGACCCTGAAGCCACTTGAGCCTCAAGTGACAGTGATGGAACCCAAAGTAGCCCCAAGCTACTGCCTGCTCCTTCAGAGGGAGTGTAACCTCATCCCATCCTTCCAGTCTGGGGAACCGTTCACAACCAGTGCCTCAGTCTTATCTGGATCCAGTTTATGGGCTCTCATCCAGTCCATTACGATTTTAAAAATGGAAAATAAAAAAAACAAAAGCGTGTGCATTTAAGCTCACTTTAAATCACAGCACCACCATAACCACTGGGATAAAATGTGTCTGCTGCCCTGATGCTAAGCTCATTCACTTGCAGAAAAGGGCAGTACTGTATATTTTTAAATGAAATTGGAATCAGTAACCATGCCCATGCACCCTGCAACTCCCTGACTATAAGTTTTAAAAAGAAGAAGGAATACTGATGCCAGTCCTCTTTGATGTGCCCCCTCGCAATTCATCTGTCAATCCCTGAGTAGAGAGAGCCAGTGTAGTGAAGTGGTTAGAGCAGGCTTCCTCAACCTTGGCCCGCCAGATGTTTTGAGACTACAATTTCCATCATCCCTGACCACTGGTCCTGCTAGCTAGGGATCATGGGAGTTGTAGGCCAAAAACATCTGGAGGGCCGAGGTTGAGGAAGCCTGGGTTAGAGTGTCAGCCAAGGTCCAGGGAGACAGCTGGTAGAGCATGTGACTCTTCATCTCAGGATCATGGGTTGGAGCACTACACTTGGCAAAAGATTCCTGCATTGCAGGCGGTTGCATTAGATGGCTCTTGTGGTCCCTTCCAACTCAACAATTCTATGAAATCTTCACCCAGCTATAAAGCTAATCTGGGTGACTTCAGGCCAGTCACTGTCTCTGAGTCTAACCCTACCTCGCAGGGCGGTTGTGAGGATGAAACGGGGAGGAGGAGAACCACGTAAGCCGCCTTGAGCTCTTTGGATGTTAGGTGGGGTATAAATGTCCTCCTCATCATCCTTGTCATCATCAGAGGCCTTGCCTGGACTTCGGCCTGAGGTCGAGCTGCGTCACTGGCTGCTGGAGATGCCCCCGTTATCCTGGCTGTGATGCCCATCACGGACTTAACCATGCCAGAGGGCTGACCTTCTTTTCTCTCTCTTTCTCTCGCCTTCCCCCTCAGGCCGGATTTTAGACATCCCGTGCAAAGTGTGTGGGGACCGCAGCTCCGGCAAGCACTACGGCGTCTATGCCTGCGACGGCTGCTCCGGGTTTTTCAAGCGAAGCATCCGAAGGAACCGCACTTACGTCTGCAAATCTGGGAACCAGGTATTCACCCCCAGCCTCCTTCCGCCCACTTGCTCTCCGTTCGGGGCCAAAGCCATTCCTCGCTTTTCTGGGCGGGCCCAACCAGGGGAGGAGCTCGCGATCTCCATCCCCCGTTCAGTGGGGCGGGAGGTCGAGGGGGCGGAGTGAAGCCGGCTTCGGAGGCCGAGGAGTCTGGAGTGGCTGGAAGAGGAACAGCGAAGGCACCATCACGTGGAGGAGACTTAAGCAGAAGGGGTCGGGAGGTTGGCTGCGGAAAGAAGGAGCTTTTTGTAAACCGCCTGGAGTTCCTGTCAGGGGAAAAGGCGGCGTCCAAATATTAGACCACTTCAGAATCCAGGCACAGGTCGGAACGCTCCCCAATAGAAAAAGAAAAGAACTCCCTTCAAATAGAAATCTAGTATAGCAGGCTGGACTGGAACATTTCTCCTCGTTTTCTACTTGCAGGAAATTTTGTTTTTTTCCCCCAGAGGGGCTTTTCAAAGCAGCCTGCAGGATATTCGACCAACTTTAGGACCCCGTTTCCACCATCTAGTTCTGCTGCAACTGTAGACCGGGCCAGAGAACTTTGCTCTCCCGGAACGTTGCATTGGGTGTTTTCCATCGCTGCTGCCGAGTCCCTTGTTCCTGGGTGTGCTTGGAAGATTCCTGGTAAACCATGGGATTTCCAACCACCAAGTTTAGGGTGGGGCTGCCAAACTCAGTTGGAACCAAATTTAATTAAAACTCGCTTTGCAAGAAACCAAAGAGGATTTTTGGAGCATTTAAATGGCATAGTTGCAACTTTGGTGGGTTTTTTTGGTGTGGGGGGTGTTTTAAAAAGAAAATCTCAAAAACATCCATATTTTGATCTCTCTTTCTCTCTCCACCCCCGCCTTTCCCCCCTCCACAAAAGTTAAACAGCCCTCGAACAAAGGAGAAGGATTCTTACAAAATGAATGGAAGGATTAGAAGGGAGCTCGGGGGCTCGAGAACAATCCAAAACTCATTGTAAAACAAGCTACTTTAAATACTGAGCATTTCTTCATTGCCTCCACTCACAGGCCAGTGATCATTTCAGCCTCTAACAGCCACACTCACATGCCCATTATTCCCTGAGAAAATGGAGCAGAACCAGTGATTGATTCCAAAGTAACCGATTACTGCTGTTGGACAGCAGCATGTGTACCAGGAAAGGAGCCCTGCTGGAAACCAAAGGGGACTTGCTTCTGAGTAGACATGCATGGGATCCGGGTGCAGATCTTTTGCAAAACAACTCTTTTCCTCTGCATGCTTTGGCCACGGGGTGCGGGGAGAAGCCCTCAGAACAGTCAGATTTGCTTCCGAGTAGAAAGGTGCCTAAGATTGGGCTGCAAGCCACCAGCCTCTCGGTGCAAAGCTAAAGCAATGCTGGCAATTCACTCTGGCTCGCACGCTGGCAGGCGGCTCTCCCCTGCCTTTAACCGAGGTGTGGCAAATGGAGGTTTAAATGGGTGCAGCTCGCTTCGAATTGTGGCGCAGCGGTTGCATGTACAGATAAACTCCGGCCAAAATCCACCGGACCTTGCTTGGCCAGAGGATTGGAGGGAGTGTAGCTCAGCGGCAGAGCGTCTGCCTCGCCCATAGAAAATCCCAGGCGCAATCCCTGGTGTCTTCAGGAAGGTCCTGCCTGAAACAGGAAAGCAGCTGCCAGGCACTCTGGACAAAGCTAGACGAACCTCTGGTCTGGCACAGTCGAATGCAACTGCCTCTGTTCCTATGGCTGTTCTCTTGGGTTGCAATAGGAGGAAGCCTTGTTTTGAGCCAAGTAATGCAGGGATTCCAGTATAGCAGGGGTGGGGAAGCTCAGCTGGGGCGCTCCAGATGTTGTTCAGCCTCAGCCAATATAGCCATTACTGGGGGTGGTGGGCATTATGGTCCAGGAACATCTGGATGGCCACAGGTTCCCCATCCTTGAAAGAGAGTGCAGTAGGGGAAGTGATGCTTCGGAGGGCATTTAATAAAGGAAAACAGTTTCTTTTGGTGATCGTTAAGGAGAACATCATCGTCTCCAGCTGCCTTGCTCAAATAAGCTGAGGGGTGCACGAAAGTGGGTTCAGCTTTGATGGCTTGGATTAATGTTCCCAGGCTAATACATCTGATATTACAGTGAAATAATACAGAGGGCAGCTTAGCCTTTCTGGTCCTTTGCTCGATTTTGAAAGGGAATGGGGGAACTGAGAAATCAAAGGGCACAATCTAGCGAAAGTGAAGCGCCATTGATTTCAATGGGGGAGTAAAGCGCATGTCTACTGAGAAGTAAGTCCCACTGAGTACCCTTGGTCTTTCTCCTAACTAAGTAGGTATAATGATTGCAGCTTCCATCTATCCTACTTAAAGGTGACTTAGCGGCACTTAGCTTTGGTTGGATCCTGCCCCAAGTTCATACCAGCTCCCTCCGAGTCTGAACCCTCAGATTTCAAACACCCACCCACAGCTCAGCAGGTGATGTATTCTGCACCCCAAATCCTAATCATAGCGTCCACGCAATCCTATAGGACTGCACCCTCAGTCTGTAAAGTCTATTTAGTAGTCAGGTTCAGCTGAGGTCTGGGCGCCTACGGCTCAACTAAAACCAAATCTCTAAGGAAATTTCTCGAAAGAAAGATGTCCGGAATTTTTATTTTGTTTTTCTGGCAGCCACGTTGTTTGACACAGATATCCTGCTCTTTACCTTAGGCGGTTAGGTGGAAATCAGTGGGACCATTTATTTATGACTCTGCGGGAAAAGCAAGGGGCAAGAGACCGAGGAATACGCGAGAGGAAGAAGATACCGGTACTTTCTAGGGCGGCAGGTGGGAAGCTGGAGGATCGTGATCAAAGGCTCCAAGTGCCAGGGAGCTGTCCCGGGTGCTGAAGTCCATATAGAGATTTTAGAACGCCCCTTTAATGCTTATTCTTCCCCAGGGAATTTTCATAGAGCCCTGGGAGGGCATCATTCTTCTTTTTCTGGCAATCATCCAGCACAGGTTCTAAAAGAAGTGAGAGTGGCAGAAGGGAGAAAGGGTCTACACATCTTAGTAGGATCCCCAGACACCTTCCTGTTTCAGAATTTCCTTACTGAGACTCACGTTTTGTCCCCCTTTTCAGAAATATGTCTCTGTTTTTTAGGGAGGCTGCCCAGTGGACAAGACGCATAGGAATCAATGCAGGGCATGTCGGCTGAAGAAATGCTTGGAAGTCAACATGAACAAAGACGGTACTTGTGCATCCTTCCTCCTCCACCACCACCCCTCAAAAAATACCCAGAGAGAAATGGATAGCAAACATATCACGGGCTTGTGAAAACTATTGTCCAGAGAATGGATCTGTTCTTAGGGTTCCTATCAATATTGACAGTCTCCCAAAATTCTCTTCCTGTGACCTGTCCTGAGTAACTTTCTTTTCACTTTAGAAAGCTAAACCTCTTAATCTGCCTATATTTATGGCTTGCAAGTAACTGTCCACAATCAGACCCTTTTGAAATACAACTACTGACAAGGAAAATGATTGCTATCTTAAATGACACTTTAAAGGCTGCAATCCTATGCAATCTTGCCTGGGAGTGAGAATCACCGAACTCAGTGAGACTTATTTCCAAGCAGACATGCATGGAAAGACTGCATACAAATAAAAAATGAAGAGCTCCCAGGTATGTCAGTCAGGTACGGTCAGTAGGACCGTATATCAGGAAATGGACCCAAGAACCTCAAACAAAAGCTGTTAAATGTCTACACTGACAGGGTCCCAGAATTCTGATCAGTCATCCTTCCAGCAGGGCACAATTTCAACTTATCCTGGCTGATAAAGCAAATCCAGCTGCCCCATCAAGCAAGTGATTGCTGCTCACAGGGTATGTGTGTGCAAGTGCAGGTTTGCCTTGGATGCTTCTACCTGCAGTCCAAAGATCTGCCTTTCCAATGCGCATATTGGTTATAGATGCCACTGCACATAGGAGAGCCAACATCTTAATCAGTGATAGGGAGCCTTTGGATCTCCAGATGTTATTGGACTAGAAATCCTATCAGCCCTGACAGCTGGCCATTCTACTGGGAACTGAAGCCCAAAGATATTTGGAAGGTCCCGGGTTTCCCATGCCTGATGAGAGTGAGTGGGTGTAGGTTGGCAGGGACAATATGCACCTGTGCATCTAGAGGAGCATCATCTAACTGATATTACATTATTGCTGCATTAGTGTTGATCAGGTTTGGGTTACCTTTGGCCTTCTAGATGTTGCTGAATTACAGCTCCCATCATCCCTGGCCATTGGCCATGCTTCCTGGGGCTGATGCAAGTTGCAGTTCAGCAAGCTGTGGACGGCCAAATGTTCCCCACTGCTGGTAGATGAAAGTACATATCTTCATTTCCATGAAGTTGTCCTGGTAATCAAACACTTCTTTTCTCCACGCTCTAAAATGAGGCTAGGATGCTTTACTTTTCCCTGTGTCAGGCAATTAATTTGAATTAGAGCTACAAAAATAAGAGATTCTCTGCTGCTCATATCTAAGTTACAATAATCAATATATATTTGAATACTGACTACGCGAAAAGAAAAGCTGTCCATTTTTTTGTGATATTCCTGTTGTGGTTGTGGTTGTCTATATTGGAATTATGTTCATTTACCTTGAATACTAGAGAGGCTGCTTAATTTGTCAGTTATTCAGTTTTGTAAGCAGCAAGTGTTTGTCTCTTTATGCTTTTTATGTTTCATGTGATCACTGAATATTTGAATCCTCCCTTAGTCATAATTTAAAATAGTTCCATATCATTGGGGATTTGACGCTGAATATTTGATCAGTTAGTTCACATTACTAGATGAAATTCAGCTCCTACCCTAAAACAAACTCTTTATTCCTGCTGCCCCCTCATTCCACATCTTTAATTCTCTAAAGATCCCTTGCCTAACACATTATTTCTTTCCCTCAACATAGAATTGCTGTATGAGTTTCACTTTCCTCACAGAAGTTATACCATGTATTCAATTGCTCTTCACTCTCAAGAATTAGAACATATATGAGCATGTCATGACATCACAGCAAGTCAACAAATAGTGAAGCAGTGCTTGAATATAGCAAACAACCACCAGAGTTTAGCATCTTTATATATGATTAGAGATGTATCGCACAGCAAGTTAATCCCATTAGAAGTTTTCAGTGGGCTTCGAAAATATTTTTTTTTTCAAATTCCAAGTAGCATGCTAATGCAGGTTTTTATTCCCAGCTGTTCAACATGAAAGGGGACCAAGAACTTCCACAATAAGGAAACAAGTCGCTCTGTATTTCAGAGGACACAAGGAGGATAATGGAGCCACGCCACATTTCCCCTCTGCAGCCCTACCTGCCCCAGCTTTCTTCACTGCTGTTACTCAGCTGGAACCTCACAATCTAGAACTGGCTGCAGTTTCTACAACATCTGAAAGGCAGACCTTGGTGGGTCTGGCTCAACCAACTCCAAAGGTCAGCTCCTTCTCCTTCTTGATTCAGGGGAAATGCATCATTATCCTGAGAGACTTTAGAAAAAGAAACCAGACCTTGCGATAGTGGTATGGAATGAGGCCTCCTCAATCTGATTCCTCTTCATTTTGCTTGTGCAGCAATTACTTCCTGGTAAATTAATGATGCTATATTTGTGAAAGCAAGACTTTTGCACAATGCATTGGAGTAAAAATGAAGGAAGTCTCAGTGGTGTTTACTTCCTCAGAAGCCTCTTCAGGATTGCGGCCTAAATCAATAGTAAATTATTTACCGTATGTCTTAAAATATTATGCATATTGCAAAGTTACATGATTGACATGTCTGGTGTACCATGTGGGAGTAAATTGGTCAAGCCATATGAACCATACTGCATATTGGTTCCTTTTCAATGCTAGCAGTTATCCTGGTAGGTGTTCCAAACTGCCAGATAGTTCCAAAGTCATCAGAATGCCTTTAGGATGGAGCACAGATGGGTGGTCTTCATTCTTACTACTTATTCATTTACTGTATTTAATTAAAGTATTTATACGCCACCCTCTCACAAAAGATCAGGGTGGTGTACAGCAATGTAAAAACCTTTAAAAGCAATATGAACCTATCATTAAAATTGTTAAACCATACGATTGTCATGCTCAATTTCCACCCATTAATGTAAGGAGGAATAGTTTCACATGATGGCACGGCTGCAAACTTGTTGCTAGAGGCTCCAGCCCAAGCATAGGGCGTGGAATTCAAGGTACCACAAGGTACCACTATTACAAACGTTCCAACTGTGCAAGCTTGCAAGAGAAAATCCAACCACTACCCCCCTGTGTGCTATTCTGGGGGTTTTCCTGACCCTGCGGGAACCAATTTCCTGGGGCACCTGGAGGAGGAGAGGGGGGAAAGTCCCACCTTCTTGCCAAGTTAAATCAACATCTCTCACAAACTGAGTCAGGACTGAGAACCAAGATAGATGAGATGCCGATTAGGTGGTTTTTTTGGGGGGGGGACATAAATGGGGGGACAATCTGTAATGGGACCAAGGGCAGGGCAGGGGCTAGGGGGGGCTTAAATCTTTTGCCTCTTGCTGTAGTCCCAATCTGAATCAGCCCCCAACACTATTGGCTGGGATTTAAAAAAATTATTTGCTGCCTGCCATGTGAGCATTTCAAGGTGCTACATATCACAAAACATTTCAAGATGCTGTATATCATAACGTATACAGTTGCATTTAGAATCAAGTTCAATCAAGCTGTCAGTGGAATGCTTAAAATTCATCAGATAGCAAAGACCGTGATGAACAAAAACATTTTACCTTGCGGTAAAAATGTTTCAGTCAGTGAGTGCCTTATGTCTGAGTGAGACATTTATTCTCTTGCATTTATATTCCACCTCTCTCCTTGTCATGGAATGCAAGCGGTTGTCAGGTGCTCCCCAATCCAGGCGCCCATGAGACCCAGATCTGCTCAGCTTCACCAAGATGGTGGCCCCATGTGCCTTCATGGGAAGCATTATAAGACATCCGGCAAACCTGAATTACCTTGCTTTGAGAAACAGAGTTTTACAAATATGTCAGGATGTCCCAGTTTTATTCTGACCAGTTTTAAACTGCTGCAGTATTGACAGTGGAATCCAAATATTGGAAGTACTCACATAATACTTATTACTGAAGTATAAGCATAGTGATGGTTACGGACATTTCCCTCAAACACCGTAATGTTTTCCCCCTGTAATCCATAACTGCCCATTTTGGCCCAAATTCATCTCTGAGGTCTGGACTACATATGCAGCAGAATAAGAGAAGGGGTGCATTTTTGAATGCTTCACCACATAAGAAAAATAAATCCCCTTGCAAGAGGAAAATGAGCACATCAGGGACAGAAAATCCAGCATGGTCCTTCCTCTGACTGTGCTAGTTTTTTACTTACAGGGAGAATGTTATGTCAGGAAGCATTTTAAAACACCCTTCACCTATAGTCTGGAATGGTAAAGTATATTCTACTAAAACTTCATTCTGTTGCATGTGTAGATTTAGTCTGAGCATCAACCTTCCTAAATACAGGACCCACTTACTATGCATGAAGTGTGAAAGGCAGGATGTGGTGCCATTTAAGCACATATTCAGTTCTTCAGTTTGACTTTTAATTGTGTATTGCCTTGATACTTGTCCAAATCAAACAAAATATTTACCACTCACCCTACCAAAACTGAGTATCTATGTAAATCAGCTTGGGGGGGCATATCTTAAGGTAGTTGGTTAAGCCAGTGGTTCCTAAAATCTCACCCTACCATTTTTCTTCTTTCTTTTGTTTTGCTGATACCCTCCTTTGTAAGACCCACATTCAATAATCAAGTACTTAATTAAATAAGCAGCTCTTTGTCAAACATAAGCTCCTGCCTATTACCTTCTGAAATATTTTTCATGCAATCTTTTAATTTTAGTACCCACACGAAGTCAGTGGCACTCCCATGTATCTCTACGAAGTGGCTACTGAATCTGTTTGTGAGTCTGCGGCAAGGCTTCTCTTCATGAGCATCAAATGGGCTAAAAGTGTCCCTGCTTTTTCTACTCTATCATTACAAGATCAGGTAAGATTTATATAGAACTGGGGACGGGGGGAGGAAATGACAACATTTCTCTTAAGCAGATTGCTCAGTATTGATTTAGGCCATGTGATTATCAGTGCTGTTTTTAGCCAAGTGATGGATTAAAACATATACTTCATCCAGTATATATCCAGTATAATTTAAAAGGTTCCTTTCCAGTTGCCTTCTATCATAGTATGAGTCTTGGCTTACTTAATTATAGAAGATGAGCCTGCTGGATCAGGCCAGCAGCCCATCTAGTCCACCATCCTGTTCTCACAGTGGCCAACTGGATGCCTGTGAGACACCGGCAAGCAGAACCTAAGCAGAATAGCACCATCCGCTGCTGCTGCTGCGGTCTCCAGCAACCAGTATTCAGAAGCATAATGCCTCTGACAGTGGAGGCTGAGCAAAACCATTGTGGTTAGTAGCTTCACCTTCATGAATTGCTTGAGTCACCTGCAGCTGATTGCAGAGCAAAACCCCTTCTGCAGAGCACCTGCTCTTTCTTTGTAGCACACCATGTACTGCAGTGAGTTGCTTGGTTGGAGTTTGTGGTTAATATTCCTGGCTTTTAGTAGGGAATTAGACTGGATTTATTTGTAAAGGGTTAGGTGGGTACAACATTCAGAACAATGGAGGGGGGGAATAGTCAAAGTCATAGCATAACTGAAAACAAAGGCAATCATTATCACGAAAGGTTACCAAACACAGTTATAAGTCCCTGCCAATGTCACTTGCCTATTCTCTACAGTTTTATGTGGGGGGGCAAGTCTTGGCAAGCCTCCATGGAAGGTGAAAGAGATCCACAATGGTGGGGACCATCAAAGAGAAAGCCTCGCTTAGGGTTGCCAGATGTCTGGAACTTCCCAGACATATACAGAATCAGCAGCAGTGTCTGGGTGAAAATCGGTAAAATGTCCAGGAAAATCCAGACGTACAGCAGCCCATGTTGGCAGCTCAAAAATGGCATTTTATTTTTTGCAGTTTTGCCAAAACTATAAAAAAAGGTCAACAACTTTTCTGTCCAGATATTCACTGAAATATGGCAACCCTAGTCTTGCTTCATGTCTTAGTTCAGGGGTGTTCAGGCAGACGGCAGACGTGTTGCTTTTTAAAATCTTCAAGAAGCCCATAAGAGTTAATCAAACTGATTGTTTGGGTAATGCTTGCAGTTTATTGATGTTAGCACATTCCATCGCCACCCCAAAACCAACTTGGTTGGCAGAAACTCGCACATGATCCCTTGCAGGAAGGTTTGGGGCCTCCAGCAGATGGCCAACTCAATGGGGATTGCATGAAGGTGTCATTTTTTTATTTATTTCTTTGAGATGATTCCTCCAGGTGGGGGTATGCAGGACTGCTGAGATTTGCATACTAAAGGTGGCTCCAAAAAGAGCATCTGGAAATGCAGAAACCATGTTAGCAACATATATGCCTCCACATGGAGCTAACATTTAATACAACTGACTTTTCCGTGTGATCTGTTGGAGCAAGAGTTCAGTGGTGCCCTGTGCACTCAAGGCAGACTATATGTGTTGGAGCCCCTAAGCATCTGAACTGTGGTGGTGTTACACTCATGCACTGTTGAAATCAGTGGGACTCTAGTTAGTCATGTGCCTCCCTTCTCCCTCTGATGTCAACAGAACTTAGGCTTGCATCAGGGCTTCAGCTACCTTGATTCAGATTGGTATAGGAGTGGACTATGTTTCTCAAAGCCAGTGGTTCCCAATTGGTGGTCCAAGGACCCAAGGGGGGCCATGTAACCCACCCAGGGGGGTCCATGGCACAATTCACATAACAAACACTACCAGAGATTTCAAAAGTAGGGGGTCCATCGCTTGGCTTTTGAAAAACAGGGGGTCCACGGTACTTAGCTAGTTTATATTTTTTTGATAGCCATATTCCCCCTCCCTAAACCCCCCAAAACCTGACTTGTTTTAAACAATGTCAACTTAAATTGAATGTGAGCAATAAGAGCATTAGCAATCCTAACTCCCGTTGAATTAAAATGGTGCTTACCTTAAAGCAAGCAATCATCTCTCTGTTTCTTCCTGCCTTATGGAAAAGATTACATATTCCCCTAATTAAATTAGTTGCAATACCCCATCCTCCACATTCTCCCTTCCAGTGCAAATGCCCTGCCACCAGCATGGGTGACTTCTAATTAAGGCAAGGCTTCGTTTGCTTTACCACAGAACTTTCTCCAAAGAACATACTAATTGAGGAACTGAGACCTAGAAAAGTAAAGGGGGAAGAAACATTCTCAGAAATGAGAGTCTCATCAATAGACAAGGAATGGCTTAGTGCAGATTAAAGTGATCACTGAACAGATCTCTGTAAAATAGGCCTATTATCCATGTCAGGAATCAGATTATCCTGTCATTTTAAATGAACTGGCTGCATATCTAACATTCAAAATTAAAGGCAAGTTGCATGAATTGTTACATGAAATTAATCCCTCTTTTAAAGCCCAAGGATTTCATTAACTGCACCATTATCCTCTCTGGGCTTTATAGACCAGACTGTGAGTTGCAAAGTTTTGGCTTACCCAAAATTCTGAACTGTGGATTTTTGTTTAGACATTTTTCTTCTGCTGTCCTCCCACTTACATCAAATGCAAGTCATAGGTCCAAAAATCATGGTCAGTAATGAAGGAGACAGAAAACAAAGAAGCTGTTCCTTATACTTAAATTATTCTGTTGTTTATAACTTAGTCATTTGCACCTTAACTTGAGAACAGCAAAGGCTTTACCTGCCTACTGCACACCTCCTATTATCGTAGATGCTGCACTCAGCTATGGGGGAAGATGTTGTGGCATCTTCAGTGCCAAAGTAAGATTCAGCTGCCTGTCCAATTGGATTCTGTATGTGGAACAGGAATGCAGTGTCTGTCTTCTCCTTTGCCCCAGACAGCAAAATATTTTGGGCCAGCAGAGTGACTGGTCCTCAAAACACTGGAGATCGACTTTGTCAATATGGGAAGGTTGTCAAATGTTGAGTCCCAAGGAGCTATCAGGAATCTCAAAGTCAGATAGGAAGGTCACCTCTGGATAATTTTGCCTCCCCAAGGCTGGGAAACTTGTGAGTTTTGGCCTTCTCCTGACCAGTGGAGAATGGGGTGGGGCTTCATACACAGCTGAGCAGCTTTGTAGCAGGTTAGCCAACATTACCACCACCTGGTGGCTGAATACCATCATTATCCATAGAAGTGGTTGTCAGTGAAACCATAGTAGGGTTGCCATATTTCAGAAAGTGAAAATGTGGACACAAAAATAAAGTTACCAGATTCTTTCCAGTGAATCCGGGGACACTTTTCAACTTCCTACTAAATAGATGGATTTGGTCAGGGGACTGATTTCTAAATCCAGGGACTGTCCCCGGGAAACGGGGACATCTGGTAACCTTACACAAAAGTTGTTGTGTGCCGGCATGGGCTGCCATACATCTGGATTTTCCTGGAAATTTCAGCGGTTTCCCGACCGGATGCTGCTTAAGGGGGGCTTATGTCCAGGAAATTCCAGACAGCCCTATTGTACAGTAGGGAGAACAGCACCAAGGAATGCAGGAGGCCCAATTAATTACAATGTCTTCTGGTCCCTTTTGTCCAGTATTTGACAAGCTTTGTGTGGAGCTATACTGACAAAAGACTTGTGTAACACCAGCGCTACCTGTGCAATCCACGCAACTGCTTTAGCCCAATGGACCAGGCCTGTCCTGGAGAGAGAAGAAGGTACCTGGAACCACATGCGGCTACCTAAACAAACCCAAGGAGAAATGATTATCTGCAAACTCTATACAAATTATAATAAAACTTGTATGGTAGTCATTTGCTTCCCTAACCAGATCAATTTATTACATTACATTGGGACAAATGACTATAAGAAGGTTGCAAAAACAAAGAGGATGCTTGATTGTGGAAGTCAAATTCAGTCTGAAAAATAGGTGTGTCTCCTCCTCACCCCCCAATATTTTCAGTGATGGAAGAAAGAAAATAGCCTGGATGGACAATGTTCATTTTATATAAAGAGTAGTGCTTTTGTGCAACTTTCACATGTGGAATGCAAGAAGAGCTTCATGTATTTATGGTTTTATGCAGTACCTTACAGCTGAAGCCATACCTTTCAAGCAGCACCCCAGCATTAAATAGGTGGCATTTTATAATATCCATGGATGCTCTTAATCAAGATGAGAAAGCGAGAACTAAAATGTCCCCGGCAGGAGTGGGGATGGGAGAAAACAGCGCAGGCATTTTAAAGCCATTTCTAAAACAACAGAAATTTACATAGTGAAATTGTTTATCAATCTATAAATTATACACCATGTTATATCGTACCTCTATTGTATGACAGCTGATGCTTTTGGAAGATGCTTGGAGGGAACTGTTTGTTCTAGGAATAGCACAATGGGCCATTCCAGTTGATGCTAACACTCTACTGGCTGTATCTGGTAAGAATTGCACAATTTAATGACTTTGTTATAGAAATTACCATAAAAATACATTACTGAAAAAAAGGACAACATGTAAAGAATAACAAATCCCTTCTGAACAATAGAGTATACCTGTCATTTATAAATCTATATTTAAATGCAAATAATGTTGTTTTGTTGCATTCACGACTGCTTGCATTGTCATTTAAATGCAAATTACTGTGTTTGTTATCATCCAACAGAAGATTTCATACTAACTTTCCTACATTATAGTTAGTTTTGTGTTGAAGCGGATCTCAATGTAACAATGGAATAGCTATTGATACATGTGATTTTTATTTTTATTTTTTGCAGAAATCAATCCATAAAATACATTCAGATGACCTATTAGTGTATTTATTTCACATGTTTGTGTTCCAGGAATGAATGGAGACAACACAGATTCTCAAAAGCTGAATAAGATTATCTCAGAAATACAGGCTTTACAAGAGGTTGTGGCTAGATTTAGACAGCTTCGGTTAGATGCTACAGAATTTGCCTGTCTCAAATGCATCGTCACTTTTAAAGCTGGTAAGGGGAATATAAAAATAGCCTTTTGGGCATCTATCAGTAGGCTGTGCAGTGGCCAAGTATCCTACCTCCAATAGCAGATTACAACGAACATCACAGATTAATGATGTGGGCTGAAGTGCAGAGCCACTTCTCAACTGGGACACCCAGAAAATTCCAATATAAAATGAGTACCAATCCTTGTTCCTTGAGATGGGCTCTTCTAAAATTCCATGGATTACAGGGGGCTTTTTCAGGAAAGCAATTGTCTTCTCAGTTGCTGAAGAATTTAGCATATTGGTATCTTGATGAGTCTGAGCAATTTTGTATTGCAGAGACTACTGGGGGCAGACCTATAAAACCCTCAATAGCTTGGGTCCATCATACTTAAGAGTCATGTCTCCCTTTTCATCCTATTGTGAACTTTATGATTGACCAAGACTGGCCATCTAAATGCTGCCTTCCACACACCATATTTGGTGAGAATAAACGTTCGAAGATGGATTCCGGTATATTCTCAGCCCTTTAATGTTCACCAAGGCCCAAGCCTGAGTATCTTGTCAAAGGAAGTCCGCAAGGTTTTTATTTGGTTGGCCATTGGAGGTTGAAATGAAAACAAGTAACAGTGTTGGTCTCATCTGTTTAATGCTGCTAACTGAAAATGTGACACTGCTTTACACTTATTAAAATTTGCGGGAGCTTTCAGGGTGGGACACATGTTGACAAACTGAAATTCTAGAATGCCATAAGCAGTGAAATGGAATCACCAAGATGTGCCTTCATGCTTGTAGGTGGTGCTATGGAGTTAAGTGGTGAAGTGTAACATTAGTTGGCATCGAGTTAATATTGACTGTTCTGATTAATAAGTGAAGAGTGGTCAATCTGCTTTTCAGTACCTACGCATAGCGGTTCTGAACTCAGAAGTTTTAGAAATGCTGCAGCCATTGCAGCTCTTCAAGATGAAGCTCAGCTCACCCTGAACAGCTACATTCATACTAGGTGAGGACACTAGATTTGAATACATTTTTTTTTCCAAGCTCTTAATTTGCTGTACCTGCAGTAAGTTTATTCATCCCAGGCAAATAATTCAGATGAAAGGGGAAAGAGAAATAAAGGGCGTAATGTTTAATGAGAATTTAAAACAACAACAGCACAGAAAGCTTCTCTCTCTTCACAATCAGATTTCAGTTGTACCTTGGATCCCAAACGCCTTGCAAGCCAAACATTTTGGCTCCCGATCGCCACAAACCCAGAAGTGACTGTTCCGGTCTGCAAACTATTTTGGAAGCCGAATGTCCAATGGGGCTTCCGCGGCTTCTGATTGGCTGCAAGAGCTTCCTGCAGCCAATCTGAAGCCACGCTTTGGTTTCCGAACGTTTTAGAAGTCGAACGGACTTCCGGAACGGATTCTGTTCGACTTGCAAGGTACAACTGTATTAGCATTTTTAAGACACTTTGCTTCTGTGAAGTGGCTTTTAATCTGTTGTGTAAATGAGAGCTGGCTTTAGCCTGGAATTTCAACCTTGTTGAGTTTTGGAATGCTTTCATGGGTGAAAATTCATATTTTTAGAATTTTGACTAATTTTTTTGTGGTGGGGGGGAGCATGTTACATCATCAAAGTGTAGAATCAAGCTACAGTTCTGCAGGTAACCAATCCCACTGATTTCAAATGGGAGGACCTCATGGCTGTGCAGAGATCTGAGCCAGTCCAGCATTCACTCCATCCACTATACCAGCAGTGGGCAGCAGATAAATTGAAATCTACTGGAAGATCTCTGGGATTTGTAGTAGGTTGGCAAGGGTTTCCAATTCCCGATTTTCTGATAGCAAAAAAGCCCTCCTCTCATTAGTCTGCTGAAACAAAGAAGGGGGACAGAATACTGGAATGGCATTGTGGGCAGAAAAGACTGGGAAGCAGTTCTGGTACTGCAAATTTCTGGGCTGATCGTGTGTTCAGAGGTGCCCATAAGTGTAATTCTAATGTGTATCTATCCCATGAGTTACTATTGTGTACATTAGTCTGATTGATTTCTAGTAAAAAAAAAAAAAGTAGATTCTACAAGCCTGAAGTCTGTCCACCTTTGAACTTTACCACATTCAGATTTCTTAAAGTATACTATTTTGTTGACATTTTGATTGTTGGCTTTCACAAAGGCAATCAACAGCATAAAAAATATTATGAGTGTTATTTATATCCATAGCAGTAACTCTCATGCTTGCCTTCCAGGTACCCCACACAGCCCTGTCGCTTCGGGAAACTCTTGTTGCTTTTGCCAGCTTTACGTTCGATTAGTCCCTCCACAATAGAAGAAGTATTTTTCAAAAAAACCATTGGGAATGTGCCAATCACAAGACTGCTTTCAGATATGTACAAATCCAGTGACATCTAGACTGACCTGGGGGGGAGCAAATGAGAATGATCAGGGTCACCATTTCTGAAGAACTTCTTGATCAATGGAGAGCAAGCCTCAGCTAACAAACTCTACAAGAAGCTGGAGCCTGGAAACGTTTTAACCTAGTGACAAAATACACCCAATAGATATGGTTTTGCAGCCTTGAACAGAGCAACTTTAAGTCCTTGGGGATGTGGGTGGGGAAATACTGTGCTCCACGGAAAAACCTGCTGTAGAATGAACTTGGCTGCTGCTTCTCCCAGTGGAGCCAATTCAGTTGTCATTCATAGTTAACAAAGGCTGTGCTAGTCTGCCATTTAGTTGGCAGATGTGACAAGGTAAAGAAGAAGGTCCTTTAGGGTTGTTGTTTCTTCATACTTTGAAAAATGGGGTAACCAAACATTGTTCTGTCGTCATGTGTCATGAGGTGGCCTTCAAAAATGGTTTTTGTTTTTTTTAAAGTAGCTTGTTTAAGTGAATGCTTTTTATATGAGAGGCAACACTGAATACCAGGTTATAGAAACATTTGCTTCATCTGTAACGTAATAATAAAAGTGGCCTTCATCATGGATTTTTAAGAAGTACGCCAGCAAATACCTTTTGAATTCAATAGGCTATGCCTCCTTGTTAAAAAAAAACCACGAAGGGGTGGACTTCACGTCTAAGTCTGGCCAACATTTCAGTTCGGATTACCATCTCAGACAAAAGAGCTTTAAATAAAAAGTTGTTTTTCTTTTCTTTTTAAAAAATGCATGTTAAGCGAAGACTAAACAGCAAAACCAAATAAAAGAAAAAGGAGAGGATTGATACAGCGAACTAATAGCTGTCCCACTGGCATAGTGCTGAAACCAAAGGCAACGGTGGTCAAACTCTTTGTCAATGAGATGTGCAAAAAAGGTACCTGACTTATAATAAAAACAGTTTTGAACCGTCTTACAATGAAAGAAAAGGATGGTTGATCAATACAAACCTAATACTCTAGCGGCTTTTTAGAAAAGTCCAGGTTCTAATAAAAGCCTCTCTCTCTCTCACCACTCCTCACAAAACACACATATTATGAGCTGCTTAATTTGATGAAAATACACTTATGGAAATGTAGGGGGGAATTAAAAGATAACTGCTGTACTTTTCAAGTTTTTATTTGTTTTAGGAACTAGCACTGAGAAAGGAGAACCAGCACTTGAAGTATCATAGAATGAGTAAAACTTCTCTTGTACAAAAATGGATTAACTGATTTGTGAAGTTAAGGTTGTACTCATTGTATTTACAAAGAATAAAAAATATATTAAGTTTAAAATGGTATGGCCTTTGATTAAACATTACTCCCCACTGATGGTACAATTTCCAAGAAACAGGTAAAAAATTATAATGGGGTGAGTATACTGCTATGTTTTATTTAAAAGTGAACTGGTGTGGAGTACTTTGGCTCTCTGATGTTGCTGAACCACAGATCCCATCAAGTCCCCATTAGCAACTGCCAGGGATGATGGGAGCTGCATTTCAGCAACATCTAGAGGGCCAAAGGTTACCTGCAGTTGTAGTAGCCCTGTTGAGCAATTGCTTGCACGAAGGGGCAACACAAGTCCCAAGGAGCTCTGCCTTTAGTCCTATCCCCCAGTCACACAGTTCCATCCCACATGCTCATGGCAACTGTGCGTAGCCTGCTACAGAAGGGTAGGCTCCCAGTACAATTTAGGACCTTAACACACAAGGTTGTAGATAGTACAGGAGGCTTACAGCAGCACCTTGGTGCTTAATGTTGCCCCTCCATGCTAAGTGTGCCTGAACACAAATATCGCCTTAGAAGGTGAACAAGCAGCTACTGTCTAAGTTTCTCAAGTATATTTCAAAAAGATGCCTACAGCACCATTCTACCACCACTGGAATAGTTCCTTCAGAAGTTCTTCTTCTGCTCCACTAAGGGTAATTTATATAGCTACCCACCAATAAGCATTACTTGAGCATCTCACATAGAAAACAGTAAATACGTAACTGTGATGAAAGTTAGTTGGGCCTCAGCTAGAACTGCAGAGGAGTATGTACAAGAGAAGATTTAAAACTATCTAGAAAAACCATCTTAGCTCATACTGCTGAAATAAATTGGCATGCAAGACAGTATTATATACATAGTGTAATGAACCTGGAAGGCAAAGCTATTCATGGTAGTCATGCTTTTTTTTAAAAAAAGTGTGCTTATTCTGTCAGCTTTAGAGAAAAACCCCTTGTGGGGCCCTGCATTGACTTTATGCTTCTCTTGAGCTGTCCTATTGTCTACGGCAAACAGAACCTTTGGGGGCAAATGCCCTCAAGGAATGGGGAAAGTTTTAGCAGTAAACCAGTGTTGGTCCTCATCTGGAATGGCACATGTTCTGGAGTGAAGCTCTGCTGCTGCTTTTTCATCAGAATTAAAGGAATGGCCAGGTATTGCTGCTTTAAAAAAAAAATGTGAAGGGTTACTCCTGATTCCAACCCTACATGGGTTGCCTTCCACCATGGCACACCTGATAGCTGTTAAAACACACGCATGAGAACTATTAAAATTTGGTTCACCATGTTGACAGAACCTACAGATTGGCTGCTTATGCGGTTAGATCCTAGGACATGGGAGTGTTGCAAAGGGATAGCTATGTTAAGTTCAAGGAAATCATCGACATACTAATGGATGCAATTAATCATTCAGATGCAGAAAACTCATAGACTTCAGAGCTATAGCATGATGATTCTAACTTACACTGAATATTGTTACCCAGAGTAAGAGAAAGGAGTACTATAATTTTGATTCAGTATTCCATAAGCTGTAACTGCACGACCATATGGAGGAAACCAACAATCCTATCCCTGATAACTCGGGAGTCCCAAAGATTTATGTAGGACTTGCCCCGAAGCAATAACACATAGGACTGTAACTTACAATGGGAGTTTTAGTATTTCAAGCTGAATGAAGTCAAGTAATTCAGAACCACTTACTTAAGTGGAAGGTATAGCCAGGATAAAACACAGTGCAGTGGGACATTTATCCAGGGAGATAAGCCAGCCCAAGGTATAGAGAGAAGGACTATTTTTCCCCATCATAGCAGGAAGGACATGCTAAGTGCATTTTTACTTTTTATTTCAAAACAACTTTTAGACAAATGTTCTTAGTATACAAATCTGTTTTCTTTTTACACAATATAAAGAAATGCTCCCTCATTGCTTCTCAGTACAAAGGCTGCCCCCCCACCCCGCCCCTCGCAAGCTTAAAGATACAACTACAGAAGTGCTTATTTTATACAAGGGGGTATTGAATACAATGCACCATGTTAGTCACCAAATTGCAGGTTGAATACTAGTTGTTGTACAGAAATATTCTAGTGTTTAAAATCAAAGAAAAGTGAACGTGCGACACCATAAACAGTGCAAGTTCGAGTAAGGCTGAGTCAGTAACCACCACAAGGGTCATTGCAAAAGGAAGAAGGGAAGAGTTTCAAAATACTGAGATTTTTAAAAGCCATTTAATCAACAGTCTGACAGCAGGTTTACCTAGAGTTCTTTAATGCCATAAAGATCAATGCAAAGAACACACAGTGCTGTTAGTATATCGAAGGCTTCTGGTGCCAGTTTGTTTGCAGCATGCTAAAAACCTTAAACTACATATCTTAGACGAAGTATGTCACCACTAACATTTATGCCAATTAAAGTGTTGTGCAGCATTCAAGCATGTCTTATTTTGGAGGGCGTGTAGGTTTTGTCTATTACTTCATCCTGCAAGAACATATGAAGACAGCGTTCGTTCTGCGCCAAGGGGTGGCCTGCAACTCTAGAATTTGAGAATAAAACAAAATTAGACTTCCAGTTTTAAAAATCACTCTCCCACCCCGAACTTTCAGGAAGATTTCCAATTTAGACTTGCTTTTAAATACCCACAACAACAAAAATCAAACTTCCCTATCTTAAGTGGCATTTAAACAACTCTACCAACGGCTAATGGGCTACCACCCACCCACCAGTTACCAGAATTAGCATCCTATCAGCATGACTGCTTTCAGAGAGATCATACTGCAAACAAGTCATCATTCCTGACAAAGGTTAAGGGGGGGGGTCTGTGGTAGGACTCTAACGTACCCTCCCCCACCCTCAGGGAAAATAGAGCAAATGACATTATTAGCCATTTGAAATTTTGAGCACATCCTATATGCAAAGACTCAGCAGCAAACCTACTTTCCCAAGAAACAGCTGCCAAGTTAAAGACAGCCTTAGAAGGTATCCAAAAATCTGGGGCTGTATTCAACTGTGCAACTAATCTTTTTCTTTCACATCTCCTCCACCTCCCACTCAGCCTGCAGTATTCAGGAGGTCCACCTGACTTTGGAGAAGGAAAGATTGCTTACAAAAGCTGCCACTCCCCTCCTGCAGCCACTGGATGCCATCTGAGATGTTGAGAGCTCATGGATGATAGAAGCCAGCTATGAAAAGATCACTGGCCCATCTTGCCTAGCACTGTTAATTGCTTTCAGACTCTGCGCTGTCAAGTCAGACAACCCTTCCCAAGGCCTGCTACCCAAATTCCCTTCGCTAGAGACAGGCTGCATTTCCACAGCAGTTTATTCCATTTACCGAATGTTCTCCTTCTAATTTCCATGTTATATTGGAGCTTTCCACAAGATAAAAGCCACATCCAAAAAGGTTTGTCAAGTTTAGTGCCAATTCCTGTGTCATTTGCAAACACCCCCCCCCCCCCCCCCCGGACGCAATCTGTTTGCAAATAACATGAAAACCTCAGCAATATTTCACTGTATTTCTGGAAGTGGCTTTGACGTTCTGTGAAAGCTCAAATATAATGTTGAAATTAACAGAATCAACAGCCGTGTGACTGCAGCCACTGTCTAATCCGATGTCATAAGCACAAATTTCATGCCATTGAACTGCAATTATGAAGCTATTGGGACAAATACTAAAATGACAATGAGAAGCATTTTCATATTCCTATTTTATATGCAAATAAAGTCCATGCACAATTAAAGGTGACCATCATGTCCAAATAAGTTATTACCAAATGAGCTGGACTTTCAGAACTGTGTGTTTGGTTTGATTTGATAATGTTCATCTTCTCCTTTGATTTATTAGAGGGAGGATGACCAGTATTGGTTCCAAGAAGCAAAATGGGATGGGGAACTATGGAACCAATCCTGGTCATCCTCCCTCTAATAAATCAAAGGAGAACTGGGCAGTAGTAGGCTCAGCCTTCTTGCAGCAAAATAAAATAGTTCATATCCAGATGCCTTAAAATAAGCAAGTTTCAGAAAGCAGGATGGAGAAGCAAGTGAAAAATGCATTCCCAACTACCTGTTATATCCCCCTCCAATTTCAGGATTGGAAAGCCTATAGGCAACTGCCAAAGAGGCAAAACTACCATGCAACTCCAGTCACTGTCCCCTCTGACCTAATACGGAAGCCAAGGCTTAACTGTTCCAGTAAGCAAATCTGAAGAGACGGCCACCCTAGCCAAGGCTATGTGTAAAAACCATTTTGCCACATTACGAGCATCAGCTTCTCAGGCTGCGTAGTCAGATTGTAACCTAACTGTTCCAGCTGATGAATCGCAGCCCCTCCCCCCAGCCTTATTTGTATGATTCTATCTTTACATGCTGTAATTTTAGCAATTTGCATAAATTAAGCAAAACTGAAACAAAACCCAGGTCACGACAAATACTTCAATCATTGCAGCAAAGGTTAAAGCGTTTGTACACTGTTCAGCTTGGATGCTGATAGCGCTTAGATGCAAGTTCAACCCTGAAAGTAGTTCAGGAGCATTTAAAAAGGTGAACTGAGCTTTGCGTGGTATGAGAGCAACTGCACTGCTAAACCCACCGGAGCCAGTGACAGATGTAAGCATGTATAATGTGGTTGCCTTTACACAACTGACATTTCTACACAACTCAAGAAATAGAATAGTGCACTTACTTGTTTATGAATTGTTCAAGCCCTTGCTTCCTTTCCTCTATAAAAGAGTCATCAAATATCCCATCGTCTCCTCTAAAAGGCAATTGGCGGAAAAAAGCTTTTCCAGGCAAGGGAGGCACTACAACCTGAAAGACAGTTGTGATCTAAATTACTAACACACTGAAAAACAGACTGCTTATTTTATGCAGAGAGCATCTAGCTTTTAATACAGTGCCTAGAAAATTTGTTTTAGGAGTACATGGGCTGTACCCTTTCCTTAGACATGGCACTCGAGATGGATGGCTGATTTAATATGGGATGCACAGAAGTGCCCAGCTTAAACACAGCTGCAAGGATTCAGAATGGCCTGTGCTCGGGTCACAGTAAATTCCAGAACTGAGTTGGCAATCCTTACCACCACCACTGACACCACATTACTTAACAGCCCAGGGCAAGCTTTTTCAGTGCCACAACACCTTTGTATCCACGAAAATGTTTTGCCTTACCTTACTCTCTCTTTCTAGTTCACTTCGAAGCCATTCAAAGTCACTGTATCTTCGCCTGACACAAGACTCCTTCAATTTGAAAATAGGAAGGTTTGTCTAAAGAAAAGGAAAGGGGGGGAAATGTCCCATCACTGTTCATCAACAATAGAGTACGCAGGCTTGATTATGCTGAGACTGTCTTCCTTCCCAACACTGGATTCAGGATGTATTGCTCATACGCTACAAGCCCAAGTGCCAAACTTAACATCGCTGTGAGGGCTAAGTATGGAGACTTTACTATTTTAGCTCTAATTGTTGCCCACAAAAGGTAAGGATCTGTCCTACCCCTTCTGGATGATAAGTACTTATCTCCAGGCTGATGCTGGCATTGCAGCACTGCCTATCCTAATCATTAAAAAATTCATACTAACAACTAATCATAGCCTCACTCTAGAACATTTTCTGAACACTTTTCTGCACAAAGTTTCATTTCATTTCAGGGAGCCTGTAGACTTCACTCTTGAAGCACCCATCATTCCCTCTGTCCACTTCTTGGTTAGGTCACCCAGCATGACTAAGGAAGCTTGCTCCAAACTGGGCCCGAATCCAGAATTTATAGCTTGTTGAATTCTAGACTGATGTCCTCTTTGATGTACAGAGCAACACTGTCAATCTGCCTTTTCCTACACTTTATTATTATTATTTAAAACTTACATCCTGTACTTGGTTGGAAAGCCCTAGGACAAGTTACAACAAATGCATACATAACACAATAGCAAAAGCTTCGCAGTACACAGGCATGTGTTACTGTTTTTAAAAGCCAGCCTGAGAAAACAGGTCTTCAGGCAGCACCAAAACGTGTATGATGTTGGCACCAGCCTACCCTCCAGCCAGGGAGATATTGTTAAGAAAACCTTCAGGTGGACAACTGATCCCTCATTTTCCCTTTAGGCTGGGCTCTCCGCCCCCAGCAGATCTCATTTCATGGGCTAGATGTTAGAAGAGATGTGTTCCTGAAGTAAACTGGGCCCCAAGCCATTTGGGCATTATTTAACAAAAGTTGTACCCTAAAAATTAAAAAGAAATCTAAACAGAACTAGTTCAAACATATCCACAATGCAACCTTGAATCTGGTTCAGTGGTAGATTAGCAACCACTGAAATTCATTAAGAGTCCCTGTTGTATGGGTCATGGCATAGTTGCACACGTTTGCAAGGATGCCCACTAGTGCAACAGGACTTCCCCTTCCTGCCCCCCGCACCATCCCCAAATCTGGTGGGGTGGGGGAACCCAGAACAGATTTGGGAGGATGCAGGGGGGAAGAGGAGAGAACATCCCATCATGCAAGGAGAACGCTTGCCTTAGCACTATGTTGAATACAACCCATGAGCTCTTGGTATTAAACCTTCTATTCCCCCCACCCCCACCCCAAAACTGGCTCAGGAGGTCAGGAGAACCCTTGGAAGAGTAGAGGGGGGAGGAGAAGGGAGATTGCTCAGTATGGCAATCCAAAATGCTTGCCCTGACTAAACGATCACCTTAGTGTGACGCTGAAATCCTCCCACTGTGCTCCATCATGTACAGCAACATCTGTATGTACATGGTGTGAAACCCAACCCAAGGGGAATTAGGAAGGCCCTTGCATTTTCCCAGGTAAGCACAGCACTGTTCATTGTATTAATGCCTTAAGGTATATTTTTTCTCTTAACGAGTTCCTTTATGCTAAAAAGTCATGCTTGCATTGAAAGACGCTGGCTTTTGTAAAGGCATTTTTGTCCCAGGCAGGGAACACCACTATACAGTTTCCCCAGGGCTCAGGAGTAAAGATTCCCAGAATAAAAACAGTGGATTATTGCTCTCTAATTTCACCTTTTGGCTTCTTAGCAGAGTTCCAAATTAAGTCACTGTAAGTGTGTAAGGCCTGTAGAGTTCTAGTGTTTTCTGCAGGTGAGATTTTCACCTTTAACATTCCATTTGCTCAAGTTACTTAATCCTTCTTGTTAACTGCTCTTTTATTCAGTAAGTTAAGATAAAGCAGTGAAAGGAGTGCCTCGGAAATTCTTATTTCTTGGTACAGGAGCCTATAAAAGTTAATCTCCAAGCAATATATAAGGCTTAGAAGTACAGTGTTAGGTAAAATGAGCTGGCCCAATACAGGTACCCCTCCATTTTTCCTCCTTTGAACTTCTGACACAATCATGATTTAGACTCCCAACACATTTAGCTGTTTCACTCTTGCCAAGTCGTTTCCTGTTAAGATATAAGCTATCTTAAGACAGCTGCTTAGAGAACTGAAAAGAAGCGTGAGATTTTCTGCCACACTGGTTAACACTTCAGATACATGCTTCTAGTACACAGTCTGCAGCAGTGAATTTATCCTGGATTCATCCTAACCACTGTGCTTTCCCCCCCTTTTTCTTCTTTTTTTTTTGCAATTACTTTAAAACCAAGTACAGTGGTACCTCGGGTTAAGAACTTAATTCATTCTGGAGGTCCGTTCTTAACCTGAAACTGTCCTTAACCTGAGGTACCACTTTAACTAATAGGGCCTCCTGCTGACGCCGCAGCGCGATTTCTGTTCTCATCCTGAAGCAAAGTTCTTAACCTGAGGTACTATTTCTGGGTTAGCCGAATCTGTAACCTGAAGCGCCTGTAACCCGAGGTACCACTGTATTGAGTATGTGAGAGGGAGAAATGACTTGAAATATAGAACCGAGCAGCTAAAAAAGCTATTCATGATTCTTGCAGGATATCTTCAAGATGGCAAATGAGATATTCTACATCACTGATATTCAACTGGTGGGTTGGTAGCTTCTACATGGTTGCAACAGCAGTGCTAACTTCATACAAATATGGTGGTGGTGGTGAGAATTAAGAAATGGCTTCAATACATGTTTGGGTTAAAGGCGGGTCCCAGGTCTGAAGACTACTGATCTATTCCAATGAGATATGCATAAGTGATAAGGGCTGCACTGCTCCAACCTTGAAGTCGATAATTTGCTCTGAGGCAGCAGCAATTCATTCCAGCAGACCAACTGCTAAAACTACATCAGAGCCTCAAGGACAGAGAAGGTGTAACTTTATATGTGTCAGCAAGGCTAGATTACACTTGGATCCATCTCAAGTAATGAAAGGCAACACAAAGGTCCCAGTCTGATGAATTGTATGCTTTTACAACATTATAATGTAGGATCAATGGTGCAGTTTAGGCTCTGACCTCCCAAACCTATTTTGTTGCAACTCAGGGGTGTTTTTTATTAAACAAACACCTATTTATGTTGACATTTAGTTACAAAGTTTATATCCCACCCTTCTTCCAGAGAGCTCAAGATGATTTAGCATTAAGGGATGGGGAACCTGTGGCCTTCCAGGTGCTGTTTAACCACAATTTCCATCCTCCTTTGCCACTGGTGATGCTTGCTGGGGCTGGTGGGAATTGGAAATTGTAATCTCCTAAAGAGCCATAGGTTTCCCGTGATGCCCTGCTTTACCTTCATAACCAGCTTCATGGCTGAGTAGGGATTAGATCCTGGGTGTCTCTAGCTCTAGCCCAGAACTAACCGCTACACTGGCTCACTTGACATACTGGCCCTTAAGAGTCAATGCAGCGTTGTAGCCAAGTGTTAAGTATCTGGTTCAGGATTCACATCAGTGGCAAATTCATTTGTAACCACCTCATCAGCTGCTTTCTGAAACACTGGGATTAAACACCAACCTTCCTCACATTTTTACCAACAATCTTCGCAGGAGATTTGCATTTGCACACTGAAAAATAGACTAGAAGGTTCCATGTCCTAAACAACCTCAAGGTAAACCCATACAGTGGTACCTCGGGTTAAGTACTTAATTCGTTCCGGAGGTCCATTCTTAACCTGAAACTGTTCTTAACCTGAAGCACCACTTTAGCTAATGGGGCCTCCTGCTGCCGCCACGCCGCCGGAGCACGATTTCTGTTCTCATCCTGAAGCAAAGTTCTTAACCTGAAGCACTATTTCTGGGTTAGCGGAGTCTGTAACCTGAAGCATATGTAACCTGAAGCGTATGTAAACCGAGGTACCACTGTAAATCTATAACACACCTGCAAGAAAAGACTCCCTGAAGAGTCTCTGGACAAAGCCATTGTGTAACTTACACCAATTTTGATGCCACCTTCATAGTAGCTAGCCTTCCTACAACTCAGTTGTCAACAGGGAGGTGTGGGTGCTTCTAAAAGCAACCAGGTGCTCCCAATAAACTTTCTATAGTTAGCTATCAGGCAGAGGTGTATGATGTAAAACAAGCCTATCTGAGACTCTCTTGCATGTGCCACCTACACATTATGAAGGAGTTTAGGAGAAGTTACAATGCTCTTCTACTGCCTCCTGCTGGCAGATTCTCTCTGGTTAACATTATTTGGATACCTGGTGAACCTTTCTTAATTCTGCTAAAGAGATGTGATTGCTGTTAAAAAGGTTTAAATTTAAGAGGAAGCCAAAGCATTTTTGTAAGCCACTCATCCATCTTGACTAACAGGTGGGGCAATATCTTTCAACAAATAAAAAAAAAAAAGTGCTTATGTGTGGGCCATCACATACTCACACCCCCCCCCCCCAAGGAGAATTTCCATCTGGAAAAGCCAGTCCGCCCCCCCACCCTGATCTTCATTTATACACCTTTACTTGTATCAGTTATGAATGTTGGAAAAATACCACCACCACTGACCAGGATCATCACTTCCCAACATGTTTAAGTGGCAAGATTCCTTTTTCAAATACTATGCAAAGATGTTACACTATATAAAACCAGATTCAAAACTGACCTTCCTTTTAAGTGCATGGCAAGCACTGGAGGATGGAGTGAAATTATCTAGATGAGTCGAGAGTTCTCTTATACTACTCTCTTCATGAGTCAACAACCCTTAACACACCATCAATGGTAGTTCCATTTTAAAAATGGAAGGTATATTAATCAGTTCCTCCCAAACCTGAGTTTTTTCCATCTTGCATGACATGCCATAAGATGCATGCAAGTGGGAAAGTCAAAATGATGTATAGCAACAAGAAGTCCTTTAATAGGTTCTGAGATATGAAACTGAAGGGAGGTTCTAAAAAAGGCCCTTTTTCTAAAAGATAACTAGAATAAGTGCTAACTGATTGTAGCCTATACAAACACAGCACTAGAAAGATCAAGTACTCATAGATTGGGCTTTGATACAAGATGCCATTCTGAATTATTAGAAGCGAAAGGGTATTCATCACTGTCAGAGCTGCTTCCAGATCCTAGCTCACAGAGGATCACGCTAGCCAGCGATCATTAAACAAAAGTCTTTATTGAGTTACAGTTTCCATTCTCAAACTGCTGCGTGCAACTCTACGTCTCATGGTTAGACCGGCGAAGCTCCGTCTGAGTCTCCGCCCTTGTACACCAACTTAATATCCTAGCCCTGCTCCACCTTTTCCGCCTGACTGTTCTTCTCTGGGTCCCTCTGCCCCCGGGGTCTCTTCTTTCCGGGATTCCTCTGACGCTGACGCTGACCCCCCTGACTCTTCTCCCTCCTTTCGGCGGGCTTTAGGACCTGGCTCCCTTTCCGGGCTGCCTACTGTGCCACCTTCCTGTGCATTTGAACTTGCGCGCGCGCCCAACCTTCCACCTTCCGTCTGACCGTTTCTTCGCTCCCCGATGGAGGTGTGGCCACTCCAGACACGTGACCTCCCCCCCCATGTGAGCTGCCAGCGCTTGATCCCTGGCTCCCTTCCTCTTCCCTGCTCTCTGGCGGTGACGCTGGTCCCGATTTCCAACTGCTCCCCTCTGAGTCCCCTCTGGCTCTATCTTCCTGGGGCGTCCCCCTAGGCCCCCCCCTTGCCCTGGCCACTGGTGCTCCTTTCTGTGAATCTTCTGATTCACTGGAAAGACTCGGAGATCTCGGGTCGTCGTCATCACTCATCTTTCCTTCTGCCTCCTCCCCCTCTCTCTCTGTTTCCTCCCTTGCCCTTGCCTCTGCTCCTGAACCCCTGACATCCAACCCCCTCGAAGCCCCTCTTCCCCCTCCCCTCCTTCCGGTGCGGGATCTGGGTGCTGCCGTGTCAGGGGACGAATGTCGGATACAGTTCGCTTCCCGTGGCGGGCCGCCATCTGAAGTCTTCCGGTTCTTCCTCCCTGCTCTCGTTGACGACGGTCACCTCCGCTTCCATCTCTGTGCCGCCGTGCTCGAAACCCGGGTCGTCCCCGAAAATGTCCATGTCCGTCTCTCTCTCGTTACCTTCTGGAGACGTTGCTCGTCCTGGACCCTCCAGCCACCTTCTGCGGAACTGCTCCTCTGGTCGATCATCCCACCAATACGAGGGTTCTGAAGCAGATCCCGAGGGTGACCCCTCCGGGGAACGGGCGTCTCGTGTCGGTTCCTCGTCCGAGTCGAACCCCCGAACGTGCTGGCTGAAAGCGTGGGCGTGAAAAGCCAGTCGTCGAAAAAGTCTGCTGGCATTGGCCTATGTGGGAAGAGGGCATGAAACTCTTCTTTGAGCAGAGGTTCGCCTAAAGCGTAGCCCGGCACCCAGCTGTTGGCACTGGCCGGGTGCCCTCCTTGGCGAGAAGGTATTCTACCCCCTCTTCCCCCATCTGGAGTCCAAAATCTCCGTGGCTTCGTTGATGCGCTCCTCCCGTGCCACTCTGCCCGGTTCTCTCTCGGAGCGGACCCGGTGCCGTTCCTGGTTCCTGAAACCTGTGAGGTGCCTTGTATGGAGTGAGCACCGATCTGTGGAACACCGGATGCATCCTGGAACCCTCCGGAAGAGCCAGCCTGAAAGCCACCGGGTTGACCTGTTCTTCGACTTGGTAGGGCCCCAGTTGTTTATGCCCTAGTTTCTTCTTCGCCAACGACCTGGCCGACACTGCGTGGGCTGCTAACCAGACCCAGTCTCCCACATGGATCTCTTCGCCCACCCTTCTGTGTTTGTCCGCTTGTACCTTGTATGCGTGTTTAGCCAGCTCCAGGTGCCGCCGCAGCTGATCGTGGACCTCCTGCAACTCCGACGCGAATGCATCTGCTGTCTGCGGCTCCCTCCCCCATTCTTTCCAGTCCCGGGAAGGTTCTGGGGTGCCTCCCGTTGTTGGCGAAGAACGGCGTGACCCCCGTGGACACGTGCTTCGTGTTGTTGTAGGCGAACTCGGCGAGAGGCAGGTAATCCACCCACGTCGCAGGCTGTTGATTCGCATAACATCTCAGGTACTGCTGCATGATGGCATTGACCCGCTCCGCTTGCCCATTGGTCTGCGGGTGTCTAGCCGACGCCAGGTTGATCTTGACGTTCAGGAAGCCCATCAGCCTCTGCCAGAAGTTCGAGATGAACTGTCGCCCTCGGTCGGACAGAATAGACCGCGGCAGACCGTGAACCTTGAACACGTGGTCTATGAACAGTTTGGCGGTTTGTTCCGCCGTGGCCACCTTCGCACACGGAATGAAATGTGCCATCTTGGAGAACAAGTCCACCACCACCAGCACAGCCGTCTTGCCCCCGAGCTGGGCAGATCCGTGACAAAGTCCAGGGCCACTCTCTCCCATGGTTCGAACGGAGTTTGCAGCGGTTCCAGCAATCCGGCCGGCGGTCTGTGCACTGGTTTGGCCCTCTGGCAGGTGTCACACCTCGCCACGTAGTCCGCGACTTCCCTCTCATTCCTGGCCACCAGAAGTCTCTGGCTACTAATTCCACCGTCTTCTCCTTGCCAAAGTGCCCGGCAGTGGGCGCGTCGTGCAGCTGCTGCAGTACCTTGGCGCGAAGTTCGTCTCCCGGCACGTAGATGGCCCCTTTACGGATGAGCAAACCATCTCGCAGCTGGAACTCGTCGGTCGCTGCCGTGCCCCTGTGCGCCTCTGCCATCTTTGCTTGCGCGAAGGAGTCATCCTGCAACGCTCGTCGCACCGCCTCCAGGTCAACTGTTGCCGCTGTGCACGCCCACACTGTCGGTGCGAAGATGTGCATGGCGGCCGCTGGCGTTGCCTCCTCCAGATACTGCGGCTTACGGGAGAGAGCATCCGCCATGATGTTGGTGTCCCCGGGACATACTCTATTCGGAAGTCGAAATTCGCAAAGAACTCAGCCCAACGTATCTGCCTCTGGTTCAGGAACTGTGCCGTGCGCCAGTGCTCTAGATTCTTGTGGTCCGTGCAGACCTGCACCGTGTGCTTGGCGCCGATCAGGAAGTGCCTCCACGCTTTGAACGCTGCATGAATGGCCAGCAACTCCCTGTCCCAGATGGTGTAGTTCTGTTCGGACTTGCTGAGCTTCCTTGAGTAAAACGCTCCCGGCCTCCAACCCCCTGCGGGTCCTTCTGCAGCAGGACTGCTCCCACGGCTCTGTCCGAAGCGTCTGTCTCCACCCTCATCGGCTTGCTGGGGTTGACATGAAGCAGTTGCCCTTCCGACGCGAAGAGACGCTTGAGTGCCTGAAAGGACTGCTCCGCCTGCTCTGTCCAGATGAACTTCTTTTCTTGGAGCTGAGCGTGTCCGTGATGGCCGCTGTCTGCATGGCAAAGCCTTTGATAAACTTGCGATAGAAGTTCGCAAAGCCGACAAACCGTTGGACCTCCTTCCGGTTGCGTGGGCTTTTCCAATCCAACACTGCTCGGACCTTGGCGCTGTCCATGGCGAGCCCTTTATCAGACAACTTGTAGCCCAGGAAATCCACCTCCGTCACGTCGAATTGGCACTTCTCCAGCTTGGCGTAAAGCCTATGTTGCTGTAGCCTGCTCAGCACTTCCTTGACGTGTCTGTCATGCTCCTGCTGCGATTCCGAAAAGATCAGGATGTCATCCAAGAAACAGACGCACGTCTTGTAGAGGAGCCCCGCCAACACGTGATGCATGAACGCTTGAAAACGTGGGAACCATTTTGCAATCCAAAAGGCATAACTCTATATTCGTAGGTGCCCAGGGGCGTGAACATGGCTGTCTTCCACTCATCTCCTTCCCGCATGCGAATGAGGTTGTACGCCCTCGCAGGTCCAACTTAGTGAACACGCTGCCCTTCCGTACCTTTGCGAGGAGGTCGTCGATTCGGGGCATGGGGAAGTCCGATGGCTTGGTCACGCTGTTCAAAATGCGATAGTCCACTACAAGTCTTTTCTGGGGCGTGTCCCGCTTCTTAACAAAGAATACCGGACTGCCCCCGCTGCCTTGGACTCTCGGATGAAACCGCGCTCCAAATTATGATCTATGAACTCTTTGAGTTCCTGCAGTTCGTCCTCAGACATGGAATACAGCTTCCTTTGGGCAGCGCCGCCCGGCAGCAGGTCAATTTTGCAGTCATATGGTCTGTGGGGGTAGCCTGTCTGCCTCCTTCTCGCAGAAAACCTCCAAAAATTCTGCGTACTTGTGGGGAACCGCTTGCAGCGTGCCTAGCTGCAGCTGTGACTCCTCTTCCTCTCCTTCCTGCCGGGGCACGATGCAGTGTTCAGCGCAAAGGAAGAGCCGAAGGTCAGCTGCCTCTGGTACCAAGCCAGCGTCGGGCTGTGCTTGTCCAGCCAACTCATGCCCAATACAATGGGCGTGTCCGATAGTTGAGTGACATTGAAGCTGATGATTTCCCTGTGATTCCCAAGCCGCATCACCATTGGTGGCGTCTGCTTCACCACTTGCCCCCCTAGCAGCTCCCTGCCATCCACCGTGACAACCTGCAGGGGCAGCGTGGCAGGCAGCAACTGTATAGCGTGCCGGTCGACAAAGTCCTGCCCTATAAAGTCCGCATTGCTTCCGGAGTCAATGGTGATTGGCACGTCCATGGTGATTCCATTGGGCAGCTGGAGCGACGCGGTGAGCCTCACTACTGGTTTGGGCGGGAGGGGTCCATGGGCTGTAAAATCTCTGGGGACTGCTTCACTGACACGTCTGGCTGGGCCCCAGTGCCTCTTCCTCCAACCAGACTCCGTCGTTTCCCTGCTGTGGTTCTCCTTGCTGCGTTGCTGCAGTTACCATTGCTGAAGCTGCAGTGTGCTTGTGGAGCCTCTGGGGACACTCTTTCGCCATATGCTGTGGAGCATCGCAGATGTAACACTTCCTGTTCCCTCTAGGAGGCTTCGCTCACTGCTGCCGGTGCTAGGGCTCTGGCTGCTGACTGAGCCCTTGCACCTCCAACCTCCATAGGTTCCGCTCCTCCTCCTGGCGGAGGCGTGGATTGCGCACGCGCTGCTTCTCTGGGAAGGAAGGAGGAGCCCCTGGCTGGTTCGCGCCCTCCACGCCCTTCGTCCCTGCTCCACGGACGTTCTTCCAGCCGCACCCCCACCGCCAGCGCCCTCTGAACGATCTCCTGCGTGGTCCGGGGTCTCTCCCCCCTCGCAATTTCATCTTTAACCGAGCCGTGCAATCCCTCCCAAAACAGGTCTCTTACAGGAGCCGAATCTCTGTCCCATTCCAGAGCACTGACCAAAGCGAAAAGCGGGCATGGTACTGCCTTACGCTGGCCCTCCCTTGCTTCAGTCCATGTATCTGCTGCCGAGCAAGATCCACGTCAATGCTTGATAAAAAGCACCCATCCATCGCTTTAATAAAGGCATCCGCATTTTGGAGCGCCGGATCCTTATCTCTCCACAAATTGCGCAGCCATGCTTTAGCATCTCCATGCAAATGGGACATGATGAATCCCACCTTCTCTTGCTCATCTCTAAAGTCTTTGTCCAGCAGTTGCAGTGCACACATTACATCTGCTCTAAAGTTGGGGTACTGTTGCAAATTCCCATCGAAGTGAGAGACCAGACCGCCTGTTCGTCTCCCCAACCCAATCCCCTCCGGTTTGGGTGTCAGTTGCCCTTGCTTCGTAAGCACTTCCAACCTGACCTGGAGATCCCTGTAGGCGGCAGCTGCGTCCTCCTCTCTCTTCCTGGATGCAAGAGCCTCGGCATTCAGTCGTGACACTGCTTCTCTGAGTTCCGCTATCTGCTGTTCGGCCGTCATATTGTCTGCCTTTCGTGAGCTCGCTAGTAGGCACCCGCTTTCTCTCCTCTCCGCGAGGCTGTAGATGCCCACAATTTATAGAGACGGAGCTTACTGTCAGAGCTGCTTCCAGATCCTAGCTCACAGAGGATCACGCTAGCCAGCGATCATTAAACAAAAGTCTTTATTGAGTTACAGTTTCCATTCTCAAACTGCTGCGTGCAACTCTACGTCTCATGGTTAGACCGGCGAAGCTCCGTCTGAGTCTCCGCCCCTTGTACACCAACTTAATATCCTAGCCCTGCTCCACCTTTTCCGCCTGACTGTTCTTCTCTGGGTCCCTCTGCCCCCTGGGGTCTCTTCTTTCCGGGATTCCTCTGACGCTGACGCTGACCCCCCTGACTCTTCTCCCTCCTTTCGGCGGGCTTTAGGACCTGGCTCCTTTCCGGGCTGCCTACTGTGCCACCTTCCTGTGCATTTGAACTTGCGCGCGCGCCCAACCTTCCACCTTCCGTCTGACCGTTTCTTCGCTCCCCGATGGAGGTGTGGCCACTCCTGACTCGTGCCCTCCCCCCTGTTGTGAGCTGCCAGCGCTTGATCCCTGGCTCCCTTCCTCTTCCCTGCTCTCTGGCGGTGACGCTGGTCCCGATTTCCAACTGCTCCCCTCTGAGTCCCCTCTGGCTCTATCTTCCTGGGGCGTCCCCTAGGCTCCCCCTTGCCCTGGCCACTGGTGCTCCTTTCTGTGAATCTTCTGATTCACTGGAAAGACTCGGAGATCTCGGGTCGTCGTCATCACTCATCTTTTCTTCTGCCTCCTCCCCCTCGCTCTCTGTTTCCTCCCTTGCCCTTGCCTCTGCTCCTGAACCCCTGACAATCACGAATGTGTGATATTTCCACTGACTGATCAGCAACGCTACCAGATACTTATGACAGAAAAATAACCTTGAATCACTCTGCCAAATGTGTGTTGCCAAACCCATGATTACGGGGATAAAAGAGACGTTTGTAAGAGAATTGGTAGAATTCTCGGAATTAGTGCTGCCAGGTCTTAAACTCTAAGCAGTGTTTCTCAACCTTGGATCCCCAGATGTTGTTGGACTACAACTCCAATCATCCCTGAGCTCTGGCCTTGCTAGCTAGGGGTGATGGGAGTTGTAGTTCAACAACATCTGGGGACCCAAGGTTGAGAAAGGCTGCTAGAGGCATTACAAAAAGGAAGTTCAAACTGCCCACAGCAGTACTTCAGGGCAAATCCATAACATCCGTACTACAGGGCAACTTGCAGAGCTTCCGTAAACTTCCGTAAACCACTGGGTACCGATTCTGTCAGCTATTCAACAAATTTGTACATGTTTTATTTATGTGGATGCAGCCCTTGGAGGGTGTTCATGTCGCCTATCAAGCCAATATTTCAGATTGGGCAGTTATTTGGACATTTGCCACAGTGATAATAAGCCTTAGTCATTAAAAGAGAAATAAGGCTCACACAGGGGGATTTTAAATTCTTGACATTAACCACAGTTTAGAACACTGTACATATCAGAATCCCAGAGGGCCACACATATTGTTAACAAGGACTACAGCGTATTTTTGGAGAGAGTATAGTAGCCTTGCAGGCTAAAAGCCTGCTATAACCAAGGGCCTAATGTGACAGACATTCAGTATCACGTTGGTCAAGGTCACGATTGTTCAGAATGGTGCAAAATTACAAGAAACAAGTGTAAGCAGAGCTTCAAAGGTTTCATCAAGTACAGGAAGGTTGAATTTATGCCTTTGCAATTGTCTATCGAAAAGAGATTTCTCTCCTCCCTGTGTCTACCCTCTCCCATGTTTCTTAATTTGAATTATTTCTTACCTGCCCATCATCTTAAGTGATCCCAGAGTGGAGTACATCAAAGCAATTTAAAATCCAACAATGGGAACCATCAGCACAATGTCACCATAAAGCAAAGAGCAGATAAACATTGGTAAATGGCAGCTAATACCGTATTTCAAAATTCAGGCTATGGGAGAAATCTGCAGCAGGAACAATACCAGAAATCAAACAGCAGCGACACATTTAGGAGGCTAAAAGTCTTAAGCACTGACAGTGTAAGTGGCCTGACTCTCAAATCCTAGTAGATAACTAGGGATAGATCAACTCGATGAAGTGTGGGGCACCAACAGAATGTTCTGCCAGCTGTCAAGGGCAATCCAGCCTCTTATGTAGGTTGCATCTGCAAAGAGATTCCTTACTGCAAGTCAGCAATCAGATGAAGATATCTGAAGGTGTATCTAATGTGGGTTCTTTAAAGCTTTTGAGAAGCTATCAGCTCTAACAGATAGCTAGTTGAATTCTTGCAAATATTAAATTTTGTATACTCCCGGAAACCAACAACCTACTGGGCTGCTTCATTCTATATCACTGAAATTTCCTTACTGCATCCAGGGGTTCCCAAACTGTGGTCTGTAGACCATCAGTGGTCTGTGAGTTTCATTCAAGTTGTCTGAGGTGCATCTGTAAAAATACAATGAAAAACCATGCAGCATCTAGCACAGTACAGTACGGTTGATACAATAGGCCGAAAAAGCATTAAGCGGTCCTCCAGGACCCTCTACAATTTTTCAAGTGGTCCTTGGGGGAAAGTTTGGAAATTACTGCTCTAGTAAAAAGGTCACCATGGCAGCTGGCACAACAGAAGCAGCAAATAAAATTCTTAAGCAATAGCCTCTGAGAATCCAGGAGCCACAAACTGCATTCCCTTTAAAATGCAGGTCAACAGTTTAGGAGTGAAATCTCTTCTCAAAAGACAGTGCAACCACTTTTGATCATCAAAAGAAACTCCTTCATACATGGATTGTTTTTGCTTATTTCCCCTCCATCCAACCCATCATAGGCCTCAGGTGGTCGGTCATTCAAAGACTACCATCATACTTGATTAAGATGGAAAGGAATAACAGCTGGGCATCATTAAGATACCAATGATAATCCACTCAAAATACACATTTCAGAAATCCTTCACCAGAAGTGTAATGTGAAAGTTAAGGAATGAGAGACTGAATGGAACTTTTACAGAATGATGCATGAAGGCTCCCGGGAATCCGCAGGTGAAGTATGAGTAGAACTACTGCAAAGCAATGTTCCCCACTCAGAACCCCAGTTGGATCAGGGGGCTACCAGGGCCAATGGTACCAAACATGGCTAAGCAATCTGGGAAAACAAAAATTATTACATTCCTCCTCCGACGTCCCTCCTGGGGTAAGCTGCATGAAAGTTGCAAGAGAATCAGAACAAGCATCTTGTCCACAACCTTGAGTGTCAGTAATTGACACTTATCCAATAAAAGCCAATCAGAAGAGAATCTTAACACATCTTCTGTATTGACTTCAGTGTCAGAACAGATGCAAACTTTTTTGTCTGCAAAACTGTCTGTGACCTGCTAGACACATGTAATGATACCTGCATATGCAGAAATTCTCAAAAGCTTTAGTGGCCCTGCAGATGTTGAAATGTCACCCCTCAGCTCCAGGCACCGTAGCTCAACCAACCCACTGCTGATGTAGAAGCACTTAAAAGCTGCAAAGCTACTCCTAAGAAATCCCCTTCCCAATATAAGCCCTCCAGTTTGCATCAATAGTCAGCTATTGGGCATGCTAGCTCCAGCCATGACCAAAGGCTAGCCCCCTACGATATTCTGGGGGAGGGAGAAGGAGGAAGAGAGAAAACCACCAGAGGCGTAAGACCACACAAGGTATACTAACCAATGACAGGAAAAGGAGCTTCTGAGACTCACAACAAGCACATGCTTGCCAAACAGCTGAGTCATCAAGAAGGGGATGGTCCCTTTGCACTTCTGTTTTGCTAGATCCATTACGACAGTTGCTCAATTCTGAAGAGGACTCCAGCCTCCAGGGACAGTTCCACTTAATGCTGTCAACACATGGGCTGAACTGCTTCTCTGTGCAGACTTCCTTCACCTCACGTCATATCACAACAACTCTGTAATAACACATCTGCTTTGTACTGTTTTTAACAGCAGGGGTGACATTCAGGCCTGCTTGCAAGAAAGCTCACAATCCTTCTGAGAAAAGGAAGGTGTGTGATGTGTGGCATCCTGCTGATGGACTCCGGACCACTGATCTCCAACAGAATATTTTTAATCAGCTAAGTGGCCTTACCCATGTATAAGCAGCTGTCAGCCCACCCAACAAGCCACCAGTTATATTATCCTCTAACACAGGTCGAGGAGAGTTCATAGCCTAATGGTCATTTAAGCATTTGTCTAGAACAGATCCACATTTTCAAACTTTTATTCACATTGAATTATTGACCCATGTTAGAGAACAGATTCTGGAATGGAGGTCCCAAGCAAAAATCATTAACTGATTCGGCAGGAATTGCTGACTATTAGCTGGTAGTCAGGGCTTCAAAGCACCTTGCAAAGGTCTTTGCAGGGGCTGCCAAGTAACTTATCAGTGGTGCCTGCAAACCCCCTTTTGGCTCAGCCACCTAACATGAGGTGTGGGGCAGGTGGGTGTAGCCCATGGACCAGGGGTTCCCCATTGCCAAATAGGAGAGTCATAGTGTACTTAGCAGCTGTATGGAATCATACTTTCTTTATCTCAGAGAAAACCAAGGTCTTTTTACATTAATTGATTAGAAATAATTCCTGGCAACACTAAATGGTCTGGCCCCACCATGAAAAGTCACAATTTTTCTTGATATCTAGAAAATCATTATGAAGTTGCTTCAGTTAATTTACCAGCTGATTGTACATTCTTCCAAGTGTATAATCAGTTTAAGAACAGGTCTAAAGTGTTTTCAGGAAGTCTCTTCTTAAAAGGCCAGAAAATTTTAGTATAAACACTGAAAGGGTGGGATTCAACTAATGAGTCATGTCAGCTGTGCAAGGACTTCTGCTTGCACAATGGGGCTTTCCCCTCTCCTTGCAAACTTCCCACTCCACTCCACTCCACTCCACCCCACCCCACCCCACCCCGCGACTGGCTGTGGAGTTAAGCAACTCCCCAGAGCAGTGCGGAGAGGAGGGATCATTCCGTCTGACAAGCTCAACTTGCCCCGACAGAACGATAATCTTAGCAAAACATCAAATTCCTTCCTTAGTATTTACATAAGTATAGCTTTACATTATTTTTCTGTCACCAAAGGGAATTATTCAATATATTACTTTTTGAAATTATCTAATATTTGAGTGTCATGATGTATTGATTGCATTTGTCTTGTGAGCCACACTGGGCTTAGTTAAAATGGAAAAGGAGCATACAAATTGAAATAAAAATAATACATCAGGGACTTCTATCCCATGACTAAGTATACTTCAGACAGAGCAAGCACATGCTCAAGTAAGTGTTGCTTAATATTGTTGCCACCCACATTTCTCCAGAAAGACTTTAGTTTGGCTCTTCAAAGTTGCTGAAGAGCAGAAAAGGAAGGAAAGAAAAAGCAGAAGGAAATATAGAGGATATAGAACTGTTCAGCTTGGCCCCTCAAATCAGCAGAATTTGCAAGAGCATCATTCCAAGGACAATTTAATTAACCCGATACGCCGTACTTAAAGAGATCATTTGACCCAGGACAATTGAGAGAAAGAAACATGCACCCATATCACCCAGTTTGGAAGAACACAGTAACTGGAAGAGTAACCTGAAAGGAAAATACCTGGTTCTAGGACAGCATATCTAATATCAGTGGAATCAGACACTTTTGTTCGATTCAGAGATGAACATTTTATCCCACCTTGCAACTCTAAGAATGATTGTGTAGTTCTATAACATGCCAAGGCAGTAACTCATCAGCAGCACCAAGGTATTTTTCTTCTAATCCCAATTCAGACATATACTTTTCTCCTTTGTAATTTTTGATCAGAATGCAACTTCTACAAAAGATGCTGACAAAAATAAAAAAAAACTATTTGATTTGATTGTTAGTGTTTAAGCTACAATATTTTAAAACCAACCTGAACTTTAAACACTCTTCAAAACTCTATGATCCTCTTATGAACAACTACTTTTCTTTAAAGGGAATGAACTGTGAAAAAACTAACTCTGTCAGTCCTCATACAAGTACATGACATTGATACTGGTGGACTGGCAAGTCACAAGCTTCACCCACCAAAGCAGCTAAGTGACCTTAAAACTTGCTTGATAATTGGCTTAATTCTTCTGTATTCATGATGCAAGCAATTCTAATGCAGTGTGACAGGATTATGAGTTATTTGAAATAAAGCAATTATTCATCATTTTCTAAACAGTAGGAAAAACAGTGCGGCCTTCAAGGTTGTATAAAGGCTCTGAAGTTTAAAATCAGCATTTAAGTAACCAGTTTGCATGCACTTTTACATAGGAAATATCTAAGTAAGTGGAAAACTCTGATTTAAATCAATGGTGTATTTTGGCCTTTTTTCCTGCAATTTAACTCTCCTTGATCTAAATCAATCCAGCCAGGCTTGTGATGACAGAATGAACCATCTGCTGCTACACTGTTAAAATATCTGACTCTTAGTGCTGTTTAATCTTTGTGGTATAAACCACTTGAAGCAATATTCTATTACAATGATATTTCTGTTGCATCAAACTAGGGTACCTTTGCTTGATGGAAGAAGTGAAAGTAGACAAGTGACTCAATTCCTACTCTGGTTTTTAACTAATCAACTGTATGCTTCATGATTTGAGAGCAACTTTGTTGTTTAGAGTGGCATTTCATATTTCATGCTTGTCACTGTCAATGGGGAACACCTGACCTCTACGGTTTTCACTGTAAACAAACTATTACTCACTCAAAAGGAGCATGTAGTAGAACCATTTTTATCTGACTACAGTGCAATCTTCCAAGTCCAAGTAGAACTGGAAATACAACAGTAGAGAAACACGGAAATATGCTAGAGACCAAATAAATGTGAGTGGTGCAGATCAGATCCTTTTCAGGATTCGATCCTTTTCACAAATTTGAATGGAAGACTGCAATCCTGTGCACTTCTGAATAGACAAGAATATATTGGAAAAGCCTAAATGGTTTTGAGAGACAGAAAAGTTCTAGTCTCAGAGAGGACTGAGACAATTCAAGAGTTTCTTGTTGTGCCAGGAATGGCGCCCCACTCTAATTATTCTCCTTTCCCACTTCACACAATGGAATGGGAGGAAGGTGCCATCTCACCCTTTGTCTCACAATGCTTTGGTCTAGACCCAATGAAAGCAAGTGTTTTGAATCCACTATTTTAGGAGTGCAGCTCCATAAGAAAGCATGCACTCGCCACAGTACCACAAAACAACGCTACTGATGTGTGCAAAGAATCGCTCTAACTGAACGCTCACCCCACCCACTACTAATCTGCAGTTACAATTCTTGTCCATTTCAGATAAGAAGAAATCCTAAAGTGCTGTTAAAGTGGACTTTTATGCCTTCCTCACCTTCAATTTCTTCAGCGCCTGGATTCGTTAATAATGGAAAGCCAAAAAGGGTACAAACAGGATGTGTGTTTAGTTAGAGCATTAAGCCAATTCAATGAAGCTTTTCTTAGGTGGAGTGTTTAAGGCAGCAATTTATTTCTAAAAAATTGTGAACATGAAAGATTAAATCTACGTGCTTTATATTAAAAGTTAATATAGGTTAAGTGGTAAATGCAATATATAATAGCTTTTAAGTATCTAACCTGAGGCTTGCCAAGAAAAAAGGAGCTTCCATTAGAAAGGCTCAATAGTAACTTTTAGTTTAGTCTTAGAAATGCATCTGTCCTTGTCTTTTGTGAAAGCAATGTACTCAAGTTATGTGCAAATTCACGTTGTTGATACCTTCCAAGCTCTCAAATCAAGTGTGGTCTACAAATTAGTTTTAGCCTTGGGATTCTGAGACACTTAAAGATCTTCCCATAGTAACAGCACCAACAGCATAAAAGCAATATAAAAAAAACCCTCATTTCCCATTAGTTTGATGGCTCAGGAGCTGGGGAGAGTAGATTTAGCAGGCACGCACATCAACCAAAGCTTGTTAGGAATCATCAATCACTGGCTGCTTCAGATGTGATGCTAAGCCATAGTTACAGCAGTTTTCTTCAACATGGTGCCCTCCAGATGTTATTGAACTCTAATTCCCATCAGCTTTGGTCAGCATGGCCAGCATTGAGGGATGTTGGGTGTTGTGGTCCACAACATTCATGCTGATGAAGGCCAAGATGAGCCTAGACCGGCATGGCCAAACTTGGCTCTCCAGATGTTTTGGGACTACAACTCCCACCATCCCTAGCTAACAGTACTGGTGGTCAGGGAAGATGGGAATTGTAGTCCCAAAACATCTGGAGGGCCAAGTTTGGCCAAGCCTGGCTTAGACAAACCTCACATATATGTTCACCACCCCACCCCCATCAATGATCACAGGTTCAGAAGCTTTCACTTCTGTTTTATAAGAAACACATCGTGCCATATCATCTGGACCCAAACTGTGGTTACTCTTACCTATGGTCTGTTTGAGCAAGCCACCTTTAACTCAAGGATTAGGAAGTTGACTTGTTTCAGCAAGCTATAGTTAAGATTAACCAGTCTGGAGTAATCTAAAACTGAAGTGAAAACTTCCAGTTTCCTTGAAGCTGCATCTAAGAACATTTCACCAGTGTTTAGTGTGTTGTGTGTAAACCGGTGGGTTTTTTTAATAGTAATAATAACAATAATAACAACAATCTTTTATCTCAGTTTCTAATTTCCTTCAACACTTCCTCTGGGCCCTTTCCCCTCAGAATAAGGAGATCCTTCTCTCCCTCCCCCCCCCCGCCGCATCCCAAATTTCTGTCTCTCGGCCACCTTTGCTCAGCATGCAGGGAATTGCTGGTATTGGCCCTGGTCTAACCATAAGGAAATGACCTGACTAGAAGACAGGATAGGCAGGTGAGGTATTGGGCTGGCTGAGGTACTGAAGGCCCACCTGAACATGGCTCAAGGCATACTGGTGGATCCCAGCCCATGGTTGAGAAACACTGAAATAGTGTGTTTGCCTTGGGCGATACCACATTTCTCTGACATTATAGGACTGTTAAAATGAAATGGGATAACCCTCTTCACAACAGGCTCTTAACCTTGAAGAGAAAAAGCAAGATACAAAGGTAATGAAGTCTGGTCCTTAAGCAGGCTAAATGCAAGGAAGTCACTGAAACTAAGTCCAGGTGAAACCAATTCATTTGCAAGGCAAACTGTAGTCCTCCAAGCATTTCATGGTCCCCACGAATCACAACTTAGCTGTTTTAGGAACCACTATTGGGCCAGGGTCTTCTTAGTAGTCATCATGGACGTAGCCAGGATTTTTGTTAGGAGGGGCAGGACTTGGTTGGGAGAACAGGACTTTTGTTAGGGGGGGGCAGAACCAACGTGATTAGTCAGTTAATTAAGTATTTCTACTGTTTTACTTGATGTGGGGGCTGCTGCCCCCCTGGGCTACGCCCACGGTAGTCATGGCGTGGCAATGAAAATAAATTAATAAACAAACAGCAAGGAATTCTTTTTGCTATCACCATCTGCTGAAGGGGGTGCAGTCTTATATTTTGATCTGACAATTTGGTCATTCAAAATCTTCATGATAATACTGCACTCCGCAGCTTTCAAGGCAGCCCTAGCAACTGGTACACAACATCAACAAGTCTTGTGATGGGGTAGTACTAGAAGGGCATATTGTAGAGGTGCACTGAAGTTGGCACTGCCAGGCACAATTCACTAGTGTGAATGCCAGTTAGTACCCAAAGTAGGCAATATCCGCCAACTAGTTCCTCCACAGGTCATACATAAGCATTTTCTGAAGGCATGGGTTATACCTTGCTATCTAAGAGCCTACACTACATCAGCAAGCATAGTTCATCAACTGGATCAGTTTAAAATATCGAGCCTTTCAGCTGGAACAGGATACAAGTTCAAGTGACATGCAGGACTGCACAGACAACCAAGTGCCAAAGAAGCAATCTAACAGATTAAAGGGAAACATGACTATATTCGGTAAAACTTTCCCACACTGGCACATCCTCAAGCAAAAGTTCTTCCTCAATTCATTAAGCTACCTTATTCCTAATTACTGTACTGGTCTATGATCTAGTACCCTCTACACTAAATGGCAGCAGCAGCTCTCCCAAGATCTTAGGAAGAGGTCTTCCCAGCCCTACTACATCAAGAGTTTTTCAACTGGCAATGGAAGGGCTTGAATTCAGGACCTTTGGAATGTGAAGCAATGTGCTATGGCTCCCTCTCTTTGAGTTATCTAACCTACACAACCTAAGCACATACATTCTTTCTCCTGTCCCACTTAGGTACACAACCAGTTAAGATAACATTAGGCCATCTATTACCCTAGACCTTACTTACTTTCAGCAATCCATAAACATATTGTCCAATGGCTCTAAGTTTGCATTATCACCCTCAGCTTTGCTAGAAATGCACAACCTGGTCCAGAGTAAATAGAAGCAACAAGAAATTTGTTACTTGTTTCAGATCAAACCTACTTTTACAACATTTATCATAAAAGGAAGAACAAATTGTTAAACAAATGACGGTGGAAAACACCTTTAGACAAAGTGTCATTCTTAATAAATTCAAGAACTGTACATTCAAGGAGATGTAACGTAAAATTATTACTTCCTCAACCCTTGCATGACAGTTCTTCCATTACCTGAAAAGTGGGAGAGGGAAAGAGAAAACAAAGATAAATCCTTATTTTCTCCTGCCAGGTTGTCTAAAACCCACAAGAGACAAGTGGCGGGCCCTGATCCACTACAGTGGTACCTCAGGTTAAGAACTTAATTCGTTCCGGAGGTCCATTCTTAACCTGAAACTGTTCTTAACCTGAGGTACCACTTCAGCTAATGGGGCCTCCCGCTGCCGCTGCACGATTTCTGTTCTCATCCTGAAACAAAGTTCTTAACCTGAGGTACTATTTCTGAGTTAGCGGAGTCTGTAACCTGAAGCGTCTGTCACCCGAGGTACCACTCTACTGCAGTTATAGAAGACCTTAAAGCCTTCCCCAAAGAATGAGATGGCACTATCTTAACTCTGTCAACTGCACAGCCTTGAGATTATCTTTTTGTTATCATGTAGACACAGTTAACACTATGAATTCGAGGTATTCCACCAGAGAATAAATTCCCTGGTTAGCCTTTAAGTTATAGGAATGCAGAGAATGTTACTATAACATGAGGGTGAGAATCAGAGAACAATGTATTTCCTTAATGTATAAGGCTGTTGTGGGCTTCCTTTTGGAGTTAAAGGCAGAGTACAAATACAGTAAGCGGACCAAAAGAATTACCATAATTGTTCAGAGGCAGTGACTACTACCAGTTACTAAACATTATGTAGGGAAGCAGCACAATTTAAAGCTTTTGAAGGATGTATCACTGGAGGCCCTTCTCACAGCAGTTTTCTTTGTTCTCACATATCAGTAGGTACCCATAAGAGTATTGTGAATAACCAAAGTACAGCCATATCATGGAGACCCACACAAACAATGAGTATGGGAAGTCAGCTACACAGACTACTTAGCATAACTCTGGTGTGTGATGAGAGACATGGGGCCAGTATGGAACAGCACCAAGCTGAAGCACACTGCATTTCTGGACTGCAGAGATAAGGAACATTGAAACACACACACAGTTCCAGTTACAAGCATCTGAAGGAAGCCAAATTGGGATCTACATGTGCATTCAAGAACCTTGGCATGCGCAGGCTCTGCATCAGACCTTTCATTCTGTATGAATATGGTGCTAACGGCATTCGGCATTCATATAGGAATCAACACTAGAAGATACTGAGAAAATGAACAGCTTAAAATATCTCTCCCTACACACACACACCTCTCCCCCACCCTCAACTGCACAGGATGTCACTGTCAACCTCAGCTCAGCTTGGCAGATCAGAGTGCTAACGACATATTGGTTATGTATATGGAACTGCAGCATCTTCTTTGAAGGTGTGCCAGGGAATCAGTGAGCTCTCCAGTGAGGAAATGCCCCTGACCTTCCATTGTGTGTGGGTGGGGGGAATGGAAAAGAAAGAGGGTATGAGGGTGGGGGATAAAAATAAGCCCTTCAGTTTGGCTCAGGCACTTCTAAGCTACACCCACCCAGCCAGCCAGGCAAGGCACGTATTTGAAGGAGTGAAGAGGCCTTACTGCTTGGAAGTAGCACAGCCAGGGCACCTCCACCCTCGCTCCCCATAGCAGATAAGCCCGAGGCTCCAGCAGGGCCCGTCCGCCCCCATAATTCCCCATCCATCCGCCGACACCCCCCCCCCGCCGTCCCCTCCTCGCTGGGATCTCTCACCTTGACCCTCACGTCGTAGGTGGTGAAGCGGCCTCTGCCCACCCCCACCGTCTGAGGGTTGGAGACGTCGATCTCGAGAAAATTGCTCGGCGGCCCGTAGGCGTCGTTGAGGTTCTGCGGCTTCGTGATCAGGCGCCTGGTGTCCGCGATGGTCTCAGCCATTTCCCCCACCCGCGCGCGCCCGCTCGCTCTCAGCAAGACGGCCCGGGAGGCAAAGGACCGCGGAGGAAGCACCGGGGAGGGGAGAGGGGGGAGCGCCGACGAGGGCAGGCAGGCAGGCGAGCGGGCGGGCTGGGAGGTCGCTCGGGCGTCACGGCGCAGCAGCCCCACCCCAACCCCACCTCTCGCCTTCTTATTCACGGGTGACCAGCCGACGTGACGCCCCCGCGACACGCTCCGGCCCAGCCGCCGACCGCACCCGGAGGGAGCGAGCCCTGCTACGCGCGCAAAGCACCACGGGGCTTTGTAGTCTTCCTATCGGCGGGAGACCGCTTCGACGCGATGCGCAGCGGCCGCCGCGGGGACTACAACTCCCGCAATGCCGCGGCGATCCGTACTAGAAGGGGCAAAGCGCAATTAGCGGAGCTTGGAGAATTTTCTTTGGGGGCCTTCCTGGATTCGAAAGGGGCGGGGCTAAAAAAGCTGGAGTGATCCTGGTAAATACCCCACACAGCTGGGGAAATAAAGGGGCGCAGGCTCCGAATCGTAAGAATCCTCAGCGTGTTTTTCCTAGTGCGCTTTGAAAAATGGAAATAAACGAGCCGTGTCTCTATGTGTACATATCTGAGCGTCGTTCGTGGGGCGAGGGGAAGCGGAAAGGTTTGCGTGAGATTGCTGACTCTTCAACCAACCGGTGTAGCTGTGCTTTTAAGAGGAGCCTGCCTGGTTGTGTTTGAAAATGCTGCAGAGAGTAAAAGCGGCGATTGTCTGCAGAGTGAGGCACGCCCATTGATTCCGGGGGTGTGTGTGTGTGTGTGTGTGTGGATGGTTTAGATGTCTTTCACTCTGCAGGACAGGAAGCCTGCATTCCCCTTCCAGCACCAGCCCTTCCAGACACGACAGAGATAAGAAAGTACATGCTTGGTGCTAGATCTGTCTCTGAAAAGAGCAGGACAGTTTCACAGCACATGCTTTGTGATGGGGGTCAGCCCTGTCATGAGGCAAAGTGAGGCAGAGACCTCAGACGACCGATGCTGGCGACAAGGCAAAGGAGTAGGTACAGAGTTGGATGCGTCATGCGGCCTATTCTGCACCCCCAAGGCTAGCCTGGTACCCTCAGTTTTGGAGTAGTGTGCGCTCCTGTTACCAATATTAAACTATCAGTCTGGTTGCCTTCTGTATTAGCTGGGAAGGTGCTAATTTGTCCTTGGCTTCAGGCAGCAAAATACCCATGACCAGCACTTTCCATTAAAAGCATTCCTGTTAAATGAGTAACAAAGAATAAACTCATAATAGTGACACCCATATCTTTTAGCATTTAACCTTATCTCTGTGCTGCTTACATTACCTAATTAACACCCATAAGTCACAATGATTAATAATAATAATAATAATAAATTTTTATTTATATCCCGCCCTCCCCAGCCGAAGCTGGGCTCAGGGCAGCTAACAACAATCAAAATAATCCAACATTCTAAAAACATTCATTATAAAATTAATTAAAATCAAATTGATGGCAACCATTAAGCAAAATTCTGTGCAGATTGCCAGAGGAGGGGGTCAGTCTGCGCCCTGACCAAAGGCCTGGTGGAACAGCTCTGTCTTGCAGACCCTGTGGAAAGATGTCAGGTCCCGCAGGGCCCTAGTCTCTTGTGACAGAGCGTTCCACAGATTATTAACAACCGTTCAATTATTAATTTAATCAATTAATATTATTATTAATAAATGAGTACAATGTTTAATACCAGAAGATATGAGGGTTGTCAATATGAGATATCATTCTGTATTACAAAGCTAATGTGTAGGTAAATGTCAACCATATGCAGCCACACAGTCCTCTGACTGTCATCTTATCAGTACTAGTATCAGGAACCTTAGAGCAATGAGAAAAAATATCTGAAAGAGCAGCTATGTACAGTGGTGCCTCGCAAGACGAAATTAATCCGTTCCGCAAGAGTCTTCGTCTAGCGGTTTTTTCGTCTTGCGAAGCAAGCCCATTGACGGATTAGCGCTATTAGCGCTATCAGCTGTTTAGCGGCTATTAAAGGCTTAAAGGATTAGCTGCTAAAAGGCTATTAAAGGCTATTAAAGGCTTAGCAGATTAGATAAAGGGGGGGAAAAGCGAAAAAAAAATCTCTAGACTCGCAAGACATTTTCGTCTTGCGAAGCAAGCCCATAGGGGAATTCGTCCTGCGAAGCAACTTCAAAACGGAAAACCCTTTCGTCTAGCGGTTTTTCCGTCTTGCGAGGCATTCGTCTTGCGGGGCACCACTGTATGGGCTGGCTCTGAACAAGAAATCAGCAGATCCATACAGTGGTGTGAATAAGCTCTGGGACTGCTGGAGTACTGTGCACTCTTCCTTGGAACTCAGTGGGACTACATTTGAGTAAACCTACAGAGAATTAGGCCATTCATCTGTCACATCTTGTGAATGGTTCAGCCAGCGTGTAACCATGCTGCACATCACCACTCCTATGGTTAGAGCTTTTTATAGTAAGAGATAGTATTTTGAGTTATAAACACAGGATGAAATCCAATGCCCATCTGCCAGTGGAATGAACTTCTCCTTGTGTGACAAGATTCCCCTTTACTCTACTCCCCCTCCTCCTGTAGCTCACCATGCGCCCCAAAGCTTCTAAGGGTTGGGGAACCATCCAGAGCAGATCTGGGGGCATGAGGAGCCTCAGAGAGAAAAGAGGAAGGGTATGTTTTCTTGAACAACATTGGATATCACCCATGGCATATTTGTAAGATCAATTCATTCCGCCAAAATCACTGGAAAAAGTTATGTTGATTGTGCTGTATTAAAACTTGTTGTGCAAAACGGCCCTTGATCACGGCTTTACGAGAAAACAGCTCAGTCACACTCCTCTCGAAGAGTTTAAACACATATTGCAGCTTTTGAGGAAGGAACATTTACTTGAAAATCTTTCATCAGAATTTTGAGAAACACTGATTCAGAAACACGTCACTCAATTATGCAATACTTACTTAGGAAACTAAAAAGACACTTTCCTGAACCCTAAGTTCTCAAGTACACACTTTGAATACAAAATTATGCTTGAAATTGCTAAATAGAAGTAAGGAAAAACAAGATAGATTCATACAAAAACAATGGCTTCAATGATACTCCATTATAAAAAAAACAAATCTTGATACTAGGGATAAGGAACCTCAGATCCAGGCCCAGAGGCAGCTCTCCAGGCCTCTATGTGCCTGAGAAACTCCTTTCGGCCACCCCAAGTGTGTCAACTTGAATAAAATAGGGAGAGCAGGCAATCACATGATGTGGTGCATGCATGCCCTTTGAATGACAGTGCCCATCAACTTTGGAGGGGCCTGGTCCCCTCAAATATTTTAGGAGGGGCTGAAGGGACTTTGGCCCTTAGAAGTTGGCTCCTATGGGCAAAGCAGGGCAACAACTGAATGGACTGCTGTGTCTTTTACTTGTATGAGAATGTATGCCTTACTTGTATGGACTGGCACATCTTGTAAGGAGATGTATATTTTTACCTGTCTCTTTGATTAGAGGTATTATAGGTTAATATGGAAACCTAGCAAATACTTTGCTTTGCTTAAGGTGAATATTTCTATGGACTAATGCATATTACATGGGCATGCTTATTTTTTCCTGTCTGTTATATATCTTCCTTGTTTGTTCATTGTGGATTATAGGACTAACCAGCTAAACCCTGAAGCTCAAATATCAAGGCAGTGAAAAACTTCATTGCAGAAGAAGCATTTGGCAGGATGGTTCTTTTTTTTTTTTTTTTAGTCTGTGGTGCAGCATTAATTTATGTGGCCCACTGGGAGGAGCATGACTGACATAGGGAGCCTATAAAAACAAATTGTGCAGTGCCACAAATCCAACTCAATGGTGTAACATTGAAAAATGTCGATCACTTCTCCTACCTAGGCAGTTTCTTTCCACAAGGGCCAACACTGATGCCAAAATCTAGCATCGCCTGAGCTCTGCGAGTGCAGCTTTCTCCCGATTGAAGTGCAGAGTGTTTGAGGACATTCGCAGGGAAACCAAAATGCTTGTTTACAAAGCTATTATACTACCAACCTTACTATATGCCTGTGAAACATGGACCACTTATAAACGCTATCTCAAACTCCTCGAAAGATTCCATCAACGGTGTCTCCGAAAAATTTTACACATCACTTGGGAAGACAGGCGAACTAATATCAGTGTACTGGAAGAACCAAAGATTACCAGTGTTGAAGCAATGATTCTTCAACATCAACTTCGTTGGACTGGTCATGTTGTGCAGATGCCTGATGATTGTCTTCCAAAGCAACTACTCTATTCCGAACTTAAAAATGGAAAGCGAAATGCTGGTGGTCAACAAAAGAGGTTTAAAGACTGTCTTAAGGCAAATCTTTAAAAATGTAGTATAAACACTGACAACTGGGAAACACTGGCCTGCGAACGCTCCACTTGGAGAACAGCCTTTTCCAAAGGTGCCATGGGCTTTGAAGACACTCGAACTCAGGACGCAAGGAAGAAACGTGCTAAGAGGATCGAACCTGGGATTTCCTTTGTGCAAGGCAGATGCTCTGCCTCTGGGGTGGGGGGAGGAAGAGTAGATTTGTTGTGTAAGAATGCCAAATCCACTTTAATTGCACAACCTAATTACTGGTATGCAACTGTATTCCACCAGCAAAACAGTGACAGTCTGGAGGCAGCCAATAATATATAAAGTCAACCAGATATCTTCTACCCTCCACTCTGTAGATAGCTAGGGATGGTTGCAGTTATATTTTCAGGTAAAGGCTAGACTGATAGGCCTTTATTGGACATTCAGCAAACAGCCTTTTGTTCAGCATCTAGTAACAGGCTAGGAAATACTTGGAAATAGAGGACTAGTTTGTTTGACAGGATCACATGGCCCATAGCTCTTGGGTCTCATGTTCAGAAACATAGAGGAAAATAAGTAGCAATACTTAAACATATATGTCCTCCAGTTATTCACTGGCCCAGTTGTACACGTCATACCATGCCATCAAGAACAAATTTGACCCGTGTTTGAAATCTGATTGTTCCCTTAACATTATTTCCTTTTTTTTCTTTTTCTTTTTTGCATGGTGCTAGGATCAGACACCTGGATTGGGCATGTTTATATCAGTCTCACAGATGCACAATTAAAACCCTGTTGTTTGCAACTGAAAAGAGGTACCTGCACTACCGAGACTGTAAATTAAAGGAAATGCAGACAAGACGGCACTCATATATTCAACATGCTCTTTACTGAAAGAATCTTCAGAGCTATATTTAGCACAAACTTGTTTCGTGTGAATTCCCAGATTCTGTGATTGGAGCCATGCCCCAGGGTCGTTTCAACCCCTGAGAAAGAAAGTACAGGATGCAGTGTTTGCTCTTCGTTCAACATACAATATGCAGTTTTGTTGATACTGTGTGAGAAGACGGAAGATGTTCATCGCACACAAATGTACAGTTTTTAGCCTGCTGGATTGCAGATCAAAAGGTTAAAGAGAGGATTTATTAAGAATGAGTAGTGACAATTTAAATAAATCAGATGTTTTTGCCAAAGAGTACGCTGTGATTTTCTCCAATTATTCCTGACATTTCACCCATTCATATCGTGATGAGAGTTAATAATGCAAAGGGGGGAGGAGAGAAAGACTCTTGTCTCCTTGTTTATTCATTGTTCTCAAGGAGCTAAGCTGTTTATAAGAGAAGTTATTTGTTATTTAAATCACTTTTACTGAAGTTGTTTATTTCCTTGTTCGAGTTTCTAAAAATATTGCTTCTAACAATTGCAGTGCCTTTTTGAGATGTCTGCTGTTCAATTCATAGCGATGTGCATTGGAATTCTTTGTTAAATGAGCCCAGGTGCTGATGCATTTAACAATATAGAGCGAGCTGAACCCATAAAAGCTCCTAAAAGGACAGCGAAGAGGAAAATTGATTCTAAAAATTCATAAAGAAGTGATTTGGTATCATTATTAAATTACAAATACAAAGCACAACATTTTTAACACTTTGTGTGTCTGACAGGGCACAATCCTGCTGCTTTAAAAGAAGATATTTATTTTTTAATGTGTTCAGTCTGACAAAATAAAGTACTTCTTCACACAGCACATCATTAAGCTATGGAATTTGCTCCCACAAGAGGCAATGATGACCACCAACTTGGATGACTTTACATTAAGATTATACAAATGCATGGAGGTAAACACTATTGGTGGCTACTAGCCATGATGGCAAGTTGCTGGGAATCACCAGGGTGCATCAGCACACATTCTGTCTCTGAAAGTGGAGGTGGAACACAGCCATCATGGCCAGTAGCCACCAATAGCCTGTACCTCCATGTGTTTGTATAATCCTCTTTTAAAGCCATCCAAGTGTGCTGATGTACTCAGATCCTTCTTTCAGGCTTCCCATAGGCACTTGGTTGGCTTCTTACATCTGATGAATTGGATACTACCCCATGAAAGATTATGCTACAGTCAATCTGTTATTTTTTTATAATGCCACAAACTTCTTTGTAGTTTTCTCTTAACTGAGTGAGTGTCTGTCATGGACTGGCTGGATGCAGAGGAGTAGCTGGAGGCACCAGCAGGGGAACCCCAAGGGAAGATGGTTCAAAGCCAGGGGACTGGCGTTGGGATGACAATGAGTGGTCAGGGGGGGAAAGAGGAAGAAGAACAGGAGCAAGAGGTGTTGGAAGCTGAAGAGGGTTTAGGGAGCAGGAAGACTCTGTGGCAGAGAACAGTCCAAAATTAGAGGCAGAAGAGGAGGCTGGAGAGGAGGAGAGGCCAAATGACAGAGATGAGTCAGGCTGGTGAGGAAGCCAGCGTGTCTCTCATTCCTGCTGCGATTAGCTCCCTTCCCTCCTGATCTCCCAGAACCAAAAGAGGTATGAAGAGGGCAGAGCAGAGAGTCTCAGATTGCTTTGGAAGGACCCTGGGGAAAGAGGAGACTTAAGGAAGTGTGGGAAGGTGGGGACCTTCAGGCCCCACAACTGCTTCAAAGGGGCAAGATCTACCTGGACGAGTTGCTGTGATCACTAGGCATGGCCCTCTGAGTCAACTGTGTTTTCTTGAGTAAAGAGTTTGCCATGTAATTCATTGCCAACCAGCTCCCAACTTCTGTTCCTGACACAGTGGCTCAACATTCCACCATGACATAATGCACACTAGTGAGTATGCAAGCATCCTATTATGCACTGGAATGGTGGTCAACAGTGCCATGTCTCCAGAATGGGAAGATTCATGGAACAGCAGGGCAGTTGTAGAGGATAGAGCTGCTAATCTAGCTCTAACTGATGGATCTGTGTTAGTACATTCTCAACTGCAAGCTCTTCCCACACTGCATCAAAAGAAGGGGGAGGGGAGCTGAAACAATTAAGTGTTTCACAGGTTGATCAATGTAAGTAGCAATGTTATGACTGAGCATCTCTTTCCTCAACTGTTCATCAGTTCCTTTTGTTGGTGTACTTACAACTATATTTCTAAGTTCACATCCACACCCTAACCACATACAAAAAATTTCCACAAAGAATCCTGGGAACTGTAGTTTGTTAAGAGTGCTGAAAATTGTAGCTCTGTAAGAGGTCTGCTAACAAGTTGTAGCACCTTTAAAAAACCAAAGTCTCCAGGATTCTTTGCCAGGAGGGGAGAAGCCATGAGAAGTGGTATAAGAGTGCCTTAAATGTGTGGTGTGGCTGTGCGACGCAGCAAGCATTTGCTGAGATCTAAGGCACTGGTTAGCTCTTGTAGCGGTGTGAGGGGTACACCCAAATCAAATAAGGAAAGAATGATAGCAGTGTTGTCATTCCAATGCATTTATTGGCATTAAGTCCAATAATATGGCAGGTAGTGATGTAAGAATTACTTTTTTAAAAAAAGAGGTATTAATGCTGTTTATATGTTAGACAACTTTATGTCAATTGGTGTAAGATAGGGAAACTGTTCGCTATATAGGGCAAGGCCTGCTTTATGGTCAGCCTCCTCTTGATTGTTTTCCCTGCAGCATAACTTCTTTTCCTGCCTCAGCATAAAAGATGAACTTGTTTTGCTTATGTGATGAAAGAGTAAACGCACAGGATCGGGAAGCACGTCATCTTGAGTAACTTCCCATCTAAAGGGGTTTTGAGTTGCCTGGTGTCAATTATTAAGCTATTGCAGCGAGACTAGTGCAAGGTACAGTCTTTTACACGGGATCATAAGGGCATGCACGACGTGTAGCTAAATAATACACGTTGTCTCCTCAGCCTGCAGTCCCGGTGGTGCACGTTTATTCACCCCAGCGATCTCCCAGTTCTGGGTCGGCATCTGAGGGCATTAAAAACAACATTTCCCGGCATGCCGTTGTATCCGGCTGCTTTCCATCGGCGCGAGGGGAGCGGCGCGTTGCATTCTGGAGCGTGTAGTCTGTGTCGGGAACGCCGCCTCAAGGTGAAGGTGACTGGAACCGGCCTGACTCGTGGTTGTCTGCGTCCGTTTCTTCTCAATAAAGTTTTCCTTCATAAGGAAACGGGTAGGCGGGGGGCCTCGGCAAGATGGCGGCGCCCGTGTCGCCCTTGGTTACTGGGCGCTGCTTTCTAAGGGCTGCCGCTCGACACGCTGCTCTCCTGCTAACCGGGTGGGCTGAAGCCGGCGCCCCGCGGAAAGGTTAGTGCCGCTTAGATCTGGGACGGCGCGGTCCTCGCCGCGGAGGGCTGAGCGCCCACTGCCCAGAGTTACGCCTGTCAAACGGCGGCTGCTCCTCTGCTTCACCGCCGGGTCGTGACTGGGCCAAAGCCCCAGGCGCCTCTGGCCAGGAGCCCCTTCGGTAACTAGGAGCGCTCCTTCTCCTCCCTCGACTTCCTCAGGAGCAAATGTATTGGAGATGTTCTGCGGGCTTCCCTTTACCTCCAACTTTACACAAACCACACTACCTTAAATATGGGGCCTTTTGGAACAGTGGCTTTTATTCTCTGTGGCATTTAAGGATACTCAGATAAGAAGTGTTTTTGACTGTGATGTTTCAGAATATTTGTCCACCATGAAGGGATTTTCTGTTGCCTTTTTCTTAAGTTTGAAGAATTCAAAATGTCAGTGCTTCCCTGCGACATTGTACACACTGTTTTATCATTACTATTAGTGGGTTTTTTTGTTTTTAAAAAATGAGGTGCTGGTACTTTGTACTAGTGAGTACTGTCACAAAAAAACTCTGATTATTATTATACTATATTTTTATGCTGCCAAGCCTTTGCAGCTGTTTAAATGGATGAACCAGTCATTTTAATTCTTTTTAATGGTGTTTTATGTTTTCTTGTTCACTGCCCTGATATTTTATCTTATGGTGGTTTAGAAATATTTCCATAAATGATGTGCCTAAAATCTACTAGATGCTGCACACAAGCTTTCAGTCCAGAATGTGTTTTATTCAAGCATAGTGAATTTACTGTGTAATGTAAACTTAAAACATTTTATGCATCCAGTGAAATGCACTGAAGTCCATTAAAGCTTATGTTGGCCTTCCTCAATCTCCTGTTTTCCAACAGTTTTGGACTTCATCTCCTTTTAGCCCTAGGCTAATTGGCCCTAGGCTAATTGTTATAGAATACTATATGTGAACTAATAAAAATTTCAGACTTGAGCAATGAAACAAAAGGCAGAGCAAGAAGAATGGATAATTACAGATTTGACTTTTGTCTATGCTGGCCAGTTCCAACAAGGACAGGGCTCCTACACTTTTTTATATTTGTGGTGAAGAGGAAATTTCAGCAGGCTGTGTAAGTGCATCTCATTATCCTACTTCCATCCCAACACCAGATAACAAAACATCCTATCATATCCTACACATTCTGCATATATAAAGTGGTACCTCGGGTTAAGAACTTATTTCGTTTTGGAGGTCCATTCTTAACCTGAAGCTGTTCTTAATCTGAGGTACCACTTTAGCTAATGGGGCCATGTGATTTCTGTTCTCATCCTGAAGCAAAGTTCTTAACCCGAGGTACTATTTCTGGGTTAGCGGAGGCTGTAACCTGAAGCGTCTGTATAAGACATACTCCAAAGAAAGTGTGTGTAGGACTGCAGCATGAAGAGCCTAATAGGCACATCCTAGACTAAAAGGCACAGTAAATAAATAAAGAGTCTGATATGGTTATGTGTATATTTGAACAGATAAGAATGTCTCTGAATCTTCAAGCTTTTCCATTGACAATAAAATAATTCATTATTTACCTCCCCCACTTTTCTTTTTTACAGCTTACACAGTTCAGGCAGCTGAGAAAGCTGCCAGTGGCACTCGAGCAGATGCTAATTCCAAAGCCTTGTTAATTTGCAATGGACCTTTAGAACATTATGAGTTTCTGATCAAAGCCGAGGAGCTGAGGAACGATGAGCAACAACGAAAAGTTGTACAATGCCTGCAGAAGCTACATGAAAGCCTTAAAGGCTATAGTATCAGTCCAAAGCACATCTTATCAAAGGTGAGATTCTGTCACTAGGCATTACTGTAGAGTCTTTAATGTTCAACTTAGGTTTTTTTCCTTACTTCTGATTGCAACAATTGTGTAGACGGTAACATTTAATATTTATTATTTACACATGAGAAACGGGCTAAGAAAAGACACCTAGGACCACCCTGTGAGGCAGAGCTGGGCCTTCGGGCCTCATCTCACAGTTACAAAAATAGTAATGACTATTGCACTACATTCTTTGTCTAAATGAGAAACTTGTTAAAAGTTGATTTTTCCACAAAATGATTTTTAGCAAATTTAGAATACCAGTTTACATACTTGTTGAAAAGGGTTCTGATCCAAAATCCTATGGTGCACATATGGAGCCCAGGTATGACAGTATTTCCCCTTTGATTTTGTTAGCTGCGGAGCTCTGCAAGTTCAATGGAAAAATGAAGCCTAAAACCATCATGGAAGGCCTTTCTTATGTGGGAGCTCTATGTGCTCTATATCTGAATTCCTCTGATCACTGATATTTTGCAAAACCTTACCTGTATTCCCCTACTCATTTTTTTCCATGCTTTGTGAATCCCATTTTCTTTGTTGATGGTGAACTATCCCATGTCCACTTGATTGTGCAGGCTGCCACAATGGCAACCTGCTTTGGTTTTAATCATGCAAAAGTGCAGTTGGTTGACTTTACCTAATCTATAAGTCCAGGCTGATCGCCAAAGAATTGATGCTTTTGAATTATGGTGCTGGAGGAGACTATTGAGAGTCCCATGGACTGCAAGAAGATCAAACGTATCCATTCTTAAGGAAATCAGCCCTGAGTGCTCACTGGAAGGACAGATCCGTGAAGCTGAGGCTCCAATACTTTGGCCACCTCATGAGAAGAGAAGACTCCCTGGAAATGAAAAGACCCTGATGTTGGGAAAGATGGAGGGCACAAGGAGAAGGGGACGACAGAGGACGAGATGGTTGGACAGTGTTCTCGAAGCTACAAACATGAGTCTGACCAAACTGCGGGAGGCAATGGAAGACAGGAGTGCCTGGCGTGCTCTGGTCCATGGGGTCACGAAGAGTCGGACACGACTAAACGACTAAACAACAACAAAGTACTAGTGGCAAGAGCTGATGGAGAGGGCAGATCAACAGTATGTTTCTTGAGTTGAAACCAGTATTGTAATTATGATCAGATCTGTAGGGGTAGCCACCATGGTACCTTCCAGATGTTGTTGGACTACAGCTCCCATCAGTCTTTGCCATCATGACCGGTGATCCGGGAAGATGGAGTTGGAGCCCATCACCATGTTAGCCACCTCTGGTCCAATATGTCACTTAATAACTGATGAAGTTGTTCTGACTTGGTTATGGAATAGTTGTGAAATCCCTACCTATTCATATTGAAGGGGGAGGCCCTACCCATGTACATGCCTTGTAAAGTTTTGTTCACAGTTAAACACATATTGTTTAAATGCCCACAATTCTCAAGTGTGTGGCAGGGCTTTCTCTATTCCAAACTTAATCTCAGTTCTCAGAAACAATGTTTGGCCTACAAGCTTTATTCAGGTTTCTGAGCTCTGTTTCTCCTGCAATAAAGTAAGATTAGCACGAGGGGCAATATAATATAGCTGCCACTGTTCCATGAACTTCAGTACATCTGCCTACGTGCTTCCAAAATCATGATGAAAGTCATTTCCTCCACTTCCCAGTGAACAGATTCACCATTAGAATTGCTCATTATTGCTGTCGGAAGGCAATAACTTGGTCCCACAAAGAACTTTTTGCCAGAACACAATTGTCAGAGTTGTAAACAGAAATGAATGATAAAATTTGATTATTTTATTGCACTATACTTGATCCCATCATCATCATATATTATTTATACCCCACCCATTTGGCTGGGTTTCCCCAGCCACTCTGGGCGGCTTCCAACAAAATGTTAAAATATAGTAGTCCATCAAACATTAAAAACTTCCTTAAACATAGCCTTTGATAGTTCTGCCTAAATCTTTGGATCATTGCTGCTAGACTTTCAGCACTAGGCTACAGAGAGGAAAATGTCAGTAGTCCCTTGTATTGTCATGTATTGGGAATTAACTAAGAAGACCCTTGGAAGGGTGAATGTGAAAAGGGTAGGAAATATGTAGGGATACTGGACAAAGTGGATGAGATGAGTTGGGTAGAACATAGTGGTAGGCAGTTGAGTCTAAGGTTGTAATGAGCAACCTTGCACTCCTAGACCAATGGTCCATATAGACCACCACCAACAGTGGTGTTTAAAAAGTGTCACCCTGGTTGCCCATATGCTACCAGGCCAACTTGAATGTTCTTGTATTAATTTACTAGGCCCTTAACAACTTGGTTCCAGGCTGCCGCAAGGACCACCTAATCACTCATATCCCTGCTTAATCACGGAGGACTTGAGGGAAGTCCCTGTCAGCCGTCCCCGTGGCTCAGATGCACGGCTCATATCTACCAGAAGCCATGTATTCAGTATTGTGGACCCAATTTTGTGGAACTCTCTTTCAGTTGAGGTCAGGACAGGCCACCTCCCAGTTGAGCTTCTGGCACCTACTCAATACTCTTTTATTCTAGCAGACATTTTATTTCAGCAGTCTGATTTTATACCTTTTCTGTGTTGTGTTTCTTGTCCACCCTATAGAGACCATTGTAGTTAAGCAATATATGTAGTTAAGCAATATAGAACTTTTAAAAAGAAAAAGTAACTAGCTAAAGCAACAGTCTAACACTATTACTTTGTATTTACTTCTTTATTTTTTTAAGAAAAACTGTTGTAATGCATCTTGCATTACATTCTCCCCTCAAAAAAACCCTTATGTTAGCAATTGGCCATTAGATGAAACATCCCCTCCACAGTTACATACAACCTTTCCCCACAGCTTCAGTCATGAGCGATGCTATGAGGATTACCTCTTAATACTGAACTGATATTTTCAGCACATGTTGTTCTGTTACCCAAAGATTTCTGCTTAGCACAAGTATTGACTCCCCTCTCAGCATGCATGCAATTAAGATTTTCTTTCTCCTCCATCCACTCTCTGCAGTGTGTATCACTGTTGTTCAGTCTTCTGGCTTGGAGACTTTTTTAGAGTACTTTTTTTGTTGGCGCTGCTTACAAGTTTGCCATCTTGAATAACTTTGTGTCACCTATAAACTAGTCCACCTCACTGCTCAACTTTAATTCCAGATTGCTTATAAATACTCTTCTTGAAAAAAAAAAAATAGGAACTGTTGGATTTGGAGTGTTAACAATGTAAAATGTAATCTCCACAATTTTCTACTCTGTTCTTAACTATTCTAATGCAGATCACCATTTCTGTTTCCTTATTTCTTTGTTCTTTCCTTGTTCAGTGTTTGAATATTAAGTAATTTTGAATAATTAAGTATATTGAATAATAGTAAGCAAGCATTTTGAAAACAAGTCCTTAAAAAACAGACAGGCTAGAAAAACAACCCTAATTTTGTCTTCTTGTATTTTCGCAGCACAATTTACTACAGTAGTTGCAGCTAACTATTACTGAAACAGTTTCAGAACATCTGAAACCTTGTTGCAAATGTCCACCGAATTAACATTTTGGGGCACAGTTTAATTTGGCTCTAAATTAAATCTTCAAGTGGTTTAGTTGTAATAGTTAGCTTGTGTGGCTTGCTGAATATACTGATTTTTAAAAGGCAAAGAAACTTGACAAACTGATGAGGAAAATACTTATCTGTAATGCAGTTTTTATTTGAAACACAGTCTAGAAATTGCTCAGCTCCATGTGAGATCAAAAAATTTGAACTTTAATTTGTTTCAGCTCTAGTGTTACATTAAAAACATTGTAAAAGCAATAACTAAATTAGTACATTTGTGAAATATGATGGTGAATATCTATGCAATCACATAAACTGATGAGACCTGTCTCACTACCAGTTTTTTCTGCTTAGAATAACATGCATATGTAAAAATAATTCTCTCCAGTTGCTTAGCAAATGATGTAGTGGGTTGAAAATCTAAAGACAAATATTTCAGAATGCTTGATTGTTTTTATATAAGTGATAGAGATCCAAAGAGCTACTTGAGGTGAGATCAAAGGCTTTTACTAATGGTTCTATACTTGTTTTCTTTGTACAGCAAACTCCCCAGTTTCGAAAGTTGTTTTCCATGCAAATTCTGTTCAAGAAATGTTATTTTAAAGCCTCACTGGGCACAATAAACCAGTTAGATAACTCTTTGGATGCTAGCTTATTTATCTTTAATTTTTGAATAGATCTGCCTGACTGACCACTATTAGTACTTCTAAGAATACCAGGGTATATAATGTTACATTAGATAGACTATATACGTATAGTTGATGCATTTAAAACATCCTGCCATCCTGTTCCAAAATTTGGTTGCTTCTTCCAAAGCCATAAAAATGGGAATTGCATATAATGCTGGCCAGAAATATCACCATTACTGAATCTCTCCATCTTAGGAAATATAGATGGAACCTTGATCAATTTAGTGGTTGCTATATCCCTCACCTTATTTCATACATATACATCCATTTGGCACATATGGGGTCAGATGAAGAAGTGCAATTCACATGCAGATGCCTGCTTCTATGCACTGATATCTCCTATGTGATCAAAACCCTGTATCCATTATTGTTTTTTAAAAAACAGATAACCCATGTAATTCTCATGGTTGCAAATAGCCACACTGATGTAATTGTGTATCTGATTTCTACACACACACACACACACACACACACGTTAGCGGAAAAAATAGACAAGTATAAATTTACATTTAAAACATCTGCATTTTTCTAATAGCATTTTTTTTTACAGGCTAACAGGCTATGGACATTTGCCATAGTTTTATTTTGTGGAGTTTTGTTGTTGTGTGTGTTGAAGTGGTTCTTGTTGCTGCAGATATATACTAGTTTGCAATTTTTATTTCTAAATGCTTTGAAATGTGGTTATTGGTATGTGTTTAATAAAATACTAGCCGCAGGGACTAAAGCTAAAGTGCAGTTTGATCGCTATGAGTCAACTAGCCAATAAAATATTTTGATAATCAGAAACATCTGCAACATTTTGAGTTGCAGACACAATAGTGCTAGACACTGGTGACCATTTATGAGGTTTCTGTTTTGAGAGGAATTTTTAGATCACCATCCTCACCGCTATTACTTCAGAAAGGCTAATTGTATGACAATTGTACTCCCAGGTACAGATCTAAGCAACCATAAGAAAATACCAGCGTCATAAAACTAAAAATAAATTCAGATTAGTTGAAGTCCTTTTTCTGAAGACTTGTCTTGGACAGAAAATTAGTATACATTTAACATTTCCCAAGTAACATTGACACAAACTGTAAGACAAAGCTGTAAAGATCTGGGTACAGGAAGTCCTCAGAAATGCAAGTTGGGTGAGTTAGGAAGTAAGGTTCACATGTTTATTGAAATAACTGTTTTAATTTAAAGGGTTAATTCCTTTCCTAGTTGAACATAATGGGAACTTTAACATTTTAAAAACAAACAAGCCCAAACATTATTTTCCGGGATATTATTAGGTGTATATGTTATCATCCAACCTTATATATCCTTTCCCCTAAAATCCTTGCAGCATGCCTGAGAAGAGGTATATTGGGCTTACTGGATGATGATTCCCAAAGTCATCTATTTAATCTGGACTCTGCCCAAACCCAACAGTCAATTCATTGCATTGTTCTTGCTCTTAATTGATAGGACACCATCTGCTATCAAAGTTTGTTTTTTCATATATTTTCATTGTAAGTCAAAACTAAGCCAGACTCAACTTATTGCAAATGACAGAGTACCTGATAAATATGTGTTGTACATTGTGTCTGTTTCATTATTTAACTTTTATCAGAGCAAAATAAAGTATAATGAATAATTTTCTTTATTTTCAGTTGTTTACAAGACATAAACCCCCAAAAGGCCTTTATGTCTATGGAGATGTTGGTAAGTTTATCAGAAGTATATCCGAATGTTTTCCCGTATAATATTTGCATATGTTTTCAAATAATACCTAGTCATTGGAAAATGTTAATTCTGTTGATGGTAATGGGACTAAATAGATCAAAGTATTTTTGCCTTGAGCTGCTAAAATGTGTATTTCTTTATCCTTAAGTGCAAGACAGATATATCTATTGGCAAACATCGAAGAAGAAACAGTTAAACCCATATTAATTTGGTTCCTTTTGCAGTGCATTAAATTTAAGGTTTAGCTATTGGTTCAAACAACTTCCAGATTCACTTGCAGTGTACCTCTGAAGGCTTGGTACTGGGTTGCATACAGTGTAGTCAGCCAGCTGACCTGATGCCCTGCTTATGTGGGCTTCCCAGAAGCATCTGTCTGGCCATGATTGGAAACAGGATGCTTGGTAGATGGACCCTTGGTCTGATTAAACAAGGCTGCATTTGTAGTTGATACATAAAAATTGAAAATAAGAAGAGAGGCATCACATTTATTCATAATATGTGCTGCTGAAAATATTTCAAATGGAAGCAATAATTACAGTTGCTGGTTCTGATATTATATTTAGTTCAGATTCTGATAATACAAGCAATTCCATCCACATAAGCTGAAGTCTTGTTTCCCAAAGATAATGATTTTGTACTGTTCAGATCACGATTATGATTTCATTAGCTCGATGCTAATGAACAGTCATTACTGTAATCAGTACATAGTGTTTTAAATTAACAACCTGTTGGGTATGTGTGTTTTTATTTGAAGGCACAGGAAAGACAATGGTGATGGACATATTTTATTCTCATATAGAAGTAGAAAGAAAAAAGAGAGTCCATTTTCATGGCTTCATGTTAGATGTGCACAAAAGTAAGTTTAAATCTCTTTGATGCAGTACAGTATGGTATGGATATGTCCCATGTTCATAACACTGTCTGCCTCGTAATGTCTTGTCATCCTCCTCCTGAATCCTTTTGCTGTGACAGAAGGGAGAGCTATTATCTGAAAATAGAGAAGGGATTTTTATAGGTTGTTTCTGGGGGACCTCTGATCTTTCACTTTGAATAAAGTTATCCCAAAATACTCCTTTTCCTTAGAGATTGCTGTGGGAAAATTACTGCAAGACTTGCGTATGTAGACTTCACTTTTTCTGTGACATCAGCAGGCAGTAGACCAGTTGTGTTACATCATATTTATTTGCATGATTACAGACTTCTGGTTTTAACTAAAAAGCAGATCCTGTCTTCTGCATTCCTGTTACATTCATATTCAGTGATAGAAATATACATGAAAATGAGTAAAAACTGTTTTAGTAAAAAAGGGGGGGAGGAGGAAGAGTGAGAAACAGATACATAGTTTCTGTTTCTCACTCAAGTAAACATTATGGATTTGAGATGTTTGGACATCAAATTAGGAATATAGGAAAAGGCCATAAAATTAGAGTGAGTGATTTCCTTCTGCAACCAACCACGGACATCTTCCTATTCATATATAAGGTAGACTAAAATACCTCGTTGCTGATTACACATTGCTGTGATGTCCTACATTCTACAGATATTATTATTCCAGTGCTCGTTGTCCCACAGAAATGTTAAAAGTATCAATAGATAGATAAATCATTCTGTCCCTAGGTCTGTGCTTGAGGAGGTGTTCCCACAACCATAATAAGATGATAGTTCATCTCTCTAGTAATTTGTTGTCTGCAAGTTTAGTAATGCTTTGTGTAATAGGTGGCATGTTAAGTGGGATAAGAAGTTTGATTTCTCCACAGTGCACCTTCTTCAGGACCTGTAGTTGAAGTATTTAGTTATTTTGAGTCAAAACATGAAATATGGGTTCATTGTACGTTGGCACGCAGACCTCTTCTACCTCCCATCCTACTAATGTTTAGTCCTTAATGTTCCCGGACTTTATGTGAGGTTTCTTCACAGTTTCTTTATATCCTTTCCCGCTTCTCTGTTTACTTACACTTTCTCTATTCACTTATCTATTCACACTAAGCCGTGGTTTGCCTTAATATTACATGTGAGCCAACTCACTATAGTTGCACAGACTTTCATATTTCTGTGACTGACTCAGCTAACTGAAACCATTTCCTGAGATGTAGTTTTCAACAATCAAGGCTACATTCCTGCCTCCAAGCCCACACCATTTTGTAAACCTATGAAGCTTTATTTTATTACTGTTTTCCAGTACTTTGTGGTTACCTCACTCCCCTCAGTGGTATAACTTCCACACAGAAGTGCTCTTTTTCTTTTTGTGATTTGGTAATTCAAATTCTCATCCAGGGTCTAGAAAAAAGCAATACTGAATAAAAATAAAACAAACCTCCAAAAAGTTGACTAGACAACTTTTAAAATGTATTTTTAAATTCACTTTTGACTTAATTGTCATATCGCTGGTTTTACTAATGGATAAGCATGATGCTATATTTAGGCTTACTTAGACCATCTCTTATTAGTTTTTGCTTATTGTCTGTGCACTGTCTTCTCTTCAGGAATACATCGCCTTAAACAGAACCTGCCAAAACGGAAACCTGGATTAATGGCTAAATCATATGACCCAATAGCCCCAGTAGCTGCTGAAATAAGTGAGGAGGCTTGTCTCTTATGCTTTGATGAATTTCAGGTAATAATACATTAGACCAGAAGTACATTAATTTCCTTTCTGGGAAATAAGTTTAAACTGGCAAAACATTTTTCAGCTTAGCCATTTGAAGACTTTGCTGATATGAACTAGCCTAATTGCATGGTATCCTGGTTGTTCCACTAAGATATTTTGCTGGCTTTATATATCATGTGCTATTGGAAGCGTACTGTAGAACATTTCCCCCTTCCAACTTCTACCAGAACCTGTAGCTGTGGGCTGCCCTGTTCTAGATCTAAAATTGTACTATAGATGTTCACATGGCCTAAAGCCACAGCTTCAAGTAGATGTATAGGTGATAGACTCGTCCTCTTTGTCCATTATGTGCATGCAGAAGGCAAGTTGCAGTGAATTCACTTTTTCTTTAGCATGTGGAGAACTAGCTTTTATTTTTTTACCACAGCTGATTCACCTTCTAACTGCTCCCATCAAATATGATATATCTGTATTATACTGTTTATCAGCGCCTTTAACTGTAACACAGTGGCTGTGATACTTTAGCCAGCCACACTTTTATAAGTAAAAGTTACAAGATATTATTTATTTATTATAAACTATAAGTGTAAAATAAGGTAAACACTGTAAGTCAGTTGTTAACTGTTTCCTTAAGACTTGTATTTGCTTTAATAAGGTTACAGTATCTTTAATTGACATTTACAAAGGTTTACCTAAGGCTGGCTGGTAAAGTGTAATTCCTAACCTTATTTCCTTTGAAATACCAGTACCTGGTAGTGACTGGGGAAGAGGGACTAAGGTGGTTGCATACAGTAGTGGCAAGTGCATTTTGTAGAGCCTTTGTTAAACCTTCCCACACACCAATTCTTCCTTAAAAATGCACCCCAGCACCTGTGACAGACAGTACACCAGCCTAGGTTCAATTCTGTTGGCTCTGCCAGATTATGTGCTTTATGTCATACACTTGTTTAAATGTAAATATGTGTTTAATTAAAAAAAAATACCGTATTTAACTGTTGCAGAGCTCTGACCCAGACCTCCCATTGTCTGGTGCAGAAAACTGTGTCCTGCTTGCTGTCTTCTCCACCAGGGAGCACTCAATGGATTCTGCTGTCCTGGACAGTTACTGGGATAGCTTCTTGACTTAGCTAGGAGCTAAATGGCATCTTAAACCTAGGTAATGGGCACAACAACAGAATGTCTAGGCATGCTTTTCTTTACAAGAAGACTACAAAGCTGAAAATAAATGAACTGCAGCTAAAATATTATGTTAATTTTTCACATGGTCTAGTCCTTCCCTTCCCACCCTCCTAATATTCTTAAGAGGGTCTCTTCTGCAGTCTTAGGAGAGTAGCTGGAAGTGGGGAGGCAGTAAAAGGTCCTCCTTTCCTCCACTCTGCAGTTTTAATCTGAAATCTTAGGTGCAGTACTGTGCCCAGAGCTCAGAAACTGCTCACGCTAATGAAATTTCCTGTTGCGAAATGTGCATGGAACAATGGGAGTTTCTAACGCTGCTTAAATATCCACAGTCTGGTCCCCCTTCAGGTCCTGCGTGGGTTGGAACCACATAATCTACCCTTTAGGTTGGGGCATCTACCCTTGCAGGCCTGAGTGGCTTTCCTCCCCTACAGCTCTTCTTCCTTCCTGACTCATTTTTATATGGGCTACTTTGGCTTATGGAATTTCAGCAATACAGTGGTACCTCTGGTTATGTACTTAATTCGTTCCAGAGGTCCGTTCTTAACCTGAAACTGTTCTTAACCTGAAGCACCACTTTAGCTAATGGGGCCTCCTGCTGCCGCTGCGCTGCCGGAGCACGATTTCTGTTCTCATCCTGAAGCAAAGTTCTTAACCTGAATCACTATTTCTGGGTTAGCAGAGTCTGTAACCTGAAGCATATGTAACCTGAAGCGTATGTAACCCGAGCTACCACTGTACCTTGTTTCCATTCTCAGCCAGTCATTCTCCCCTCCCAGCCCCTTACCTTCTGCCTACTTGCTTCTCTGCAGTTGAAACCATAAGCCAGCCAAGGTGCAAATCCCTCCCTCCCTCTTCCAGCTATCTGGGTGACATGCCACTAACCAAAGAGAGGAAGAGGAGAAATCCATTCACATTCCTCTGATGTCCATAAGGGGTGGCAGGTGACCTTGAGCCCCCATCCTCCAATTCTTACTCTCTCCCTGTTCAGAGCCAGCTTGGGGAAAGCCTCCCATTCTGCTTTGTCCCCAGAGCCATCTGCCTCCAGCTGCCACTAGGCACAGCTATGCCCGGTTCATCTTTGACTTGCATCTAAAGCTGCTTCTCCACAAGTTGCTACAGCAGGAGCTTTGGCTGCCTCAGTCACCGTCTAACCCTGCCACCCACAAGAAGCAGGGGGGGGGCAAAGGAGTTTGAAAGCAGGGGTGGGTGATCCAGCCATCCTTCCTCTGCACCCAGCAGACAGATACAGAGGGCCTTGAGTGCACCAGCCAGTATGGCATTTGCCAGATGGACAGTCAGGGCCTGCATAGCCCTTTTGCATTATGAAGCCCACACAGGGTTGAGAATCCTGTTTTTGACCTTGTAAAGTTTCATCTTGCGCTACCTTGGGAATGAGCTGAAATCTGCACTGATCAGTGTACTGATCCTCTGGATGCCCTAAATAGCATAGTCAGTGTGGATGCTGTTTCTGGCCAGCACAATCACTTAATAATGTAGATTACTCTCTTTGTCACAGGACAAAACAAAGAAATGAAGCTGTGGATGCAATTCTGAACTGAGCTGCTTTCTCCACTCCTGCATTCAATAGGGCATTTTATTCCACTGCAATAGTCAGTTGCTTCATTCATCAGAGTTTTGTCCTACAAACAGTGCCTTCAGAGACTTCTTCATGCTATAATACTTGAAACAAGATTATCCGGAGTTTCCTTTAGACAAAAGTACATCTACAAAGTTGTAATCCAAATTTATTCCAGTTTTATAGTTCAAGAAGCCCAGAATCAGAGCTGTCCACATTGTTGTGTGGAATCTTGCCACTTCCCTTTTGCAATATCCCAGTATTTTTTCTCTTTGGCATGTGAAAATTCACAGCTGGGTTAATAGTAATCAAGGTGGCACAAGGCAATCAAGTGTGTTTGTTTCCTGACAGGTGATAAATCTGTTGAGGAGTTCATCATTAAAATACTTGTAGTCCCATTGTGTCCCTGTTATATCCAGCAACTGAGCTGCAGACCATTTGTAAATGACCAGTGGAGAATAGGGAATATGATAAATGGCATGAATCAGCCAAAGACAAATTATACCAGTCTAGCCTAATTTCCTCCTTTGATAGGAAACTGGCATAGCAGACTATGGAGATGTAGTGTATATAATATACCTTGACTTTAAGGCCTTGGATACTGTTAAATGGGTGAGTGAGGTAAGTGTTGGCTCCAGAGCCATTAGCTGAATGATCATAGAGTATGTGTACTCTATGTATGTGGCTGCCATCAAGATGAAGTACAGTGAGATACAATTTTAATGGGTTAGATAGTTGGGCACTAGACATGTGGATGATGATGGTAGCTTTGAATTTCATATGCTACAACAATAGCTTTCTCCACTGGAAAAAGGGAGCATGGAAAGAATACCCTTGTGAAGGTAATTTTAGAAGCAAGATATTATCCACTGTGTACTTCTGAAGAAGAAAAAATGAAATGGCAACCAAGATACATTATCTGATAAGATACCACTTCCCTCTCAAAAGAGCTCTGTGGTCACGATGATTTCCATTTGCCAATTGATACTTGAAATATGAGAAAATGATTTCACCAGAGTTACCCAGCGTCAGGGAGTTGAATCTCAGCATGGGCTGTTGGACCCAAATGTCTTCTAGCATTCACTTTCTCTGCTGCTAAAGCTGTTTGAAGAAAAGCACCTATAAAGTTGCTTTCTATAGGTAACTGATAGAAAGGATTTGAAAAAAAACGTTAGAAGCTAATGCTTCTATAAAATGTTTCTAATATTGTTGTGCCCTGGGCAATAACTTTAGATTGAGATATTCCTTTTTCTTTAATTCCTCCAAGTGACAGCCTTGACACTGAAATAATGACAGCTGGGTACTGCATCTCCACTTGTTCAATGGGACAACATCACATCAATAGCAACCCTCATGTCGTACTGGTTTGGGAGGCACTGATTTTGCTCTCCAGCAGCCACAGTTGTTATATGTACGGATATCAGGCCAGGGACACATGCTTGGGTTGGAGACTAAACTGGGCTTATAGAGTGAAGCAGTAGTGCAAACAGAGGATGGTTAGAATGGATGGATGTGAGGTATATCACCTGAGGCAAGCCACAAAATGGCACTCCCCTGCAAGGAAGGCGGGGTGAGTGAAGATCTACATCAGGAACAAGGGTGGTAGGAGACCATCAGCGCCTCCTATTTGCCAAGGGGCCACAGCTGAAGTGGCATGGAGGCGAATGCCAAGGATAAGGCAGATCCAACCTTCTAGGAGCTCACCACAGTCGTTGCTGCTGCTGCATTGGCAGGAGTAGGCGATGCATTCCTTGGAGGCCGGATCTGCTGTCCCTGTGGATCCTGCTACCTGAGGTGGCCACTCACTTTGCCTCATGGTTGGGCTAGCCCTGTGCCTGGGTTTGTGTCAGATGTGTAGTCCTGAGGCGTGTACTATTTTTCAATGACTGCCACCATAACAGTCACTGCATAAGGTGCTGTGATTTCTAGCTGGTTCTGGTCTTTCACCTCAGGCGAGCTTCTGTGGCATTCATTTCAGAATGGACTTACTGCTTACCAGTGGTGGAGCTTCATGCTCTGGCACCGGGCGGGCAGAGAGCAAGTGGGGGCAGGGCTGGTGCACGTCCCAGGGTCGGGGTGCACCGCCCGCAGGGGCATGGCGCATCCTGGGGGTGTGGCGTGGTGTGCCGCCAGCAGAGGCGTTGTGGCCGTCACGGGCAGAGGAGGCAGCCGCGATGACACCCTATTGGGATCACACTGCCAGGGGCGGTGCGCTTCCCCCACACTCCTCTTCCTCCGCCAGTGCTGCTCACTAGTAACTGGGTGACCATTTTTAGGACTGTGGCTGATACCCAACAAAGTCTTCCTGAAGATTCTTAAGTCCGTGGCTTTCAGTGGGTCTACTTCAAGTACGACATTGTTGAATTCTCATCCAGTGTGTTCTTTTCAACTGTGTGTTTCTTGGGCATGTACTAAGACACATGGCTTTCTGGCTTGTATTGCATTCCTGGCCTGTGTGTTCATACCCTTTTCTACTACTTGTTGTGACTTGATGGGCTTGTGTTCTCTGCTTTGAAGGAGTGGGATGCTGTTCAATTGATTGGTCAAATGTAATCAGAAGCATTAAAAAGTGCTTGATTAATTGATTGGTCAACTTTTCAAGATGTCATATTTGTAGACATGAAACAAAAAGAGTGTCAAGGTAATTACAGTAACCTCCTCATATGAAACAATATGTCTAAATTCTAAATTATTGTATTCAGTTATTATTTATAAAATTTGATACTGTTTGTAAATATGTAACTGTCAGGGAACTGCCATCGGAGCTGGAAGCGGAGGGAAGGCTCCAAAGGGATGGCGGAGAGGGTCCCAGTAGGGAGAGAGGGAGCCCGTCTGCTGGGGAAGGAAATCAGCGTAACACCAGTAGAGAAGGGGGGCAGATGGGGGAATCGGAGAGGGGGCTCCAAGACTCCTCGCCGGAGACCAGTGGAGAGAGTACGGGTACTCCATTGCCCACACCCTCCCTGCGCAGAAGACTTCCGCGCAGGGAGAGTAGGAGGAGACTTGGCGTCAAGGAACTTTTGTGCTGGAAGAAGTTTAAGAAACGCCCACTGACGGATCCTGCCAGCGACTGAGACAGTCACGATGCTGGAGGCTGTTCAGTCAGAAAGGGTTAACCAGGTAACCTAGCCAGGAGTGGCGGCAACTTACGTACGAGCAACCCCTAAACCCATTACAGTAACTATTTGATCTAACCCCGGGTCTTGAAATACATTCTGCTGTACAGTGGACCCTCCGGATACAAATTTAATCCCTTTCCGGGGGTCCGTGCAAACCCCGAAAATTTTGTAAGAAGAGGTGCCGCTTCTGCGCATGGCGCAATAGAGCCCTTCTGCACATGTGCGCGTGGTGAAACCCAGAAGTATATACTTCTAGGTTTGCCGCGTTCGCAAACCGAAAATTATGTTACCCGAAGGTAATGGAACCCGAGGGTCCACTGCATTTACTACATCAACAGTATTCAAGAGATGGAAGAGCCACGTTGGCTTTCACTTCAAATCACAGGATTGATTAAAGCAGTTACAGATTTTGTTCCAATTGAAATTAAGCACACACAGTAACTATAAAATACAGAAGTTAGTTGCTGTTATTGCTATAGTATGTAGGTTGATTGTCATTGCCCAGATTCTGTTGCATTAGTGCACATTGGGATGTGCTGCTAAAATAAATACTATTTCTCATCCTGCATCCAGTGAATGCTCTTTTTATATTGCATCTGTCTTCTCCCTTAGTCTTATGTCATCCTCATAAATCCCAACCAGAAATGAAAAGGCTCCTCAGAAACAGAGTAGTCTGAAGTCATTAATGGTAAGGGTGCGGGGGGATAGAATGCTAACTGTATGGAAGACAAAAAAATTGAGAAGCACTCTGTGATGTTATCAATATCTCATGTGTTTGGTAAAAATGAATATGCTTTATGCAATGCTTATAGTCCGGAAAAGCTGTTGAAAACATGTAATAAAAAAACTTAAGCTCTTATTTTTGAGCTAACACTAATTACTGCTTATACATGCTTATGTTCTTCATTCATTATAAGAAACTGTACCAATCAGAGGATAACTGAGCTTCAAGCACTTACACACATACATTATGATTTTTTTTTCAACTTAAGAGAAAAGAAAGCAACTCTAGGTCATAAAAATCTTTTCTCTTAAATGCTAATGAAATTTCTCCATTCTCTCCATTAGCAGATCCCTCTTATTGGTAATTTGTATCCTTTTCTTTTGTTCCCATTTATAATGAATGCTGGGCACAGAAAGAACCTGGGCTTTGAGAATGCTTTCACTTTTGTCTTCTCTTCCAAAGCTACACAGGATCAAAAGGACATAAATTGGCACCCAAGTACACAGAATGACTCTTGCTTTTTTAATTATGTAGCTTTTAAAAAAATTAATGTATTTTGGTAGGCAAATAGATTCAAATTCTGAAACATCAAAACACCAACTGAGAAGGCCTCTTTGCATTTCCTCTGGTCATAAATATTTTGCGGCTTAATGTGCCAGAGTGTTATGCCTTGTCAAAGTCTCCCTGTTGTAAACCTAGATTGTCCTGTTGCATGACGCCTTCCACTTCAATTTCCAAACTAGAAGAAAGGTGTGTATTTCTTCCTCTTTTCCTTTGTGTTGCCTTCTGCATATTTCAATGGTCCATGAAGCTGGTTTTTGTTGTTGTTGTTTAAAAACCTGTTTAGTTCTCTTTTTCTTTCTTTATTCCTAGCCCCAAAGATCCTAATTTCTCACATGGTTATATGTCAGGATTGATTGTTTGCATGTGCAGCCACCCCATTCACAGTATTGCAGCATCCAGGGCCCCCCCCCACCGCCCAGTCCTGCAGCCGTGAGTCAATTGGTTCAGACAGAGCCTCTTCCAAAACTAGCTCTTAATGTGTCACAAGTGCCTTTTAAAGAAGCATAGAAGGGTACTATGGGCAAAGGCAGCTGAGCTGTTTGCTCTGATTTCAGATGTATTACAGCTACTTTGTTCAAAAACTCAGCTCTGCCTTATACCATTTTCAGCTGGCCTTTCTCATACCTGCTTCTACATTTGTTCCCTTTCTCTGTGATAAGTTTATGTGTTTAATTTAAATTCAGCATATAATAAAGTTAGTCTTTTGAGCCCAACTGTAATAATTTGATGAACAATAAGCAAGAAAGTGAAAACGTTCAGACAAAAGTTTCTTTTCATTATTAATTGCTGCCCTCATTTTTATTGAGACAACGAGTTAGTGAGTGTGTATGTGTGTGTCTATGAAGGGAGAGAGTGATTTGTGTCTGTGAAGGTTAGAAGAGGCTGACTGTGCTGGAACTGACTGCAGTGCCTTTTTGATTATTCATGGACAGTAATAGAAGGCACTTAAAAAGAACAATGAAATTGCTTATTTTTTGTGATGGGCCATCTGTTGAATTGTTTTGTGCAACAATTGCACAATAGTATCTATGTCATATCATTCTATTTTCAACAGCAGCTGATTATGTATACTTGGCTACTTGTCCTTTTTTCCAAAAGTTCCATGACCATTTAAAGTCACCTTTGTGATCCTTTGCTGGAAAGGTAATAGAAGTGTAAAGCAGCTGGTGTGTATTTTCTTCCTTGATCTTCTGAGGGTTGTGTGTGTGTGTTGGTCCAAATTAATGAGGCCTCTTAAATGTTTGGATCTATTTTTCTGTGTTTCCCACCTGTAGTTTTAGAATGGAAGTTAACACAGAATTGTTCCAGCAGTTTGTTAAAAAATGATGGGGCTCTGTAATAAAGAACCGACATATTGTTGCACATTCACTGCTTATTAATTATTCCCTCCTTTTCTGCTGCAAGTGGTAATTAGAATCTTCTGTCATTTAACCAACAAGCCTCTTTTGTGACTACAAAAACCAGTTGCCAATCAGTTAATGGAGCAAGTCAAAATCAGCCTCTCATGATGGCGGTGTTGTCTTCCGCAGGTCACAGACATTGCTGATGCCATGATTCTCAAGCAGCTCTTTGAAAACCTGTTCCAAAATGGTGTTGTTGTGGTAGCAACATCCAACAGGCCACCAGAAGGTAAAACCAAACAAAATGTTGCTATTGGCGTTTTCACTGGAAAGGAATAGATGCCTTTATAAGGTAGCATTACATGTATTCATTTTCTAATTAAGATTAATCTCTTGTGTTGTTTCTATTGTAATTTTTTAAGGTTCTATGCTGTGCCCTAAATGGCACACTTCCTTGGCTTCTGTTCAAATATATGGAAGTGAGGAATATAGTCATGCTAAGGAAACTGCATGGTGTATAGGGGGTAGGAACTCTGAGCAGGAGAGTTGCAGTCATGAACTTCTGTGAACAAAACTCTTCTTATGTGAATGGAAGTGTCTTCAGTTCATGGAACAATTGTTGTAGCACTGAAAAGCCAATGGTCCTTTCAGTCTAGAAGATGGAAAGTGGAAGGAAGAAAATGGTTTGGAGAAAGGGTGATCAGCACTATACATTTATGACTGCCCCTGGGTAATTATTTATAGGATTGGTAATATTGCTGATCATCAGGGAGAATGAGCTGAGAAAAATGGATGCTTACATAAATGTGATGTAGTATTCAGAGCGTCAGACTAGATCCAAGGACAATGGGTTCAAATCTCCATGTAAGCCATGAAGCTCAGAATGGCCATGGACCAGTCATTTTTTTCTCTGCCTAACCTACCTCACAGGGTGGTGAGTGGGGGAGAACAATGTACATTGTCCTGAGCTCTGTGAAGAAAGACAAGGATAAACATACAATCTAATAATAAATGCATGATAAAATAGACAAATGATAGTGATCTATTCTCTGACATAAGGCCCAAGATTAATGAGACCTACTCTAAAACAATCAGGTGTACCTGTAGCAAGAAATGTAATAAATAATTGGAATAACAAACTAAGAAAATGACTGGCTGCTACAAGAAAGAACATGAAAATCTTTAAAGTTTTTCAATAAATGTTGAATGAAATTGCAAATTAATGTGGAAACATGTTTAATAAACTTAAAACTGAAAATGAAACTTCACATATCTATGTTGCTAAGTAAACATCTAAAAGGAAAAAAAGCTTTTCTTTAATCACTTTATATTTTGATTGTTTCTTAAAAACTAGTAGGGAACAAAAAAAATCTACCAGCTGTACTATTACAGAGACATAATCTGTAGTCAGCCATTTGTGTGTGAAAGAAGTGGTTTATGGTAAGTACTGCAAATATGATATTGCAGTTAAAAACTGCATATTTACTCAGTGCTGTTATTTTCTGCAATCTAGTGTAGTTATGTTTGTTTCTCAAGAATTTCTGAAAAACATACATGTATTTACTAATACTACCATTGCTGGTTCCGTATGGATAATATGGTAAGATCCTTAGTAGACTTTCACAGACTTCATTCAATACTTAAATGAAAGAGCAGGTTCAGCTGGCGTCTCACATCAATAAATGACTGGTGAGGAAGTGCTCTCCATGGCCTGTTACCAGATACTCAACACTGCAATACAAGTGAACAGAGTAGGAACTGGGAATAGAAATAAAATGACTCTCCCTAATAAACAGAAGTTGGGTCTCTGGCCGGTGTCTACCCAGATAGTGATAAGAAGCATGGAGATCTAGCAATTCATGACTTCCTATCTTCAAACAGTATCCTGTCCATCAGCTAATTGTTTGGAATAAATCACCTAGAGATGAGTTTTTGACTGACAGCTTTATGGTTTCCTCTGGGAGCCAGCTCCCTCCAAGGTTACTGGAAAGGTCTGATAGCCTCCATTAGTTATGTTTTGCCTGTTTCAAGTTGAATAGTTTATTACACTTTCTAGTTTGCTCCATCTCAGAATCGTGGAAATATATCAGTAAGCTAATCCAGTTTTTTAAAATACATAATTTTTAAAACCCAGAAGACATATCCCATGGTAACCTTGCCTGCTGTATTACTGGTTTATGCATAGTTTTCAAAAATGAGTACAAAAAGGGGGAGGTGATAGGCCACATTTCTATGAATGAAGTTCAGATGTTAGGTGTTTTATGTCTTCAGAAGAAAGGATTTATGATTTTGGGGCAGCCACTGAAAACAGCGCTTTGTGTACCCTTGATGAGCAGATTCTATATTCAAAGAACATCTTTATTGGGTGTAGAAGTTGTGAAGGGGTTCTGAAAGAGGATATGTTCTCTTGATTGAATCTGTACTGTGAAGAGTTCTAAACACCTACACACCAAATTATGCTCACAAGTCGTAGGAAGTCAGGCTAGGAGGCTCACTGGCATGATGAGCTTCCACAGACTGCCTCTGGCTAGAGGCATAATATTAATTTCTGTGCCAGCTAAAATTTCTGTATATCAGCAAATGCAACAATACATAAGTTGCATTATAGTAAGTCTAGCTCTGATGCTACAAGGGCAAGATTTAGGCAGCCTGAAAAAAGGAGCCAGCCTCACCAAATGGCATTGGTGAAAAATTATTTGTGGACACTGCCAGCAACACTCTTGAGTGAACAGGAAAGACTGAATGAACCCCATGGGATGGTAGGAGTTCTTGTCTCCTAATAAGAAGAACCATACAGTGGTGATCTCACAGATATTTGTCCAGAACCCCATCATTAATATTGTAATGCAGTGATGGGAAACTTTGTTCAGTTCAATGGCCACAATTCCCTGTAGCGGCCACGTATCAGTGGTGGGTGTGGCTAGAAACACCACTTGCCATCCTTCATCCAGGCAAGCAATAACTGTCATCATAATTCAAAGACACTTTCAAGCTAGTTAAGATTACTAGAAGAAAGGACATAGAAGGACCAATGAGGGGTTCAACCTTGGGCAGAATCATGGGGACCAGATGAAGACACTGGAGGGTTTCATTTGGCCCCTGGGCCTGAGGTTTCTTACTCCTGCCTTAATTATAATGCTGAAGCTCATTAAAAAATGCCATAGCATCTGCAGAGTCCTGTTGCTATTTAGGCAGGTATCTCCAGACAGCAGTTTTGTTGCTCCAAATAAGCATTATAACACATCCAAAGGGAATGTGTGTGCTGTCTTGGGCAAATGCATTTTTACAAACCTTTCCTCTGAGATACCTTCACACTTGCTGCAGAAGACCAACTTTGCTGACTGCCCTCCTTGCATTGGATCCTATCAGCTTTGCTGGCTAGTGGATTATCACTCTGAGAATCCACAGTGTGGGTCGGGCATGCATTGACACAGTGCTTCCAGTTCCTGCAGCTGGCAATAGTTTGATTAAATGTAAAGCTGATGATTCCTCCAAGAGGCCCAAAGTGTGCTACACATTATATTATTTCAATGGAATGTGGGCAAAATAAGTTTGCATTATCCTGAAAGCTCAGCTTTCTCTGCAGCAGAGCAGTTTTGTTGGAGTGCTGTTATCAGCAGATTACTTGCAGACAAAACCATTCTTTCTCCTCCCCTACTCCTCAGTTTTGATGTGATCCATGCATTTTGCCAAATGAGTTAGAATCATATGCTGAGATGTTCTGGGTCAGTTTCAGTTATTTATGTGTGTCCAATCTTCCTGAATCACAGATACTATAAAATACAACAAATGACAATACATCTATTATATCATAAATGCATTTGCTTGGGACAGTGAACTCCATTGTTTTAAATGGAACTTACTGTCAAGTACGGTATGTTTTTTTTATTATTTATTTATTTATTTATTTATACCCTGTCTTTTCCCCTGATGGGACTTAAGGCAGCTTGCAGATAAAAACAAGAACAGCTAAAACATAGAAAATAACATCCATTAAAAACAATTAAGCACTGATAGTTAAAACTATATACATATTTATGATTGTTGCGAGAGTGGGCCCTTCCAGATGTATCATTATAGATGCTGTGTTCTGAAGTTTTTTGGAGCAAAACTGTAGTGGGCTGTCTACACCAGCAATCATGTGTTGCTGATTATAGCTGTTGCTTTTTTCCATCCACACCAGTGACAGAATGTGTTCAGATTGAGAAAAATTCTGTGCCTGTAATCACACTCCTTCCATTCCCTTGTTCCACTGAGCAGTAAATGTCAGAGTTATGAGCATGTGCACAGGCTACTGATAGCCCTTTCGTGTGTTTTGCCTTTTTCGGGGGGGGGTATGATAAATTGCACAAAACTCATGCATGCATGCATGCATACATACATGTTTTCACATGTTTTATCATAGATTCAAATCAAATTTTCTGGGGATGTTCTATTTCCTCCCATTTTTCTTATTTAGAGTGTAATGCAGCCAAATTTATTTTTTTAATGATGTTTTTTGTCTCTTATACATTAGAGTTTAAGTATATTTTAAAAAGCAGATACTGAAATGTTAATCACTGTATTGTGCAGCTTTACTGTTTATGATTTATAAAGTTAACCTCTCCAAAGCAATGAGATACATTTAAACTATGTGGTTAATTTAATTAAGTAAGAAGAATATATTAATTACTTTTAAATACAGTTTAATTTTAAAAAAACACATTGCAGCCAAAGATTTAAATTTAAATTATTTTCTTTTTTCCTTCCTTATTTCTTGATTTGGTAGAACAGAGGTAGAGAGCCTGTGTTAGGGTTCCCATATTTCAAACAGTGGGGAAATGTTTTTTGGCCAAAGTTGTTGAACTTTTGGGGGATAAAAAAATGCTGGATTTCCCTGGACACTGCCCAGTTTCTGCCTGGACACTGCTGCCGACTTCAATATTCTGGATATTGGGAAAATCCAGGTGTATGACAATCCTAGCTGTGTTGAACTCAACCGTACTGTTCAAATCTAATTCCCATTGGCACAGCCCAACATAGCTGATGGGAATTTAGTCCACAATGCTAGGAAGACCAAAGGTTCCTTCTCCCTAATGTAGAACTTGTATTTGTAAGTAAGACCAAAAGACAATCCTGTCAGATATATGTGGCGAGGATAATATCCATGTGTTCTCTTTCAGATCTCTATAAAAATGGGCTCCAAAGAGTGAACTTCGTGCCATTCATTGCTGTTCTTAAGGTAAAGGAAGATGTGCTTGATAAGGAATCTTGCTAGCTTACTGATAAGCATCTTTATTGCAAAACTGTTTTGTTCATATTTCTGGGAGGAATTTTCTTTATCCTTCTGGGATTAACTCAATTAGGGGCGGCAGAAGTTAAGATTTCATTTGTAATATTTTTGAATCTTGAGGCTCTACTTTTTCTCCAAACTGAATGACAGAGTTCAGAGCAACAACATAAGAGGAAACATTATCAGAACAGAAGGAAATTTTTACTTCTCAGCTTTTTTTCACATGTAGTATTCATGAAGATAGAAAAAATCCCAAGCCAGGTCTAGGAGAGCACTATCCATTATTACCTGTTACTATTCTACTCTTTTCAAAAATACAAATGACTACAAGGTTCATTTTTCATTTTCATTATTTATTTATTTATTTGTTTGTTTGTTTGTTATCTTTTTTAAATTCTTCACTACCTTTCAGAATACAATATTTCCAATGGTGGCTTACAACCTTTAAAATAATTTAAAAGCGTATAAAATATAAACATTATAATCACAGTCATAATAGCAGTAAAAACATTTCAGATCAATACATTATAGTAATCACCCATGCCAGATACCAAAATCAATATTTTTTAAAAATGAAATTGCTATTGTGTCATGGGTTTCACAAATTCAGGTTTCCCAGCTTTTAGGTACAAAGAGAAAGGGAAAATGTATTAGCATTTGGATTTATATCTCAATCTTACACGAAGAAGGGCTCATTGATGCATGGTTTGTCTGTGGGTTACCAACTACTTCCTAATTTTTTATGGGAGTCAATACAAACTAAATTTGTACTCCTGGAGATTGCACTGCAACTGCACTTGGTTCTTGCAGCCGTTTTCTGATTGCTTAAATCCTTTTTTGATAACCTATAATTTCATTACTTTGATCAACATTTTAATTGTATAGGGAAGGGTTCTTTTTCATTTTATTATTCTATAAACGTCTAAATACACATATTTCAGAAGCAAGTCCCATTGATATTAATAGGACTTACTCTCAGGTAAGTGAAAATAAGACTGCAGCCTGCATCTCTCCCTTTAAACTGTCTTTTAAAAGTCTTCTATGTGGCTCCAAAATGCCAATGTAATATCAGTATGACATGAAAGAAGTGAATTTTTTAAAAATAGTGTGGAGAGCCTTCTATAGGTAGAAGCAAAGACATTCACTGTGGAAGTGATAAATCCACAAAGCCTGCTTAGATACTAAAGGTGCAATCCACGACCATTTAAGCCTGAGTTGAGTCTGGGTTATTTTACTTAGGTTTCCTCCTTCTATGAGTGGGATTCCAAGTAGCCAGCTCCTGATCCTTAGAAATCAACACAATAAACCTGATTTTATGCAAACAACTGTGTTTAGTATTGATTCTCTTATAGAACAGCCATTAGCATTTATGCAGTGATAAAACTGTATGTACATTGCCTTGGGAATAAGTCCTTTTATTTGAACTCAGTGGTACTTGCTTCTGAGTAAAGATGTATAAAATTGGACTGTTTGATTATTTCCTATTCTTCCATCGGCTTTCACCCCACTAAATAATCATATTTATTTTTTGTCAAAAAGCCACTATTAATGTTTGGAAGAAGATTCAACTTTATACTACTATTAGGTCAGGAAACTACTACCAGCAGATTCAGAGCGATCTTGTGACAGGGGGTGGGATTCTGGCACTGGTTAGGAGATATAAAATGTCTTTGATTATGTGTTCTGCCTTTGTCAAGCCACCTGTGTTAGAAGCACACAGATCTGTGAATTGACAATTTCTTTTTAAAATAAAAAAGTCATCTTGGTGATTAAATTGATTTGTCAGTTAGTTCCATTCTAATGCTGTGATAGTCCAGTAGCTTTCAGTATGCTGAATGGTTAAAACTTGCTTTTGTGGTCAGTGTCAGCACCCTGACCTCTGCTGAGCTGTCACCTGAGTCAGAATTGCTGGGATTAAGTCTTTGATATTGTGATGTCTTCACTTATCAATTGACTTTTTCATTACTGAAGACGTTAGGCCTTTTGTTTCCCTTCTTAGTAAGTACCCAAGCAAGTCTTAAATAGAAGACTCTTTCTTTCCCAACCTGTGGAAGTTGTAGGCTCTGCTTTTCTCTTTTTTCCCTGTGTTAATTAAATGGATTACTTTTGGAATTTACAATACAGTTCAGTTGTGAATCATTGTGTTTAGCATTAGAAAACAAGAGTGAGAGTGAGAGAAAATGAGGGGGTACACACGTGCAAGCATACACTCAGTAAATATAAGACTAGAACAGACTTTGGCTCAAATGTTCACATTGTATTTTTTTGGCTTTTAAAAATGTGATTGCATATCAGAGTTTGAGTTCAAAAGTGGTTACACTTTAATGCACAAAATTAGAACTCTAAATACTCAAAAATTCTGTTTGATCATCCGAAAACTGTCTTTTGGTAGGTATGCAAATCCATACCACACTGAATATATTTATAAGTTTTGTATCTCACAATCCAAATAAATAAATGTTTAAAAATCAGGTAAGGTTTTAAAATATATTTTGTTAAATATATTGCATTTTAAGTACAGTAAGATGACAGCTTGACAATCCTTCATTTAAATATATATTATATATATTTGTCATCTGAAAGTAAAATAATGATAGCAAACTCTTGCATTCTATTCCATTTTGATCTTAATAATAGTTTTTCTCTGTTTAAGCAAATGAACGCTTTGGTTCCAACAGCTGGCTCAAATTCTAAGTTAGATATGCAATATTACATTGTTTGTAACGCAATTGATTTGTTTAATGTTTCCTTTGCTTGTGATGTAATGCAAAATAAGGTCTTCCTTATCTTCCTCCATCCCCCTCGCCCCAAAGGTCTGAGCCAATTAATAAGGCTTGTAAGTGCTTTGTCACAGGCTACCATGGAGGTCTGCAGAGAAGAACTTTAATCCAATAAACATTTCATTTAGATCATGAAAAGAAAGTGTGAGGAGAAGCTCCCGTAGGAGAGGGTGTTACTGGCAATTCTCTCCTTGCAGTGATATGAGGAATTTGCCAAATTAAGCAAAAGGCCTTCATATTTAACACATTAAACGTGTCAAAACTAATAATGGGAATAGTTTAATTTGGGTTGAACCTTACATTGTGAATATTCTAAAAAGCCACAACTGTTTTCTTCAAAGACTTACTGTTGAGCTGGATGGACAGGGCAAGAGGAGGTTGTGAGAAACCCAAATAGCAAATAACACTGGCCGAAAGTTGGGGTGGGGAGAGGAATAGATAATTAGGTGTAATTAGCGTGTATGAATTGTTGTCTCCCTGCCCTTGGCTTGAATAAATTTGGAAGAAAAAAACCCAAGTGGTGAAACTGCTTTGATGTAAGAGGAGTCATTGTGGCTTGGCAGCATAAAGGCAGTGTTTTCTACTTCTTACATAATGGTTGTGATACAGAAAGACTGAATGGACTCTGCACCCCCCAGTCTGCTTTACAGCAAGGACTTTTGGATTCTCTTGAAACAAAATGCAGCAGAAGTTTTCAGTTGTTGGTAATGAGGTAGCAGACCTCATCAGAGATAGGCGTAAGCCATCCTTAGTCTGCTTAGATCTTAATTGTTTATTTTTATTCTGGAAATCTAGTTTCTGAAATCAACACTTTCCCTTTTCTTCTTCTTCCCTGTTTGGAGCTCTGGCAGGAGCAAAGATTCATGCCAAGGAAGGAAGTACAAATCAGATTTTGAAGTAAGAAAGCATTGTGAGCAAACTTCATATTGGATGGAACTGAGTTAAAGTAACTTAGTCATCTTTATATATTTGACCTGTTGTTGAACAACTGCTCATTTAGTCTAGCATGAAACATAGCCAGTCCTGTTCTGCTTTGCAGAAAGGCATACTGTATACCGTTTACTTACTAGAATAAGAGCTATCCTTAGTTGTGGGAGTGCATTCTTTGTAAGAGTTGTTTATACTTTTGGATATAATGCAAAGCACCTTGTCAAAGACCAAGATGTTGGCTTACATATCGCTTCTGTTTGGCGCAGTGGGTAGGGAATGATTCTCTTGAGAGACCTTGAAAAAGGAAGCCGTGTTATGCTCTTACCTTATTCCCCACTGAAACTTAATATTGTTCCCTTTGTTTAGGACGTTCTCTTGATTATGCACCCACTAAGCTGAACTTTAAAGAACTTTATAGTTATTGCAACTCTAGTCAAACGATCTCAATCTGTTGCATAGCTACAGCTACGTGGTATGCAGAAACAACTGTAAAGCATCTAATTTGAATTAAGGAACCAAATTATCAATTTTGTGTGCTGAAGCAGAGAAACTAAACTTCTTATTCCAGCTGAGGTTCTGGACAATGATACAGCTATGGAGAATGAACAGTTACTTCATATCCACAGTGTTTTAACAAACATAGGAAATAAATCAATATTAATAGAGAATAATTATCAGCCTTTAAAAATATTAAGCCCAACAAATCTGATTTAATACATACAGACTCCAGTTATGCAATGTAGCAGCAGTAGTAGCTATAGCCTTACGCACACATTTTATGCATAGTATTCTTTTCCAACTTGAGGGCCTGATCTATTCATTTTGGGTGTTAAAATGCTTTTTATCTTTTTAGATTTAGCATTTTGTATTTATTTAAAAATGTAATATTTATGTACATGCACTCTATTCTCAATTTAGAGTTCTGTAGCTACTGGGATATGCTTGAGAAAAGGAAACTGGCATTTCATTTAACCCTTTGAGGGTTTATTATGTAGAACAAGTAGCCTTTTGTGCTTGAAGTTGTACACTCTGAAAAAAAAAGCAACACCTGAATATCTCCGGAGCTTGAATAATTATGCCCGATTGTGTTTTGCTGGTGTAGGTCACAGGAAATTCACTTAGGGTAGACTCTCTACAAAGCTAAGATATATGCAGATTTTCTGTTGTTGGATTGTGTAAAAATTATTTACTGTTAATACTTGCATAAAGGTTAGAAAGGTTGATGAAGTGATATTTAGTATTGCTTTACTATTCACTGCGTGTCAGGATGTAATTATGACTGATTCATGGAACTGTCTTAGGAACGAACCATCTTTATTAAAATGCTGATCAAGATAAGAGCTGACAGTAATAAAGAATAGAACATTTTAGTCTTGTTGCTTTTCAATGATTGCTAATTACCCCAGAGGTCATGTATAGTGCTTGGGAGGATTCATTGACATTATTTTCTTTTAAGTCTGCTGTTTGAACAACATCTGAACATGAAGACAAAGACTGAGTGCATACTGAACAATAGTTTGACCAAGTTTTTTTATTCCACAAATACTAGATGATTCCTCTCTTTTCCGTTTTGTTACAGAAATTTATGTTCAAACGATAAGGCAGGATCTTTGTTTTAAGATCATATCCTGATCATATCCATCACTGTCTTCAGAAGGTCAAACAAATAAAGATGAAACAATGTACTACTAACTCTCCTATAGTTTATTGTATGTAGAGCATAACCCAAAGGAGAGGTAATTAAAAGTCCAGTCTTGTTCCTATGACTTTGGTTATCTTATAAATCAGAATCTTCAGTTTCTTTATTAGATTACAAGGCGCATTTAACCTACAATATACCTTCAGATAGAAGGCTTTTTAGTACCCTTTGTACCATGTTTGGAACTGAAGTGTGGGCAGTGTTACATGTCATGATTTGAAGACAAACTAATATACAGACAGAAGAAATACAGAGCATGGGGGAGAGATTTAGGCCAATGAAATAAGTATACAGTCATACCTTGGGTTGAATGTGCTTCGGGATGAGCGCGTTCGAGTTGCGCTCCGCGGCAACCCAGAAGTAACAGAGCGCGTTACTTCTGGGTTTCGCCGCTTGCTCATGCGCAGACGCAGCGAAAAGCAATGGCGCGCGTGCGCAGACGTGCCATCGCTAGTTACGTTGCTTCTAGATGCGAACGGGGCTCCGGAATGGATCCCGTTCGCATCTAGAGGTACCACTGTACAGAGAGGAGTGAAGTAAGTGATTTCAGGCTAAATGTGTTTCTTAAGGGTGTTTTTCGTTGCTGTTTTTTGGTCAAAGATCCCTTTGAGAATCTGATGAAAGTCCTCTCCCCAGAAAAATACACATAAACACACACACAATTTTGCACACAATTTATTCTATCGCAGTAGAAAAAATTTTTTTGTGTATGCTCAGTCCACAGACCTCTTGAAGCCTATGTGGTCTATGGGTCACAGGTTAAGAACTACTGGTCTGAACCCTTGGTTGAACAGCCTCCTGCAAGCTAGGGCTCCCCCCAACCGATGTTTTATCAACGGCAACTCTCGTAAACCCCAGCTGGTCTGGCCTTGCTGGCTGAGGTTGATGGAAGTTGTAGTCCAAAACATCAGGAGGGGAATCAGTTTTGGGAATGCAGAACTAAAAGAAGTAGCACTTAATGGGAAGTGGGGTGTTTTCTGGTATGTGCATGAAGTGAGTAGATTAGGTAGGTGCACAGAACTCAGGAGCCATAATGAGGGCAGCAGGGTTAGAAGTAGGGTAGCTTGGGTATGGGTAATAACCCTTCTCAGTAGTTAAAATAACCTTCTGAGGAACCTTCATGATTGGTGGGCCAGAGGCGAAAAGTGGGTGGGGCAAAGGATGTGATTCTTATCTTGTATAGTAGGCTAAATACAAGCCATGAAAAGGTTAGTGGTTTCTTCATACACATGTATGTGCATGCCCATTCTCGTCTCCATTCAGGCAAGCAGAAGGCACCATCATAGTTCAAGGGCACATTTGAGCAGGCAAAGGCAGAGTCCCTAGAGCAGGGCTAGTAAGAGGACATGACTTAGAGATTTTAAGAGCTGGGTTCAGTCCCTGGGCCTGAGGTTGCCCTATTATTATTATTATTATTATTATTATACCCTGCCCATCTTGGCTGGGTTTCCCCAACCACTCTGGGAAGTTTCCAGCACATATAAAAAGATAATAAAATGTCAAATCAACATTTCAGACAATTCATTTGCAATTCATTACAAAACCCATCAGCAAAATCATGGCAGTAGGTACTTGTACTTGCAAGATTGGTATAAACACAATACTGGGGAGCTTTTCAACATGCCTAAGAGATCAGAAACTGGATACAGGATATTGTTCTCTCCCCTTCTCACTCTTCTTTCTGGGAGGAAGTTCTTCACGTCGACCCTAACTAGAGCTATAACAGATGTGCTAGAACAAGCATCCACAACAGTTAGTGTTAACAGGGAAATGTTAAGCAGGCATTCACCTTAACCAAAACCTGAAATCAGATTTGGGACATTGGCAGAAATCCTAGCCAATTGACTAAATTAGTGAATTGGTAATACAACCAAATCTTTGGAAGAAGCGCTGGCACATAGGCGTTGTAGCAGGCTTTAATGAGGAGGTATTCCTCCTGCTTGAGAAATATATTTATTTTTAAGCTCTTGTAAGGACTTAATTATGTATTTATTTTTAAGAACTGATGTCCAAATAAAAAAACCCTTAATTTAATAATGAAACTTAATTTTTTTAAAGGAAAACTAGGTATCAGGCTGGGGGGGCATGCAAATCTTTTTTTGGGATGGGTCATAGCTTGGTGGTAGAACATCTGTTTGGCATGTAGGTTCCAGCTTTCATGAACAGCATCTCCATTTGGGGCTAGGAGAGAAACCTGCCTAAAATCGAGAGACACTGCTAGTCACTTTAGACCAAACTGAGCTAGAGGAACCAATGGTCTGACTTGGTATAAGGCAGATTGCTATGTTCCTATGCTGTATTTTCAGTATGGATGTTACATCTAACTTGTAGTGATTATATGGAGGAAAGCATAGTTGTCTCCAATGGCTGTATCATTTTCAGTAGTGTTAGGGTTATTATTCCATTCTAACAGAAATTCCTAATATCACGGTTTGTCTCCATTTCTACCTTACAGAGTCTAAAGTTTTTCCCCTTACAGTAACGTGTGTGAGTGATAAGGGATTTTTTTAACCTTCTTAATTATATTTTCAGAATGTAATTGTGTTTGTCCTTTGCTCTACATAAATACATAAACCAATACATAATAATGCGAGCAGCTGAATAATTCTAAGCATTAAAATTGAACAGTGTAAGAAGTCACAGTCTTTATGCCAATGGTTTTGAAATGCTCCTTTGATGTGACATGCAGCTCTGCTATGACTAGCTTCTACTACCATTGGGAAAAGGACAGGAGACTTTTAACACTGCAGATGAAATAGGATTATCGAAAGACTTTAAATGTAAACCAACTGTTAGGAGTGTAGCTTTAAAATTAAGGGCTAAAATATGAAGACTCCAGCTAAAAGTTCTTTAGCTGCTGATTAGGATTCCCTGATGGTGATTAGTGAGTGTGGAATGCAATCATGCCTGTAAGCTTTAATCAATCCCATGATGGAGAAGTCAGTTGCTCAAAGAGAGGCCAAATTAATACATGTATTGTTTCTATTGGGCTTATTATTTTTAACACTAAAAAAAAAAAAAAAGAAAGTAGGCAAATTTGTGATGAAGTATTTCGGAGCATACAGAATTTCAACAGTCCAGAAGCATGTGAACTTTACTACCAAATATTCTGTCTGTCTTTATCCTAAGAATGTTTTATTTTACATTGCACAACATTCTGACATGTCTTTCGTGTTGTGTTGTGTTGTGTTGTGTTGTGTTGTGTGAGCAATTAATCTCACTGTGCAGTAACCCAAGACCTTTTCAAATAGCAATTTTCCTTGTGTAAGTATTTCAAATGTTGAGAGAGCTCCATTTTTATTTACATAACCACCTCTCTGTGTATATATTTAAAGTCATGTATTTCTGTTATTAAGATGTTCCATTGTATGGAAGCTTAGAGAATAGTTTGTGATGTGAACACGTCACCTGATAATAAGGGACCCTGCCTGTGCTGAAGTCAGTTGACCCAACAATATGACCATGATTTTGCTGCAGACCATGGAACTAGCACAGGGGTCAGCAACCCTTTTCAGCCATGGGCTGGTCTACCATCCCTCAGACCATGTGGTGGGCCAGACTATATTTGGGGGGGGGGTGAACAAATTTCTATGCCCCAAAAATAACCCAGAGATGCATTTTAAATAAAAGCCCACATTCTACTCATGTAAAAACACCCGGCAGGCCCCACAAATAACCCCGAGATGCATATTAAATAAAACGACACATTCTACTCGTGTAAAAACACGCTGATTCCTGGACCATCCGCAGGCCAGATTGAGAAAGCAATTGGGCTGCATCCGGCCCCTGGGCCTTAGGTTGCCTACCCCTGAACTAGCATCTCAAATGCAGATTCCAGCAGCTTGAGCGCAATTATAAGAACATCAGTTTTCACTATAAGGGAAGGCCTTCATGTTTCATTGGGGTGGGGGTAATCCAAGTTCAGATCTCCTTGTCCTTAGAAACAACTTTTCCCTTCCTTACTTCCTCATGTGTTCTGATCTATTATCCACCATGCAATCATTGCTATTATTATATAATTATTAATATGTATGTATGTATTGTCTTCATGTGCCAAGATAACGCATAGTTTCAAACAATATTAGAATAAACAAATGATACAAAATATCCTTAGGCAACGTCAGGAACTGATGCCACAAACTCCCAGACCTTGCGTCCAGCTTCCCTCAGAGCAGACAGGTCCTAAGGAAGGTGGGAGAGGGATAATAACATTACTAATAATAGCAATTTATACATTAAAAAATATTCAGAACTGCCCCTTCCAAATTGCAATGAAATTAAGCATTTGCATACACTGTGCAAATTTACTCAAACTGCAGAATAATTTTAAAGGCCTTTTTCCAGATTTGCCGCAGAAATCCATTCTTGCCGACCACTGTGTGCTTGGGCTGCAATTTTATTCTTGCTTACTTACAAGAAAGGTCCACAGAACTCATTGGAGTTATTTATTTATATTGCATTTCTAAAAGTTTGATATGTAGCTTTTCTGAGTTCAAATGCAGCTTACACATTGCAATTCAAAAACACAATCTGCTATATTCAACTAAGTCATATTCAGAGTAGACCGGTTGTAAAAAACTGAACTTGGTAGCTCAAGTTACTTAGGTCCATAGATTTCATTGAGTCTGCACTGAGTATGACTGTTGGAAATCACCCAGTATCAATAAAACTTCTTTTAGAAACCTAAAAAAACTTACAGCATGCCATAATACGAAGCAGCAATTTATAGAGAACAGGTGAAGAAAAAAGTCTGCCAAGTCAAAGAGAGGCTTGCTTATATAAAGCTCACTTTATTTACCTTCAAGGACATATGCAGAGAGTTGGGCTGTTCTTGTACATTCAAACTAGGGCTGTGATTGCTGGCATTCCTAGCCCCTATTTCATATTGATGAGCAAAAACTATAGAGGTTGTTTGAAACTTTGATCACCTTTTGTCTGATTTGGATAAACGCCCACTTTACGTTGTTGTTCTTGCCTGGCTCTACTACCTTGTATTGCTTACTGAGTGATGCTGAAAATGTATGTTTGTAACAGCTGTATTAAGGCATTCTTAGTGGCCGGGAGGAGAATTCTCAGTGATTTCTTTGTATAACTTTGAAGCAGCCTTGATGGTGGAATGAGCATAATCCAAGCGAATAACTTGCCAGACCCATCATTCAGTTCACCTTATGCTGATTCATAGGGATATATGAGCTGATGCACTGCTAAGATATGCTGTACACCCTTGCAAAATTCCATAGCATCTGCTTAAGGAAAGTAACAACTCTGTTATTTTGTTTCTGTATTCAGAAATACTGCAGCACTATCCAGCTGGATTCCGGAATAGACTATAGGAAACAAGCGCTACCAGCAGCAGGAAAGCTATATTACCTGTAAGTTGTTAAAGCTAAAGGTATTTTTCTTTTCTTTTTCTTTCCTTCACTAGCCAACGTGCCTTGCCACAGGGGCAAGTAAAAACACTCTCCCCACCCCACAAAACCAAACAAATGCCAACTATCTTCTGTTTTGCCACAGTGCTAGTGCCATCAGATGGCATTTTCAGTATCTTCAGTTACATCGTTTATAATGTGTGACTGAATCAAAACTAATTAGATTTTGGGGGGAGGTGTGGTGTTTGCAGAACTGAAGTGACAGATGGTTATAAAGCAATGAATATCCTCTTGTAAAAGAGTGTGCAATTCCCTGGTAAATAAAAGAGCATCCTTTATTGTAGTAAACTAATTATTTATACAAATCCTCTGACAAGGACTCATTTACTGTTGGGTGTTACCATTTGTGGATTGAAAAACTTGTCTTATTTTGACAGATGATCTGCTTGTATCTAGGATGTTGATTTCCTTCAGCATTTATTCTCTGTTTGAAGATGATAAAAAATAATACCATAATACAGCTATAAGTACAATTTATCTGTATAGCTTTGATTTCTCTTTCCCTAATGATAGTTTACCCTCAGAGCAATTTGAGAATACAAGTATATGTGATGCAAAGTTGTTCCAACATTTAAGAAGAGAAAGTGGTTTTAATCAAGCCAATACAAGTACAAATCTACTTGTAGCTTTATTATGGCATTGTTTTTTTAATATTATTTTTGAGGAGTTTAAATAAGGACTGGGCTTTCCAGCTAGCAAAATGATTAGCCCCAGTCTAGGACTATAATGGGAGTGTACCATTTAGTTCATAATCTAGGGGTAGCACCTTGGATATAATTTTTGGGGTGAGTTTTATACTCAGGATTGCCAGACAACTGGATATGACCTGAAGTTTTAAGTTTTAACCTTATTCTGAGGCTTCTGGGGAAGGAATAAAATATTGGAGTTAGGGACTTCTTATTAAAAGTTACTGAGCATTGCTTCCCATCCTGAGCAGGAAAAAAGAAATTTCACTTCACATACTGGGTTCAAGGCCACAATTAGTGCTTGCAATACTAACAAATGATTTTGAAATTCTAAAATTTTATCTTTTAAGGGAGAAACAATTTATTTTCTCATATTGTGGTAGAATTCATGTATGTTGATAGTGTGTTAAGCTTGGACTGCATTGAATGTTGATTGGTACTTCTATAGAAACATAGTTTTTCCTCCAAATCTGGACGGAGCATCAAAGGGCTTGGGCAAAATTTGCCTGTTTCACCCATAAACAGTGTTCCCACTCCAGATCTATAAAGGAGAGGTGCTAGGTAATGTTATGGGGATGGATTTCTGCTTCTGGCATTGCTACATTTTGAGCTAAATGTATATATATGGGAGCAAGGGCAGAAGAATCCCACAAACATATTTCAGGGCCTTCTCTCCTAGTGGGCAAGATGAGATACTAATGGATTGCTAATGGTGAGGTACCATCCTTAGTACAGTGGTACCTCGGGTTACAGACGCTTCAGGTTACAGACTCCGCTAACCCAGAAATAGTACCTCGGGTTAAGAACTTTACTTCAGGATGAGAAAAGAAATCAAGTGGCAGCGGCACAGCGGCAGCAGGAGGCCCCATTAGCTAAATTGGTACCTCAGGTTAAGAACAGTTTCAGGTCAAGAACGGACCTCCAGAACGAATTAAGTTCTTAACCCAAGGTACCACTGTATACATATTTGCTGGCATTGTACGTTTGCCTGAATTCACAAAGGGCTGAGTCAAAGTTGAAATGGAACAGCTGTGGTCTGTCTGAAGGATTGAAATGTGGGGAATATATATATATATATATTTACTTTAGGTTTGGTTCCATAGTCCCAGTCCTTAAAACTACTAGCACTTTTTACTGCGCAAAAGAAGTTTATTATAACATTATTGCATTATGTATCCAGACTAAGTCCAGTTTAAACATAAAGAACCATAAGAAGAGAGACCAGGAGTCTCTAACAATCGTTAACACCTAGACAGCAAAGCAAGCAAATACATATGCCACATGGTCATAGTATTTCCCACTATAGTAATATGTATTCCATTTCTATTTAAATTATAGTAAATGGGTGATGTCTAGCTGAATCCCTTTGAGAGACTCTGGAGCAGACTTGGGAAAGGTGTCAGGGGCTGCAGGGAAAGGAAAGGAAAGGAAAGGCCCATTGCGCAAGTAAACTTCTGCTCATGCAACACAGAGTATCAGCCTATAATTCTAAAATGGTATATAAACATATAAATTACCACTATATGCAAATTTTATGCAAATCTGCTTCCTCTTTTGTACTTTTTGGATGGTTATGCGTAAGTGGCTGCTTCAATCATTGCTGAAAATTTCCTGTAATTTCATAATCTTTGGCCATCTCAAATTATTTGGAGAAGGATTTTAGATATGTCAAAACTAATTATATACAGTATGATCCTATACATGTTTACTTTTAAGTAAAGCCTACTGAATTTAGTGTGACTTATTCCTAAGAGGGCATAGGAATGCAAACTTTATTCTAGAAAATGCCAGATCAACACATTACATTTTATTTGTATCCATTTAAACCTGTGATAAAATAATATTTACTTCAGATATAATTTCACTGCACCCTCTTAGAGGTTTGTAAGGGTTCCCCTTCAGATGCTTGCTAGCTTTTGCTTCTGTGCTCTCATTTTGTGTGTGAGATATAGACAAAAGCTTATCTTTCTCACTGTGTGTGTGTGTATGCATTGTTGGTATCTGTCTGTCTCAAGAGACAATGGAACAGTGTGCCATTGAGAGTAAGTCAAAGCATTGGGCAATTATGGTGCCTGCTGTGGCTGTAGAGACCAACATGGGAGAGACATGTTTCATTGCAAGTGGGGCAAATGAAGGCGTCCAGTTTTGCTGCTACTGATGCACCATGGGGTTTCTTCTCTCTGCGCTTCTCCCAGCGTGTGTGTGTGTGTGTATCTATCTATGTATCTGATGGCCTGGCCTGGCATTGCCTCATTACTGGAAACAGCTTGAAACACAAAAGTCTTCCTATGTATGCAAATAAAGCAGAATCATCTACCTGAGAGTTAATGTTCTCTGCTTTTAAGTGTATTCTAACTCTAATGTTTGTATTTACAACATAACATCCTGTTCTGTCTTTCTCACTCTCTCTCCTTTTTTATGGGCAAAAAGCTAAGCAAGCTCAGGCAGCTGTTTGATGTTGGCTTCAAGTGTTATTAATTTCATATTCTATTATTCTTTTCACTGTAGCACAAGTGAAGCTGATGTGGAGGCTGTCATGGATAAGTTGTTTGATGAGCTGGCTCAAAAACAAAATGATTGTACGTAAGTTAATTTCTCTTGAAAGAGAATACATTTAGAACACAATGCCCAATCTCCACTGACCAATTAATAAGTTCCACTGCTGTATATGGGTTGATGCCACACTCAAGTGGCAGTCATTGTATCAGCATTTTGTCTAATTTATGTGTTGAATCATGTGCTATTATTCATCAAGCTATGCATTTCCTATCTGTAAGAGATGAGTTTTGTAGTAATTATCCAGACAAGATTGAGTCTTTGTTCATGTTCCCATAGTAACTAGACCAAGGATTTTAAAAGTACAAGGCAGAGAGCTGAGAGTGAATAAAGCGTGTGGAACCATTGCAGACTTCACATTTGAAGAGCTGTGTGACAGAGTGAGTACCCAGTCAAGCCTAGATCAGTTGGGCTTTTCAGGCTTCTCCCCCCCCCCCTCTTTTTTATTATATTATCCCAGCTCCAAACAAGCTTTGAGATATCCTTTGAACCTACAACAACAAGAATAACAAGAAAACTTGAATTCTAGAGTTGAAAAGTAAAACTGAAAGGGTGAAAAAAAGCATAGCACAATCAGTTTCTCTTGAAAGTGATCTCTATGATAAACAATTTAAATGTGTGAATAAAATTCTGGAACTTGCTAAGGCACTAGTGTCCAAAAGAAATTCACATCTAGATGACAGTTGTTAAATGCTGATCACTTAGGTAAGGAGCACAAAGAATAAAAACTTCCTTTCAGAATCAGACCACAGGTCCATCTATCACATGTCTCCAATGGTGAATTACATTTGATCTATCCTAGCTGTTTTCACTTACTTCCAGTGAGACAAAGGATAAGGCTTCCATCTAAATACCTTTTCAGCCAAGGATTCACATGCTGCCCTTTGAATTACTACTCCATGGTGAATCTCTGTGAGACCCTAGAGAATATTCTTTAAGAAATTGCCCATCTGTACCTGTACTGAGAATGTAGAGCTGCCAGCCAGGTAGCTTACTAAAGAAGCCTGTTGCCTTGATCAAGGGCAAAAGCTGTTCAATGGTTGTCTTACCTACTGTGACTTTATAGGTAAAGTATATTAAGATAGGTAGTTTTGTGTAATGTGGATACTAGAGTTCTATAATTGCATATAGTAAATATTCTAAAAAGGTTTACTTTTTTTTTTAGAATGTAAAATGATCTCTAGAAATCTTATCTAATGGCATTGTATGACCAAAAGTGTCTAGCATTGTGTGTCTTAAGTGTTAGCCTTGTTGGGCCTTTTTCTGAGTACTCAGAATTGCAGCTCATGAGGAAAGTAGTTGTATAGTCAGGAAACTGCCCCGCTGCAGACATGCCCCCAATATATAGGTCATATTGGAGGTGGTGTGTGACTCAGGAATCCATGTAGGGCTGATTTGTATAGCCTTGACCTGCTACCTCAAACAGTTAATGGCTGTTATGGGACAAATAGAGCTTCTACAATAAGGACAGGCGCCACTTAAACTGGAGGGGAAACAGATTGCTGGCACATCAAAAAAGTGGCAGAGTAGTTTTGAAACCAATCATTGAGGGAAAGTTGATAGGAGCTAAAGAGCACCTGGTTAGGGTGAAAATGGGAGTGTTGCATATGGGAGTGGAGCAGAATTAGGCAATGAAAGTGTAAGGGTACATGATAACCATTTAGTGCGGTAGGGGGAAATTTGGAGAGCGACATCACATATAGATGGTCATACTCTTCCACAAGAAGTCTGTGAGCCAAAATGGGCAAGCTAGAGTGTCCTTCAAAACCAAAGGAGAGCATAGATATAGTAGCCAATGTGGAATGGAAAGAACCAGTGAGATACAGTTATCTTTTCGGTACTAATATTCTATGAAGCAAAGGGAAGGGCATATGAGAATGGTGTAACTGTATGTGAAAGAGAAGATAAAATCAAAGAAACTTGACATCTCCAAAGGAACAGGCTTTTTCACAGGAAGTGGGATGATAATGCATACCCCAAAGTAATAGAATTGGGGATATATTATCACCCCCTCGGCAGAATGCCCAGGGGGATCTTGAGATGGACAATGCAATCAATTAGGCATATAAAAGGATAAAGTGTTGTTGTAATGAATGTCTTAAATGACTCTCACATTGACTGTGGGTAGATTCATGTTCTGGTCACAATCAACATATGGACAATTGTCAGAGAAGTCCAACATGATTGCACTTGACTTCAGAAGCAGGGGGGAAATGAGGTAGAGCTGCATCAGTGAAACCAGCCACCTTCTGAGTCTCTTCCCCCTCACAGTCCTTCCTCTGGAAACAGCTCCCTTATAAAGGCTCCCAGGGCTGGAGGGTGGGGCAAGGCAGGTGGAAAAAACCATTAGCTGCTCGATATTGTATCATTGGGGAAAGTGCAGAAAAGGGCTACCAGAATTATCGCTGAGTTGGAGCAACTCTACCATGATGAAAAGTTATAATCTTTTGGGGTTTCAGCTGAGAAAAAAACCAAGTAAGAGGGAGGGACTCCTGTTTAATTCTTTGGCCATTGGCCTGTAGGACCCCTCAGGACTAATAATAATAATAATAATAATGCCATCAACTTACGCTAACTTTGAGTGTAACTTTGGGTCAGCACAAAAAACAAATGCTCTTCTAGTAAATGTGTTGGTGCAAGGTCATTTTCCTTGGTCAGACAAGTAGGCAATGAAACATGATTGTTGCCTTTTGTGGTAAAATAATAAAATGGAAATTTAAGAGTTTAGTCCTATGTATTTGCATTCAGAGATGATTACATCCAAATTCAGTGGGGCTGGCTTCTTAGTTAGTGCAGTTAGGATTACATGCTAAATTCTAAACATCACAAAATTATTTTTAACAACAATTCAAGCCCCAGAAATGTTCAGATGGCAGTATTTACCGGTAACACGGAAGAAGATGAACTCTACATACAGATTGTGAAAATGAGTTGGTAGTTATTTATAGTCTGAACACAGACTCATAAAAGTCTAATTAACTTTGAAATGGAAATATGGTTTTTCTTTCATTCCTAGGTCATTCAAGGCCAGCCCTACCTTCGTGCATGACCACCCACTTGATTTAGACATAGTGGTTGAATCATGCCCCAACACCCACCCACACCCCACATGGATTAGTCCATATGCATTAGACTGCAACATAGAATAAATCTTGTAGGTTTCATATTTGCAGTTATATATATTTGTGGCACTCAGAGCTTTAAACAGTGACAAATCTCAGCAGACTGATTTGCACATAATGATTTAGCACCATGTGCATGATCTGGAAGGAGCCTGAACATTGCCTTGGGCTTGGGTGCTCCCCTCTCCTCTCCACATAAGGAAGGAAAGGACCTCGGCAGTGTCTCCTTTCAGTTTCAGATAATACTGGTGTAGCTTTATGTGCAGACCTGATTTTGTGCTTTAAAAGACAGTTAAACAAGCCAGTTTCATAATCCATGGTTAGTTAAACAAGCCAGCTTCATAATCCACGGTTTGAAGTTGGCTTGTTAGAAACTTAGCACAGAGTTTTTTCTAAATGGCAAAATCTGGTTCCTTTGTCACTGTCAGGATTTGTGGAATGTAAATCACACAACAGGGTCAGGAGTGTGCAAATCTGAGCTTTGATCTTATTGCAGCTCATGCACATTGCACTAAACCATTGCTTAGTACAGAGGTTGTCAGTCTAGAGAACACCCTCTTCTGTGCGTGGTCACATGGGGTCTATGTGTGAGAGTGGGAGGGTGAATATGTTTGGTCTGTGAGGTTGTATGTGTAATTTATTGAGTGTGTGAGAGAGATGTATGTTTGTCTGAGGTCTGCATGTGTGCAGTGAGTGTATTGCATGTGCATGAGAAAGTGAATATTACTTAGCCACCTTGTATGGTTTCCCTGGTACTGAAGAATGCCCCCTGTTAGACAGCAACAGCACCAGTGTGTGAAAGAAAGAGAAATCAATATTGTGTGATCTCCACAGGACCAGTCAGACATGTCTGACTTCCCTTGACCAACTGAGGTTGTCTGGAGCAGGGGGTGGAGTGGGGAAGCAACAATGACTGTACTTTCTTTAATTCTGTGTTATGCCATACCCCATGGCAATCTTTTTCTCCCCATGCCATGCCCCAAAGGCATCTGGTTCGTGGCTGGTGCCCACAGTGCTATTTCAATATTCAAAAGTGTCCCAAACAGGTTGGCGACCTCAGTCTCAATGTTACATACAAACTACAGAGTGCCGTGAGTTCTTTGTAAGTCTAATTTACTGTATTTTTTGCTCTATAAGACTCACTTTTTCCCTCCTAAAAAGTAAGGGGAAATGTGTGTGCGTCTTATGGAGCGAATGCAGGCTGCGCAGCTATCCCAGAAGCCAGAACAGCAAGAGGGATTGCTGCTTTCACTGCGCAGCGATCCCTCTTGCTGTTCTGGCTTCTGAGATTCACAATATTTTTTTCCTTGTTTTCCTCATCCAAAAACTAGGTGCGTCTTGTGGTCTGGTGCGTCTTATAGTGCGAAAAATACGGTATATATGTGTCAATATATTGGCTTGCTATGGGAGGAAGGGTAGGATCTTGGCCAGGGAGGGCGGGGTATAATTATTATTATTAGTAGTAGTAGTAGTAGTAGTAGTAGTATATAAATTGAATGAATAACAACCTCATACCCAGAATGTGTCAAGCTCAAATAATAAGCAAGTGTCATGTGCAGATTTTTATGTATATTATTTCACAGCCTCTGTGTTGGTCTTAAGTTCTAGGCATTGCATAGCAAATGGAAGAAGGTCCACTGCATCACGTAGAACAATTGTTTTCATTACAGTGGTGCCCCGCAAGACGAATGCCTCGCAAGACGGAAAACTCGCTAGACGAAAGAGTTTTCCGTTTTGGAGGTGCCTCGCAAAACGAATCTGCTATGGGCTTGCTTCGCAAGACGAAAATGTCTTGCGAGTTCCTGGGTTTTTCCCTTTTCCCCCTCTTTTTCTAAGTCGCTAAGCCGCTTATCTGCTTATCCGATAAGCTGATAAGCCGCTAAAAGCCGCTAAAAGCCGCTAATAGCGCTAATAGCGCTAATCCGCTAATCCCGTCAATGGGCTTGCTTCGCAAGACGAAAAAACCGCTAGACGAAGAGACTCCCAGAACGGATTCTTTTCGTCTTGCGAGGCACCACTGTACACAGTTGCTTTTTATAGATGGCCCTGACTATAACACACAGAAAGTCGTTTCACTTGTCTCTTATCACCATCCACCTGTTTCATCCATTTAACCTTGTTTCGGAATCTAGCATCTGTGTATAATGTAAATTAATACTGACCAGAAAGGTAGGTGCAGCATAAATCTTATCTTTAATATCTCCATGTTATCTATATTTCTTAATGCTTCTTTGAAATAAAAACTTTCAGCCATGATTATGCATAGCAAATACTGCCCTCTGATGGCAATACTAACTTTTTAATGTGATTAAGGCTGTGTGCTGATGGTTCTTTCTCTGCAGCAACGGTGAACTTCCTGATCCACTATTAGTAACTTGATAGTGGTATAGACATAATGGAGACGCTCTCTAGGGGCAAAAGCCTGGTCGCTCACTCTTCAAAATTCTTAGCAGCATCTTTTGGCAGTCAATGTCAGTCCTAAGGATAACTTGCACTTTTTTATTTTAAGAGCTACATGGGCACCTATATTTATACGCACCCATCATTTTACGTACCAAAATATTTAATTAAAAAAAAAATCACAGTGGTGCCTCGCAAGACGAAAAGAATCCGTTCTATGAGTCTCTTCGTCTAGCGGTTTTCTCGTCTTGCAAAGCAAGCCCATTGACGGATTAGCGGATTAGCGCTATTAGCGGCTTTTAGCGGCTTAGCGGATAAGCGGATAAGCGGCTTAGCGGCTTAGAAAAAGGGGGGGGGAAGGAAAAAAAACCCGCAGGAACTCGCAAGACATTTTCGTCTTGCGAAGCAAGCCCATAGGAGATTCGTTTTGCGAAGCACCTCCAAAACGGAAAACCCTTTCGTCTAGTGAGTTTTCCTTCTTGCGAGGCATTCGTCTTGTGGGGCACCACTGCAATCCAAAAGTGTGGTAACCATGAAGGCAAGGGGATAGTTACTTTTAATGGACACTACTCAATAGCTGCTAACACCAAACACACCGAAACCTAGAGAGAGAGAGAGAGCACAAGAGTTGTCGTCCCCCTTCCACTCTGCTTTTTTTAAAAGTTTGTTTCCTTTTTGAGGAGATCCTTGATTGAAGAACTGAGGTTGCTTTGTCTAGGGAAGACTGGCTCCAAGTAATGCAACTGCAGCCATTTGTAATTCTGCACGTGTCCACAATTGTGTGGAGGAGGTAGCAAGGATACCACCCATTTCATGAATACAGCCATGGTCTCTAAGCAGTGATTTCTACAATTGCAGGAGTCCTTTCATCAGCTGCTACAATCATGGAAATGATTCTATCACAGCGGTTGTATCGTCTGTCAGGTTAGGTCACTTATGAACATTCTTCATGTAAAGGATGATTCTGGGATGGTTACATATCATCCCTTAGCATGTTAAGACTGAAAGTACTTGTTAATGACCAATTACAACCTACAGTACATAAAATGGAAGACCCCCCAAAACGTACAAACAACACAGACCCAAAAGGTAATTTCTCTTAAATAACATAGAAAGAAGGAAATTGCAATAGGTAGATTCCAGAGCTTGACTTTCTTTTCTGCTTCCTATTTATGTGGGTTTTTTGTATTTCTAGTAACAATAATAAAAGAATATAAAAATAATAATAAAAGCGCAGGATAGTACGCACCCCGGAAATGATCTCTTTCAGCTGCTGCCTTCTGGAAGAAGGTATAGGGTTATAAAGGCCAGGACTAGCCGCCTTGGAAACAGTTTCTACGCAAATGCAGTTCTGGTTCTAAATGCAGCATAGTAAAGGTAAAGGTAAAGGTACCCCTGCCCGTACGGGTCAGTCTTGCCAGACTCTAGGGTTGTGCGCTCATCTCACTCTATAGGCCAGGAGCCAGCGCTGTCCGCAGACACTTCCGGGTCACGTGGCCAGCGTGACAAGCTGCATCTGGCGAGCCAGCGCAGCACACGGAACGCCGTTTACCTTCCCGCTGGTAAGCGGTCCCTATTTATCTACTTGCACCCGGAGGTGCTTTCGAACTGCTAGGTTGGCAGGCGCTGGGACCGAGCGACGGGAGCGCACCCCGCCGTGGGGATTCGAACCGCCGACCATGCGATCGGCAAGTCCTAGGCGCTGAAGTTTTACCCACAGCACCACCCGCGTCCCTAAATGCAGCATAAGGGGTCTCTATGGTATAGTGTATTTTAAAATGGGGTTTCAGAGTTTTTAGGGGGTTTTGAATGTTTTATGTAGTTTTGTAGTAGTTTTATGTAGTTTTGTAGTAGTTTTGTGTAGTTTTTCAATTTCATTGTTCTGCATGGGACAATGACAATAAAGATATTGTATATCGTAAAAACCTCACCTCAGAGCAAAGGGCTGTTGCTTTGCTTTTTTTCCTTCAGAAGCAAAAAAAGGTCAAAGCCATCCCCTTTGTGTGTTATGAAGTTGTAACATTCCCTCGTCACAGGTGCATCTGGCACCTTCACTATACAGCTTTTGGTGAATGGGGAAGATGCACGGTACCACTTTACCCTGGCTTTTGGTACCTGAGATGTGTGGGACCCACCCTTAACTCCTGTGACTACAATACATTTTACCTGCTTTAAATACTGAATTTTAATACTGGGACCTGCTGCTGAAGGGGGGAGTAATAAATTTAATGATAATAATAATTAATAGAAAAATAAGGGAAATGGAGTGATTTGTTAGAGCATTACAATATATAAACAGCTATTAAAATAACTTGAGTTGAGAAAATGGTAGCAGAACACTTGTTAACTTGGTAGTGAAATGGAAAAAGAATGAAGTGGACAGCTCAGTCAAGCAGACTAAAGTAGATTAACAGCTTGGTGGGCTTGAATTGGCATGGATGTGGTTTGAGTGAGTGTGACATCAATGAAATCCTACTTCCCAGTATTAAGAATTAGTAATAGAAATCCACAGTGGTTGGTCTTCATTATCCATCTTTTACATGGCAGCAACAAGGTAGAAAGCCAAGTCATTAATCACAGAAGTTGATATTAAGATAACTGTAGACACACTACAGACTTAAAGTAGTTTCCCATGAAGTCCTAGAACTATCTGAAAATTGTTTAGAGTCCTGCAGAAAGGGTCGGGAGTGCAGCTGAGATTGAGCTAGCAATAGGAAAAACACCACCATCCTCAGAGTGGGTTTTGGTGGTCCCATCTGGTTAAAACAAAATCAGAACATTTGTTTACTACAATAGGTATGTTCATAAATAAATAAGTAATGTGGCTGAAGGTGTCATTGTGAAAATGAGGAATTGTACCAGGTAATCTTATTTGAAGCTTGAAGTGGAATAACATGCCCAAATACGGCACTAGCTGAAGTGCCATTGAGTATTCAAATTAAGCAAATCAATTCTTCCTAGGGCAAGTTATGTAGCTTCAGAATAATTATTTCTTTAAAACTAGGCATTGTATTGAGGCTGTTGTTGACTGATACAGAAGCAGTAAGCTCTTCAGAAAGGTGACATTTCATAATAAATTATACCAACGTAGACTTCTAGTATTTACATGCTAATCAGTCAATCGTACAAAGCAAGACCTTGGACTCCAGAGAGGTTTCAGTAACTTGTCTGGCTCATTCCACAAAATTAAAGCATTTCCCAATAAATGTAACTGAAAGAGGAACAAACTTAAGGAGGTGTATAGGAAGCTGCCTTATACGAGGTCCCGCCATTGGTCCATCTAGCTCAGTACTATCTTCACTGATTGGCAGCAGCTCACCAGGATTTCAGGCAGGGTTCTTTCCCAGCCCTTCCCTGGACATGTCAGTGTTGAAACTGGGACCTTCTGCATGCAAAAGAGATGCTCTACCACTAATCGGTGGATCTTCCCTAACCAGAGACTGGATGTATATAGGTCTTTAGCTAGTTAATAGGGATATGTTCAATGGGTTCACTGCACAATGGCTCAGAAGTTGTGCATGGCAGGGAGTCGGAGTCAGGGGCCAGACGCAAAAGCAGGAAGGGCTCCTGCAGCTTTAATAATTATGTAGAAGAGGGAATTTCGTACATTGTGTGCTAATCTATACCTGGTGCAATTCCCACTTCTACACAACAATTACAGGTGTAGCAGCCCTGTCTTCTCTTGCATCTGACCACCGTGCCTAGTAAGAGAACTCAAGATTTGCATGCAGGAGACCCCATGTTCAATTCTTGGCGCCCCTGCTTAAAAAGGGCTCTGCCAGCATGACTGGGAAGGGGGCCTGGCTGAGGTCTTGCAGATGTTACTGAGCTAATTGGACCCTCAATCTGACTTGCTATAAAGTAGCTCCACCTGTTCCCAGGATCTCACTGGACTTCACTGAATTGGTGGCGGTGTTCCCCCCAGCAGGTTTAAAGAATGCTGGCATTCTACAAGGCACCTGGGTTTGTGTGGTATTTAGTGGCTTGTATTTCTTCCTTTGGAACTCTTGGCTTATTCACTGGCTTATAGGGGTTCTCTCCCTGTTAAGAGTCCCAGCATAAAGAAATCACATTGCTTGTGAGGCTACTCAGGATCTGTTGCCAGGACCACGTTTTCAGTGCCCAATTCTGTATCTCCTCAGCAGATGCGCCCAACACCCTCACAATGCCTTCAAGGGAATCGCAGCTGTATGGTGGGCAGCTGGCAAAGCTGGAGGAATGCTTTTGAGAAGCTTTTATGGCAGGGCACATGTTTTCGTGTGTGGAGGGTCTAATTCAGTGGCGCAGCTTGTTTCCGCCTCCCTCCAAAAAAGGGAGGAAAACTCCTCTGTCACATGGCTCCTGCTCCTCTGTAGAAAGGCAAGTTGCATAATAACATTGTACAATACAGTATGTGGGAACAGAACTTTGTTTCAAAACAATGTTGGGTAAAGACTTGGCTTTTTCATTTCATTTCATTTATTTTACAACATTTTTATATTGCCTAATAACTTAACCAAACTTATAATCACTTAAAATATTAATCATTAAGTGGTATACAGTGGTACCTCGGGTTACATATGCTTCAGGTTACAGACGCTTCAGGTTACAGGCTCTGCTAACCCAGAAATAGTATCTCAGGTTAAGAACTTTGCTTCAGGATGAGAACAGACATCGTGCTCCGGCGGCGCGGCGCCAGCGGGAGGCCCCATTAGCTAAAATGGTGCTTCAGGTTAAGAACAGTTTCAGGTTAAGAATGGGCCTCCGGAACGAATTAAGTACTTAACCCGAGGTACCTCTGTGTAAATGTCTTAAATAAATACCTCGGGTTAAATGTGCTTCAGGTTGAGCGCTTTCGGGTTGCGCTCCGCAGCAACCTGGAAGTAATGGAGCGCGTTACTTCCGGGTTTCATCGCTCGCACATGCACAGACACTCAAAATGATGTCACGCGCATGCACGGAAGTGGCAAAACGTGACCCGCGCAGATGCGCCGTTGCGTCTTACGTTCTGTTCAGGACGCAAACGGGGCTCCAGAACGGATCCCGCTCGCATCCTAAGGTACCACTGTAGTAATAAATTGCTCATTAGAAATAGAAAAGATAATACCACCAGCAGTCAGTCCTATAAAACAGCACTGCAAAGCACTGAAAGATGATTTTTACATATCACAGGAAAATAAAAAGTTTTCCAACTAGTGTTGAAAGGGCCATAACGTGGGTGCTCATCAAGACTTTCCTGGCAGGGCATTCTTTATGTTTCAGGGGTTTCCCTCCATTCCAAACATGGAAGAGTGTTTTTTGTTTTAATCTCCTGAAACCAGAAATAAAACCTAAGCACTTGGTTTGTTTATTTAATCTTAGGTATCCACGGCCATTTAATTAATTCTCAAATGTGTGGTGTACTAAATGATCCATGAACCATCTTTTATCTTTTATGTTGTGGCTGCAACTTTAATTCATAGGAATTTAGTTAAACCAATCTGGTATTAGACTGGATGATGTCAGGAACATATCTACTACTGTTGTAAATTTCAGACTAATTCATATAGCCTATTTCTGTAACGTGTGCATTCCTGCATGAATTCTCTGCAGCTGTAGTTAGAGCTTGAGTATGTGATTTATTTAGGGCTTGTTCACACATCTGGGTTTATTGCATTGTGCTTACATTCCTTTTGCTTGAGTCTGAGTTAGAATGCTTCAAGAAAGTGGAAGACTTGATGGCAAACTAGATGTGATGTTAAATGTGTGAATGCATTTGTGTCCATGGGCTGCTCCCCCCCCCCCCCGATCAAGTAAAACAATAGAATTACTTAACTGACCAATCATGTTGGTTCTGCCCCCCCAAAAAAAATCCTAGCTACGTCCATGCTTGTGTCTTTTAAAAAACATACTTTCAGTGCAGCAGCTGCAAGAGGGGATCAAGATCAGGACTATGGCACATGAGGAGGGAGAGTTTTACCCTCCTACCATATCACAATCATGCTAAAACTGCCTTCTCTCTGATGCTGTTATTTACCGCCGGAGGGAAGCTGCCAGTTGCACCAATGGTAGCCTTCCTCCCAGAGGCCCTGGGAGGGGGAAATTATATCTGCTTGGACCACAGCAAAGGAGGTAAATACTAAATCTTCCTTGCTGTGCAACACATTTCCAATCATAACCCTTTCACTGTGGGTATTAATTTCATAGTTGAAAATAGACATATTAAATGATTAATGCAGTCTGCAGCCCATTTGGTTTTACCCTGAGGAAATGACTCAATTTTCTTTTAACTTTATCCTTAGCATTAACATATGATGTGGGTGGGTGGTGGGGAGACACCTTCTGTAGTCAGTTAGTACAAAATTTACAAGGATACCTTCACAGAGTGCTGTTGTACTTAGATCCCGCTTTCCACAGGAATCTCTGGTCAGCCACTGCGAGAACAGGATACTGATCTAGATGGGCCATTGGCCTGATCCGGCACATTCTTCTTATTTGCTCTATAAATTTGGCAATACTCAAGCAAATTACTTGCTGATTTAATTTAGAGATCATAAAGCTAAGCTTAGCCACCAACTTTAGGAATCAATCTGTTACTATCACAGTCAACCTTATCACCTAATGCAAAAAGAAAACAAAATAGGAGGGATCACACTGGTTTGCTTGAGATATGATGGTAGCATTTCAAAATATATATTGTGTTGGTCTATTGGCTTTTCAGTGAGTTACAGTTCCCATTTTCTTTTTCAGCCGCTTGGAGCCAGTGATTACTTGGAAGTAGCTATGCATTTTGACCTAGTCTTTGTTCGTCACATACCTGAGTTTACAATGGCAAAAAGGACCCAAGCTCGCCGCTTCATTACTCTTGTTGATACTTTTTATGACAAGAAGGTAAGCAGTCAGTTGGTAAATTCTTACAGGATGAAAGCATATTGAATTGCTCTGGAAATTATCAGTATAAGATTAATGGGTAATGCAAGTTAAATCTTCCTATTTTCTCTCATATTTGCCTGCTGCTTTGGGAAATTGGTTCCACATGAGATGACAGGGGTGAACAAGTCACGGGACAATTTAACCCAGATACAGTTTAGGTCATAGGTCTTCAACGGGTGGGAGTTAAATTTGGTGTGATTTTAATTTGGTGTGTTTTTAATTTCCTGGAATCAAATGGCAATGCCAATCAATTTCATTAGGTGAGCTTGAGTTCCAGCACTATAAAAGAAGAACGAAACGTTCTCTCTTGTTTTCTCCAAACCAGGACACATAGATAAAACATTGCTGCTCACCAACTCCTATCCCTGAAAATCTGCAACTCCAAGGTGGAGTTTAGATATTAGAAAATTGTTGGTATATTCTGCCCCATGCCCCCAACCAACTCTGAGTCAAAATAATATCTTTCCAAGAGAAATGATCGTGATTCTTTTTTCTTGATTGGTAAAAAGTCACATCATGTTTTGCAAGCCAAACAATAGTTAAGTTGAAATTATCCACAAAGTTTTGTTTGCTGCTGTAATTCCAGGGTACAGATTTGCTTTGTTTTCGTCTTATTTCACCTAGAGTCCCAGTCATGATTCGTTATAAGTGAACAGACGAGTAAAGTGTTAATGGGTTTGCCCCAAAGTGATGATAATTTTAGAAGAAACAGCCACTCTTGGTTTTAGTCTGAGTTGTGGGACCTCTAATGAAATAGTAATGATAAATGCAGCACTTAGCTTGGATTTACAAAGGTTTCAATCATAGGAGCAAAATCAGCAGTATTAAAACAACTAAAAAAGGCTCTTTATATTTAAGCTGATGTTTTAAAAAGTAATGGAAGACATTAAGCTTCACCCTATGTGTGATTATAGCCACGCACTTAAATATTTATGCAATCAGGAAATATCGATTGAGATTAAAAACCTTTTTCAAGAATGTCCTGGCAAAGAAAAAAACCCCACCTTTAGTTCAGCAAGATAGTTGGGACTTATCCAGACAGTCTTATCTTTTTTAGTAAATGAGTTAAATGCAGCTCACTTTTTCTGGTGAATCCAGATGTCTTTTCTCAAAACTCCTGCATTTTCCTCACAGTCAAACAACAATATTTTCTCACTGGACATTATGGTGAGCCACACACACAAGTATGTTATCTCACCTTGCCCATTGCAATTATAAGTATTATTCTAGAAGTGTCACGAGCCCTGTTAGCTACTGGCTGTATTTTAAAGCTGGGAGAGTGCTTGTTTTTTCTTCACTAGACAATTGCCCTATAATAGCTACCAACAGTTTAAAATATACCGTACATTGGCACCTGCAGCTTGTGAAATGGCAGGCTGTGTACTAGAGGTTCTCAACTTTATTAACTTTATCTTCTTTTAAAAAAGGATGCTAAAACTTAAAGGCTGACAACTAGCAACTCACATTAAACGTATTTTAGACCATACCCCTATTGGCCCCAGGCAGCAGACCATCTAGAGGGCACCAGGCTGGGGGAGTCTGCTCTAGCACTTGTAGAACAAACATCATGAAGCAAAATGCGCAGGTACCATTTCAGGAATTGTTTGGTGGCAAAGGAGCCTCCTCCCACCTTTCACTGTTTTTAGTCAGTGAGTAAAGTCACAGCTGTGATTGAGGAGTGCTATGGCGAAATTTAGAATTGCACACATCAAAGATGCCAAAATGACATCAGAATTTCTCCAGGCAGTGTAGAAGGAAATTCCCGGTTCACTTTGAAACTGTGTTTTGGTCTTCCTTGATGTATGTATGCGTGGCTCTATATTGTTCTCTTGACTCAGAAAATGGTCATTTTGAAGCTGACAAAAATTCCCTGGTAGAGAAGTGACAATTGTCTAGAAAGAGGGAAAAAGAGAAATACAAAACTGTAATGTTGTGGTAGCTGGCTATAGTATTCCACCCAAAAGCAAAAGGTAGTAGCAAAATTTATTCTTTCTAACACAGGTTTCATGCCATGCCAAAAGATATATTATTTTGTATTTAACATTTCAGAATTCCATGAGTTACACTTAGCTTTTCATATTTTCTGGTGATGCATCTATAAGCATTAATGTTGTTTTAAAAAATATAATGACAATAAATCACCAATTAAATTTGTCACAACTGAATTTAATTCATCTAACAAAGCATAACCAATTAGTGGCCTTATTTCAGTTCATTTCTGCCCTGCCTTCCATTGTGGCACAGAGTTTCTATATTGTTTTACTACAAAAGGAAAGTAGCTTATTGCATGATAATGTTCAATGAGCATAAGTATTTTAAATTTGTGTGTGTGTGTCTGTGATAAAGAGAGAGAGAGAGAGAGAGAGGGAGGGAGGGAGGGAGGGAGAGAAAGTGACCATAAGCTAAATGCTGTACAAAACCAGTAGAAATAAATGCCCTAATGCTGACTGAGATTCTTAAGAATAGTAGAAGAAAAGAATGGCCTACATTTTGATTTTGAGGATATTTATTACATATAGGTTTTGATGGCAAGATGTTATACCCAATGACTATGTAAAAGAATTAAAGTTAGTGGTGATTGTGTTAGAATGGCACATTTTTTATAAATGGGTTTATGGTTAGTGTTTGTGAAGTGAAGAACGAATGATGGTACAGTACAAGCCACTAGCATTCTGCATTCTTATGGAGAGCTACTTATGCTTGGCAAAATCAGAAATCATTTCAGTTGTTGTTTATATCAAAATTGCTGCTTACACCATACAAAATGAAAACATGGTGGATTTTACAAAATTCAAATGGAGAAATAGGAGCTATATATGATAGCACCTACAGCTTTTTCACTCTCTTCCAGGTACGTATTGTTTGCTCTGCATCAGCGCCACTCCAAAACATATTTATTCAAGAATCCCATGATGGTGGATTGGACGAAAGTAGGGTAATGATGGATGATTTGGGGTTGAGCCAGGTAAGCACTATGATCATTAGAGCCTTTGTTGCAGGGGAGCATAATTGGTTTTGGTCTGAGTGGTGGTGCTAGGAGGGCAGTGAGCAGCAAAAGCATTTAACCGGTCATTCTGTAGCTTTCTGGCAGGATCAACGTTGCACCTTTTCTTCTGTTCCAACTTAAAGCAATGCTATTCATAAATGGCATAACCAATCCATTTTAGCATAATTCTAGAGATACTTCTAATCTTTTACTCAGTCTGTGTTTCTAATATTTTAGAAATATTGGGTCATGCTGCTGCTTTAATACATGTTCTTCAGATTTAGTGCAGCTACATTTAGCTTTGTACATTGCACTTGTATCATCATCATCCCACCTTTTTCCTGGACTGGAACTCAAAGCACCTTATTTTACTTGAGCCACCATGTTGGGAATCTGTTTATTGTCTAATAGGTGTGTTATAAGTGTCTCTTTCACTCCATGTTTACAAAGGAGAGAGCTGATAAATACTGCTTCCCAAAACTGATATGCACAGGATTTGTAATTAACTAACTTTTACTCAGAGTAGACCCATTGGAATTAATGAGCCTAAGTTGTTGTTTAGTCGTGACCGACTCTTCGTGACCTCATGGACCAGAGCATGTTAGTCACGGTCATTAAGCAATTACTCTAATTGTTGGTTGAATACAACCCAGAATACAAGAAGCTGTTGCTTGCATTTCTGCATTATAGATTATATTTCTATTCTTACATTATATAGTTTATGAATACTAATACCTGACAGAAAGCTAAATCAGAAGTTAGAAGCCTCAAGTAATTTTATCTAAGGCAAATAGTTTCCAGTGTTTATCCAGTAAAAATAGGTTTCCTAATAAGTATTGATTTCTAATAATGTCTCCCTTTTATATCTTATAAAGAAATGTGGTGGTTATAAGCAACACTTTTGAAAAGTAATTTAAGGGTTGCAGCTTAGTCCTCTTGTTGCTGATCTTTCAGTGTATGCTGTTAATGCACAGTAGACTCACGCAGTTTTCTATCTTAAAGAGTGCCATTCACCTTGGTGGGGAAAAGCATAATGTTTTCAGAATATGAGCCAACACACATTTTAAAAGCCTTGTCTTAGCATGTTATGTACTTGAGAAAACTTGCTTTCATTTTAGTCCTGCTGTGAGGTGAAATTCAAAGAAAGTGAGAGGAATGTTTTGTGAACCCAGTCTGTTAACTCCTAACTGATAAGGATAAAAAAAACCACATTACTGAATATATGTTAAACACAAGTGTCTCTGAAAGATCTCTGTCATACAAAAATGTTGTACAAAACTGTGATGCACAAACTGCACAAATGGGGGGAGGTGGGAATGGAAAGAGATTCATCCTCACGGTACATTGGCCCCTGCAGGGCCAGCTGTGTTATGGTGATATTTAGACCTACTGTTTTGTTGTGGCTTTACCACTGGCAAAGGAAGATATAGGTTAATTGTTATCATAGAATAACTGTGTGCTTTTCAGTCAGCCTCTGTATTTGGGGTGGCGAACCAGATGTTATTGAACTGCAACTTACAACATGTCCGACCATTGGCCATGTTGGCTGGGACTGATGGGAGATGGAGTCCACCAACATCTGGAGGGCCATTGGTTCCCTATCCCTATGAGGGCATCAAACATGCCACTGTAGACAGTAAAAAAAAAAGTTACATGGGCAATACCATTTTATTGCACAAAGACTGACACATCAAGTCATCCAAATAGCCTTTATCTGTGTAGACGAAAGGATGTGTGCCATTCAATGTAAGCAGTGTGTGTGTGTTTTACTATTATCAACCACAGAAAACAGTTCCAGTCCCTAGTCTTGGAATAAATATTTTTAAAGCCTCTCAAACTTCTGTCTAACTGGAAAATGTTTGTGTGCATGTAATAAAGTGTCTGTTTTAGAGTTAGCTAGCTGAATTGTGCCTGTGTTTCACAAACATGTAACATGTAATTTCACAAACATGTCCAGAGACCTGCAATATCACCAAAAAAATATTGCACAGAAGCACAGCCAAAAGCAGCAACTGCAAGGTGCTGCTCCCTGTATTCTTTTTTCAATATTTAAGAATAGTTTTGTTCCACAAAAGCATGATTGCAGAAGAAAGGGAGCTCGATAGTTATGAATTGCACACAAACCTGGGGGATGAGGTGAGTGGAGAGACTGTGAATATGTGGGCTCAGGCCACACTGCAAGTTTGAGAAGTCTTTCATTTTCTGGTTTCCTTTTAATGCTTCCTGCATTTTTAAAAAAATGTTCTTTGCTTCCATCTCTCTCTAGGATTCAGCTCAAGGACTTTCGATGTTCACGGGAGAGGAGGAGATTTTTGCCCTTCAGCGTACCATCTCACGACTGACTGAAATGCAGACTGAGCAGTACTGGAAGGAGGGGGACAGGAGCAACCAAACACAGTTGCAAAAAGACTAGCAAAACACAAATAGTAGTTGTAAAAAAGGAGAGTTCTAACTCAATGCTGAATTATTTTTAACATGCACACTGCCCAATTTTGCACCTTACTTCCTAAACATCTGCCTCTTTATGTGTTAACAAGGGACAGGTTACATGCTGGAATGCTGGTGGGAACAGTTTTATGCCTGTGTGTGGAAGTCCAGCCTAACATGAAGTCTTTCCTGACCAAGAATCCAAATCCAGTTTTAATCTACAAATTATGTGGAAAGAAGTGGCACATACAGTTTATGGTCTGCATTTGTATATCATACTTGAAAAACTACAGCTTGAACAAATGGTAGGCTCAAACCAGGCAAATTAAATACATATTATTGGACCCGCCTATCTCTAGTATTTTGGTTATAGATAACTGCACCTTCAGTACTCTTGAATTTTTTTTTAATGATTCTGGGCAGCAACTGAAAAAAATCAGTTTCTCATTTTACTAAGTACAAAATCACATAATTGCATTTAGGTAGCTCTGCCATTCTAAATACATTTCTTATTTCTGCTTGCCTACTGCCACGGTAGACCCATTTATTGTTATTCCATTGCCTGTATGTGTGACCCCCGTCTCAAATTCTTCTGATAGGGAGGGTGCAAAGAGAAAATAAAAGTGGAATTTCAGAACCAAGAGTAAAAAATGCCATTAAGTGGATAAATATCGTAGCAAAAATGAACTCACTGTGTCTTCTATAGGCAGACCAGATAGGACAATCTTACAAGATTTGAAGTGAACTTTGTACTGGTAGTGAAATGAACTTTATATTGGAATTTGACTAAGTTGTCCTCCTTCCCGCCTGATGCTGAGGATCTTTTCAAGCAGCTATGCACAAGACAGTAAGTACAAATCTACACACACTCATATACCCGCCACCACAATGCATTGATCCTTCTACACCAGATAGTCACCATTGCCACATGTAACATTGGTGGATCATGCTCTTTTACTGAACAGCACAGGAGAAAGCAATGCAAACACAGAAACATCTCTTAGCAGTTCAACCACCCATCAGTCATGATATTGCTTTACTAATAAGACCACCCACATTGTTCATTTAGGGAAGGTACCAGTCAATGAATGGTGTTGGTAGCATAACTCTTGGATACCCAGTGTACACCACAAACAATGCACAGTCTGGCATCCTCAAAGGCACACATCCCAGTGCAGACCACCATGGTGCAGTAAGCAGGAGCACCAAAACTGGCTTATGAATATAAAGGTAGAATAGGTATATAAACTCATAAACCTACTAAACAATGAGCAGGAGGTCAACACTGATAGTTATGGCTATTTACTCCAGGGCTAGTTAAAGACAATGTCTTGCAGTGGACAAATGCAGACAACCAGCAAGCAGCCACCATTTTGTGAGTTAAATAGGGCCATACATAGAAAGAGAAACCAACATTCCTTCCATAATAATTGCCCATGGGCTACTTGAGAAATCAAATCCACTAGGAAAAAATACTTCCAGACAGGCAATACAAACAGTATAACCACTTTTGTTTGAAGGACACAAGCTGTTTTCAAGGTAGAAAGCTGTATGACAAGGAAAAGGAGAAAAGGGATTATATTGTGGGTGCTCTGCTAGCAAGAATGACATCAGCCGCAAAAAGCGGCGGGGGGGGGGACTGAACTAGAAACCATCCTTCCCACCCCATAGACCTGTTTTCTATCCTCACAGCCACAGGAACAGAAAGACGTACGATGAGGTCTTTGTCATCTTCCAGAGGCAAAGGTCACAATAACTCCAGCCATATTGACCAAGATTGACGAAGTTTTATGTGGACCCATAAACACACATTGTGTCAGTCCTGATCCCAAAGGCAGCTGAGCTAAGTTACAATACTTTTACTAAACTTCATAGGTGGAAGATAGTTCTGATAGCTTTGTGAACACAAAGGACTGTGCATTTGATGGTGAGAAATAAGTACATTTCCCCCTATTGTTTCCCCTCCATGCTGGGTACAGCTGTATCTGCTGTAGCAACTGTCTGCCAGGCACGCTTAAGAAAAAGTTACCAATTCCACATTGCAGTAGCTTGATTCCCACGGATCACTGCTGGATTTGTTGTAGGCCGCCTCTTAGGCAATGGGGAATAACCTTGTTTCTTCACCTCTTGGAAGGTTTTCTGTAGAGAGCCAAGTGAGACACAGGGACAGCAATGAGTAATAGTTAGCAACTTCATCAGTGTATGTAGGCAACCAAACCAAACTGGAATATTTATTTTACTTCTTGAAAATTGTATACTACAAATACCTGCGGAAGCCCTTCCAAGATGCCGAAGGACAACGTGTAAGAAATAATTGAATGTGGAAGATTATTGCCATAATTGTAAAATCCATTTTATGTGTACAAGCCTTGTGGTACACAAAGTATAAATAAAAATGTCAATTATATTTAAAGCCTACTACCAGCATCTAGTTGCAATATCATAATATTTCAAGGGAAAGGGTGTGGCAATTTAATATACTCCTCCTCCTCCTTTTCCCCCATTAACCTCTATTCCGTGAACCCTCTGGAGCAGATTTTGAGGATGTGCTGTAAGGTGGAGAAGAGTTCCACTGTGCAGGTGGAAGTCTGCTGAATTTGTGGAATAGCAACATTGGATACAGCCCTAAGAAGTAAGCCCCACTGAATTTGCTTGCATTCAGCTGAATACAAATGCACAGGACTGAAATGTTAGCTATGATTTTGCCACAGAAGGCGACAACTATGCTGTCGTATTATGGATATGTGTGCATATGCAAACCACCCAAAAGACTCAACCCCAAGTAAAGAGTGAGCCCATAAAGATCATCCATATTAAAAATTGTCCAGGGGTTATTATTAAACATCAGGTATTATTTCAATTTATCAATGTTTCCATTAGAAAAGACTGGTGGTAACTTCCATTCCAATATACTAAAAATAGATGACAGCCTCTTGTTCTCACAGTAGATACCTACGGGAAACCCACAACCAAGGCCTGAGCCCAACAGCACTCTCCCTGCTTGTAATTCCCAGCAAGTGGTATTCAGAGGCATACTTGAAATAGCACATCCTGGCTAGGAGCCATTTATAACTTTATCTTCCATGAACCTGTCTAATCCCCCTTTAAAGTCTATCCAAGATGGTATGTCCTTAGCCACTGGTCATGCTTGCTGATGGGACTGATGGGAGTTGTAGTTCAGCCACATCCAGAGATCAAAGGTTCCCCACACCTCCATGGGAAAAGGGGGAAAATAAATCTGTCTACATTATAGCATTAAGTCCTTTGGATGATATCCAAGCCTTTGCTTCCTACAATGTTTTCGAAAATCCTAGCAATGAACGTAACACTCTTGAGAGAAGGAAATGTGCATCTGTCAACCATCAGTGGGTAGTTGATGGACTATGCTGAAATGGCAAAATTAACTGGGAAGCTCAGGAATCAAGAAGACAAGAACTTTAAAAAAGAATGAGAAAAGTTTATAATTTATATACAAGATCACTGTAACAGGTTAAAACATTGGCAGGATTTTAAACACGCTTGTAGTGTAACAGAATGTATGAATAATTTAGAAAGATAAAAATTGGGAAAGTATTGATATGCAGTGGAGAATAGGATCAATAGGACCCATGGAAGGGATGGGGACAAGTCAGGGGATTCAGAGTAATCTCGATATTCGGATTCTGAATTGGTTTTGTTGTATGTTTATATTTTTGAAAATTAAAAAAAAATTAAAAGAAATTGTGCATCTGTAGGTGCAGCTCAGTTTTCTACAATATTGTTGGTAGCCCAACAAATGAAAAGATTTTGCTAGAAAAATAATTGGGGAAAAGAGAATAAATCAGTAACCATGCTCTCCTCCACCCCAGAAAACAGAAACTGACACTGAGAAAATTTAAAGATGCTTTTTGTCACTAATCTCCCAGTCATGATAAACAAAAAGTTATGAAATGGGCAGGACCTGCAAACAGGAAATATTTAATAAAGGTTCAAGAGAACTGAAAACAAGTTATTTGTTTGTCTACACTGAGTTTTATTGCCCTGCAAGTGTATTTTATTGCCCTGAAAAACATTTTTTTAAAAAAATAATATTTATTCATAATTTCAGAATTACAGAAGAAAATAAAAATAAAAAACAACACTACAATACATAAAAAGAAGAAAAAACACAAAACATAAAAACCAGTACAACAATACAGCAAGAAAGAAGATAAAAAAGGGGGAAAAAACACAAATCCCATGTTACATATCTTTAACTTCCGTTTGCTTGTTTCATTGACCTCCTCACACCTCCCTTTTTGTATTCTAGTTTAGTTAGTTATTTCAGCAAATTCTTTCCATCTTTCTCAATTTTTGTTAAATAATTTATCTTAACAATTTAACCTGTTAATTAACTCGACAGATCCTTTCCATCTTTCCCCATATTCTGTTATTCAAATTACCTTAATTTATTTAACCTTATCTTACCATAAAATACCTTAAAGCTTAAAACTTAATACTCAGTTATACATAACTCCTGATATCATTTCTGCTAGAGTCATATAGTTTCATTCCAACATTTTCCCTAATATTCATTAATTTTAGGCTAATTCTCTAAATAAGAATATTTTCTTTATAAATTTTCTTCCAATCTTCATCCAATGTCTCTTCTTCCTGGTCTCGGGTTGTGTCAGTCCTTACTGTCCATTCCATCTAGTCCATCAACCTGGAAGTCTTATGTCCGAGGCCCTTAAGTCTCTTCCATGTCCCTTCTGCAGATCTTCTTCTTCTTGTTTATGCTTGCACTTTTCCTTGTCTTTTGTTGGTCTCTTTCTTAATTTCTTTCCTTTCTCATTGAGGAGTAGGTCTCTGGGGGGTTCCAACCCAAAGTTATCTCCGTCTCCCTTCATCAAACCAGCCCATTCCCCACAGTCCCACTCCCCACAGTCATCAATATAATCCAAAAAATATTTACGAGCATCTTTCGAAGTCTCTCCAAAGTTAAAAACCTCCTCAGCTCCAGACTCCCCCTGGCCTACTCCAACTTCAATCTTCAAAATCAGCGGCTTATGCTCCTGTAGGGCCTTAGTCCTCTCCATTTGTATTATTTGAGGTGCAACCGCAGCCTCCTTCATTATCTTCTGCACTTGCCCAATCAATACAGGTTCCTGAGTTGGATCCTGGATGGTTTCTGTATCACTATTCACTATTTGTCCACAGTTATTGGCCACAACAGTCATCAAATCCATTTTCTCATTCATCAAATCCATCTTCTCATGCATCTGTTCCAACTAACCACTTGTCTTGCATAGAGCAAGCACCAAAACTTCTTTCCAGCTCATATTTAGTCAAGGTCAAAAGGACTAATCCCACGATCTTAATCTCACAGCTGTGGAATCCTCAAGTAGACTGCAGCAACAATTTAGCAGGCTCCCTCTAGGGGAGACAATTTCTATTTGTATCCATCTTTTTAAGGCAAGTCCAACAAAGGAAAATTACTTTCATTTTTCAGATATTTTGTTTCTTTAGAATGCAAAGGGCAACATTGGAATCAGTTTATTTCTCTTCTTCAGCTATCTGTCAAAGTATTCCATTCACAGTCAATGAACCTCTCCAGCAATTTCTGTCTCTGACACCCCGTTCCCAGGTTAGAGATGGTGGAAACTTATCTTTCTTCACTCCTCTCCTGCAGGCGTTACACAAAGTCCCCCCTTTTCTCCTGCTTCCAAGGGGGTTTCAGTAGTTATAAATGAAGGAAATTTAGGCTTTTTTAACGACTTTCCAGGCTTTAGTTTACAAGGTTTTTGCTTTAGTCTATGTACAAAAAGCGGAAGGCGGACTTCCTGTTTTGAACCTTCCCGCTTCGATGTCAAATTAAGATATTTCTTGATCCAATTTTCCGTTTCTACTCGCGGGTACTTGTTTTAGATCCAATTGTCCACAGGAAAAAGTCAGCGCTCTCCGGCGATGGCTATGCGGCTTCACTCCGTGAAAGTAGCAGTCAGTTCGCAGCGCCGCGCTGCTCACCCCACTTCACTCCGGAATCCCAAAAAGGGGTTCCCCGTGAGTAGGGGGGGCGCTCCTGGTGCCCTGCCGAACCCCACGTTCCCAGGCTTCCTCCGCCTGGGATTTCTAGCGGGTCCCCACCTTCACCGCGGTGGGAAGACCCAGTTTCCACGGAGCCAGTTCCTCCGGTCGGAGGAACTCCGCCATTCGCTGATGGCGCTAACCCAGAAGTGCCTGAAAAACATTTTTTTAAAAAGAAGGTGCAGCCTGTAAAAAAAGAGTGAACAATGGATGGCAATTCCAGGAAAAAGTGGTGGTGTGGAAACAATCATCTTCAGGTCAAAAGAACTTCAGAAATTTGAATTCTTTGATACCAGAATAGATTATGCCATCTTCATTCTGTTATATTCCAGCCACAACCTGTTTTGTAACTCAGGTACATGCCAATCATATTTATTTATGATAACAAAAAATAACTGCAGTTATAGTTGTGTGATACAGGGCACTGGGATAACACATTCCCCTCAGTTAAAGTTGCATCTCAATATAATGTTCTGAAATTGATATTGTTACTTGTAGCTGAAAGCTGTGAATTTGCTGTCTGTTCCTGAATGCAGTTTTAAGGAAACACCAGAAGAACAGACTCCATATGTCAGCATCTAGCACCACCAAGTGTTCAACTCAGTTTGTCTGCAGCAGAGCTCAAGAAAACACATGTCCTTTTCTCTGTGCACCATCGCAAGGTACAATCTGTGATGCTAGAAGCCTCCCATTGCTTTTAAATAGGCCCACCCAAGAGCATCTTGGAGGACAGTACTCTGTTTGAAGAGCTGCCGTGTGACCAGGAATTTGCCCATCAACAGCTCACACCAAGACACCAAACTCTGCAAGCACATGAGTCACTATGTACGGTAAGTTCTCCTCACCATGTTGAGATGTATCAGAAATAGCTATTACAGTGGTACCTCGAGTTAAGAACTTAACTCATTCTGGAGGTCCGTTCTTAACCTGAAACTGTTCTTAACCTGAAGCACCACTTTAGCTAATCGGGCCTCCTGCTGCCTCTGCGCGATTTCTGTTCTCATCCTGAGGTAAAGTTCTTAACCCGCGGTACTATTTCTGGGTTAGCAGAGTCTGTAGCCTGAAGCGTCTGTAACCCGAGGTACCACTGTATTTCTAAACTTGTGTCTGAATGTAGGCAAATTTGTATTCCCCTCTGTCCTCTTTTTTGTACTTTTAATGCTTTCTCACTTTTTATATTAACACATAGTAGCCACAGTTAGCCTTCCTTAGCCCTCAGTATTATTTTTCTGAGGTGCACACATTTTAGGAGAATGGCGACGTTCCTTTCATCAGGCTTTTGAAGGTGACAAAGCATAATCTGCCTGACATTAGTTCGTAGGGGATCCTCTGCTATATTCTTTTTTTTATTTTATTTTTTTTCTTTTTTATTGATGTTTCCATCAGTTTTATAACATACATTGATGTGTCTCAGTGAGCAAGAGTCAACTAAGTTGCTGCAGGTGCAGAATGAGTTCTGCACAGTGAGACTCTCCCCTCCACATGCCCCGTGTCCCCCCTAAATCTGCTCTGGGGGGGTTGAGGGGAAACATAGAACAGGTTTAGGAGATGAACAGGAAGAGGAGAGGGTGGGCCTCACTCCCTGTGTGCTTACCCCACTTAGCATGATGTTGAATTCCACCTATTAAGTTCTGCATCACCCTGTAACCGTACAGTTAAGGGTAACAAAGTAATACCTAAATAAATAAAATTATTGGCCCAGCTCTGTTTATTGTTCGTCAGGGATCAGCCACTGCCAACTTTCCCACTCTTGTGCTGTCTGAAAGAAAAAAAAGATTTTCAAAAATTCTTAAATGGGTTAGAACCAAAATGCTATGTTCTAGAACTGTAATTGTCATTGAAAATGTCGTTGTCATTAAAATCCTCAAACAATGAAGGAAGGGGGGTTGCACATCAATGCTTGTCTTAGGAATTCTGGGAACAACCCTGGCTCCAGGTTCAGGTTCCTGGTATACATGGTATAGCATGGCTGCCCAAATTTATTCATGGTGTTGATTTATCACTCTGGTGTGGATAAGGCTGCCAATGGCTGCAAGTCAGGGTGGCCATATACTACCACCAAGATCAGAGGTGCCATGCCTCTGAATCCCAGGTACTGGGGAACAGCAGTAGGAGAGAGGAGACCTCACTCTCATGTCCTGCTTGTGGGTTTCCCAAGGCATCTGATTGGTCACGGTGGGAAACAGAATGCTGGATTCGGCTCTTAGTCAGATCCAGCAAGACACTTCGTACACTCTTAAAAGATTGTTCTTTTATTGTTTTTAGAAAGGTGGTCACCAGTTGATCATAAAACAACAATTTGTTTATTATTCCCTGGAACTCAAGGCAGCATACTCAGACCCTCTAAGTGTCCCTATTTTCCAGGGAGAGCCCCAGATTTATGGAAGCTGTCCCGGTTTCTGATGTGATCCCAGAAAGTCCCACTTTTCCTTAGGATTTTCATCGGAGAAATGTTGGAGAGTATGGAGTTATGCGACCCCTGAGCCATCTGAAGGCAGCCCTATATAGGGAAGCTTTTAATGTTTAATGTTTTATAATGTTTTTATATATGTTGGAAGGCACCCAGAGTGGCTGGGGCATGCATAGTATAATAATAATAATAATAATAATAATAATAATAATAATAATAATAATAATGGTGGTGGCATGGGACATCCCTATTTTCATCAGAGAAATGTTGGAGGGTATGCATACTTTTGAGTTTCCAAGTGGTCCTCCGCTGGCACTGAGAGGACTTAGATCTGCCTGGCTTCAGCAAGATTGCTGCAGTCAGCCTTCAGGCCACACCCTGGGACCATTATGGACAAATATATTCCACGCATGTATGACTTAATTAATTAATCTATTTGTCTGGAGAACTGCAAGATTATGGTTGTGAAAATTCTACATTTGCTTGCTGGACGTTCAAGACCTAGAATTTGACTGCAAGTTTGAATGCAGCCACAAGATGGCAGAATATAATCACTGTTATTCAGGAACAAGTGCTTCTGAGTTCACTCTATGAGAGGGTTGGTTGTATCTTCATTTCACTGTGATGTTTAAGGGACCGCATGTCTAACGGGCTCAGATACTCTCAAAAATAATCATAGCGTATCTTTTATGTTAAGAATCTACCAGTGTCAATGCAGGAGCCTTGTTGGGTAAGACACCACAGTTGATGGGGTAGCTTTTACAAGAATTCCCCTGAGGACTGAATACATTGGGGGTCCATAAGAACTCGTGCTAAATAAATGTGGAATAAACAGGATGTCTGGAGGAGCTCTTAGATCCCCTGGGGTCCATCCCCCTCCCCATACACACACACCTTTGTCACTGTCAGATTTTAGGTGTCTCTAACATTTTACTCCTGCCACAGGGCTTTTGTGCACAAGGCAGCTCTCACTGGGAAGAGTTTCTCCCCTCTTTTTAAATCAGCATCAGCAGACACACCCAATTCCTGGGGAGGGTCCTAGCATGCCAAAACCTCTGTTGCATCTTTGGGTGGTTCTGTTCTACTGCTCTGCTTACTAGCATGGATGGAACTACAAAGTCTTTGGAAGTTCAAAATCCACAGCCCTGAACACCATGGCAGATTCTATAATATCCAGTCTACTTGAACTTGATTTTTCATGGCATGGTGAGCCCTTCTTAATAACAGCAACACTAGTTGATTGCATAAAGCTGGTGTCAGAAAGCCAAGCCTTGGGCTTCACATACTCATTATATTTCCCATTCAATTATTGTTTTGGTTGTTAGCACTTGAAGCAAAGACGAAAGGTGGGGTATAAATCCCTAAAACGAACGAACGAATAAAAGTGACACATTTCCAATAAATCAATTGGTTGATGACCCTTTCATTCAGGCTGCAGACACTTGCTGGGGAATTAGCCTCCTTGGAGAAGTAAGTGGGGCTTACTTCTGAGTAAATATGCATGGGATTGTGCAGATAGTTTAAAAATAGTGCAAAAGAGAACAAATGGGAACCCTTCAAGCAGCTGCAGCCAAGATACTAGCTGTACAGTGTATCTTTGTACGATGTTACACATCATGCTTAGATACCACTCTGCATTTTAGAATCTGGGAGATATTTTATTGCAGTAATAACTATTGAAGAAGAGGAGGAGGAGGAGGAGAAAGAGGAGGAGGAATTAATTAGCCACAATGTTAAAATAGGACCACTCAATGCCAGTCATCTACTGAGTGTACACATTGAGTGTCAGGATGCCCACTGGCATGAAACCACCAAATTTGATAAAATGAGGAGGTAAAACCATGGGGCAGGGGGTCTCCATGAATTGTGCCCTGTCCAAGGGCCTCCAAAACTGAGACTTGGCACCTACGCAGTGGCTTTCTATGGTGGACAAGCAAGATTCAGAGCTTAGGTAAGAGCTTAGGAAGCTGCCAAACTGAATCAGACCCCTAGCTGGTCCACCTAGTTCTGTATTGCCTAAATTGACTCTCCAGGGTTTCAGACAGGAGTCTCTCCCAACCCTACCAGGAGATGCCAGGGATTGAACCTGGGATGTTATGCCTGCCAAGCAGATGCTCTGAGCCACAACAATTCCCAGCCTTACACTCGCCCCAGCTCAACATCAGAAGATCAAATCCTGAACAGGCTAGCCAATGTGGTGCCTTCCAGCCAGCATGCCAATGGTCAGGGTTGCTGTAGCCCACAGCATCTGGAGGGCACCATGTTGTCTGCCCCTGCTTTGACTCTTTCTGGTGTCCCCTGGCCAGCCCTGTTCTGTGTCCTCTTATCTGCTTCACAGCTTCCTCCCATCCCCTTTCTGGAGGGCTGCTTCCATCTAGTGGGTCATTTAGAGGCTCTGCATCTAAGCAGCAAAGCAAGCGCTGGCTGAGTTCAGAGTTACCTTTATCAGCCAAAGAAATGTCAAGCAGCAGCAGGATCTTTGCCAAAGGTCTACGAGGGAACAAGGTTAGGGTAGCACTTAGAGTACTTTTCAAAGAAGACACAATAACCACACAGACATCAGCCATGTCACTGTTTTCCACTCTGTGTCCTCGGGCAACTTAGTGGAGAAATTAGAAGAGAGGCTTTGGGGCTATCCTTCCAAAGCATCCCTGACATAGGATCTAAAATTCACTATCCACATAGGGTACTGGCACTGTGGTCTAAACCACTAAGCCACTTGGGCAGGCACCCCCAAACTCGGCCCTCCAGATGTTTTGGGACTACAACTCCCATCATCCCTAGCTAACAGGACCAGTGGTCAGGGGGTGTTTGGGGGTTGCTGCTCTTGGGTCTGCTGATCAGAAGGTCAGCAGGTCGAATCTGCATGATGGGGTGAGCACCCATTGCTTTGTCCCAGCTTCTGCCAACCTAGCAGTTCGAAAGCACACCAGCACAAGTAGATAAATAGTAGATAAATAGGTACCGCTGTGGCGGGAATGTAAACGGCGTTTCCATGCGCTCTAGCATTCATCATGGTACTCTGTGCACCAGTAGCGGTTTAGTCATGCTGGCCAATGACCCGGAAAGTTGTCTGTGGACAAACGTCGGCTCCCTCGGCCTGAAGCGAGATGAGTGCCATACCCCAAAGTCGCCTTTGACTGGACTTAACTGTCCAGGGGTTCTTTACCTTTAACCTACTTTGCTAATATAAGAGAGGGGTGAAAACAGATAAGGGCCAGGAAAGACATAAACAGTGGCCCGTAGCACAAATCATGTACAAAAACAGCCACACAAGAGATGCCAGCACCAGAAAAGTCTGGCAAGAGGATGCTTGTTCATACAAGCTGTGAGACTGAGGTCAGGAGGGTTTGTATAACATGTGGGTAAGTGTTCACATTTTAATCTAGCCTAGAGTGAATGAAAAGAGAAATATCAAGAAGTAGCCAGGATGAGGGTGGAGTCCACGCCCGTCTTTGTATAAGTGTTCTTGATAAGCAAAAAGGTTGCATGACAAAAATAGTGGCGGGGGGATTAAAGGGTTGGTGTGATTTAAGGGCTGCTTAACTATGCCAGAGTTACCAACTTTCTAAAGCAGACATGGCTCCTGTGTGGTTAACTGCAGTTGATCTACAGACATTAGCAGGCTGTGATGCTTATCTCCATGTCATGGAAAGCTACAGGCTGGTTTCTGAAGATCCAGTTGTTGTCATAGGCACAGGAGCAGCCCAAGCACTTCTTTTATAGTCAATCAGCAACCCTAGGAAGCTGCCATTTTGGAGGAGGAGAAGCAACAAATAAGATGGGAGTGCTTACCATAGCTGTCAACTTTTCCCTTTTCTTGCGAGGAATCCTATTCGGAATAAGAGAATTTCCCTTAAAAAAGGGGGAAAGTTGGCAGCTATGGTGCTTACCCCTTTCCCTGCCCTAAATTACCCTACCACAACTCCCAGAGCAACCAAAATGGAGGCGGGAAAGTGGTTCAGGGAACATTTGGGGCAAGAAAATGGGTGGGGAAAGGGTTAAGAACCACCTCCTAACACAAAACTACTCAACTCCTGATAGGCCCGTCTGGAAGTGACCATTTCTTCTTCTAAAGTGTTTTCAATGTGTTTGTCCATAATATGTAGCCCTACCCACTGTAGAGGGGAGATAAAAGCGCTGAAGAGCGTTAGGTGTATCTGCCCCTAATGTCTGTTCTTAGCAAGATATCAGTCCATTAATCTGCTCTCAGCCCATGGCTTTCTATGCTTCTATCATAGAAAGGAATAGGCACAACAATATTATGAGGGCATTTGAAACCATGGATTCCTTTAAAAAAAAAAAAAGCCAGGTTCTCAGGGTAACTGGATTATAGCAATAAAGAAACACAAAGCACAGATCTGGAAGGAAGCTGGCTTGGTGCTCATCCAAATGTTAAATGACAGAGGATAATCTTTTCTCTCTCGTTCTAATGGCCATTTTGCTTGGCTATCATGGAAGCATGGGAGCGTGCCCCTGATGGCTCTGATCCTTTTATCTGGCCTAACAAAGTTATACAACAGGTCATGACCTAGGCAATATGATTGAGTGAAAACCAGTTCCTCTAAATTGTATGCTTAGAAAAAGAATGCTCCCAATTCCTTGTATCTCTGTAAAAATATATATAATCTGCACTAAAAGGCTGATCAGAAGGCTGATTCCCCCCCCCCCCGGCTTTTCTGCACTGGTTTAGCTCCCCCAGCCTTTCTGTACTGGTTTATAGAAATTTGCTGCAAAAATCCCCAGAAAAGTTTGGAACAATATTCCTATTAAATATTATAACTTGGTCCATGCCTCTGTTGACATTTAATACTGCAATCCTATGCATGTTTACTTGGAAGAAAGTCCCAGTGCATTTAATCACGCTTGCACCCAGGAAAGTAAGTAATAATGATTGCAGCCCAGGAATAAGTTCCAATGACTATAGTAGAGGTGTGTATACAATGCCATCTTAAAACATAGCTGGGTTGTTCCAATTTTCAATTCAGATCAAAGCTGGTTTGGGACAAAATACAGTATTTCATAAGAAATGACAGGATAGATACAGGATACATATGGATTGTGGCTAACATGGTGTGGGCACCACTTTCCAACCCAGTGGGGGGAGCATAGTAGATGCAAAATACAGTGGTACCTCGGGTTAAGAACTTTATTCGTTCCGGAGCGGAGGTCCATTCTTAACCTGAAACTGTTCTTAACCTGAAGCACCACTTTACCTAATGGGGCCTCCTGCTACCGCTGCACCGCCACTGCACAATTTCTGTTCTCATCCTGAAGCAAATTTCTTAACCCAAGGTACTATTTCTGGGTTAGCGGAGTCTGTAACCTGAAGCGTCTGTAACCCGAAGTACCACTGTAAACAGAAGAGTGTACAGACTCATTGGGCTGAGTTCCTGTGACATCTTGTGCACACATCTTAAGCCTTCAGGAGCTGGTGTACGCCTTGCCCAGCAAAACAAGACAGAGAGCTTAAAAGCTCCTTCTATGCCGGGAAAACCCAGCAAGGCCTACTGAGCACACTGGCTCCGGAAGGCAGGAGATGCTCAGGTAGGGGTGGTTCCAAGGGGGTGGTTTGAGTACATGCATTTTTGTGTATACACAGAACCCTTGGAACTGAATCCAACATGTAAGATGTGGCCATACTGTACTTTTATAGTTGTGTGTTGAGACAGGAAGTGAATTTTTATTTTATTTTTTAGGAAGAGGAGGGCAGGCAATATGAGGAGGGCAGGCAATACTAAGTACACATCAGCAGTGTGAGTTAATAAAGTTGTGTGGTCAAATTTTGAAGGTTAAATCTTCCATGAGATTCTCAGTTTTTTCAGATGAAAACAGCAAGTATTTCTGGCACAGAACAACTATCTCTAGTGGTCCAAAACCTGGTTTGGGAAGACTAAACGTAACAGCCATGATGAGGTGTGGGCTCACGTCATTAAGCGCTTTACAGGTCAAAACACCTTGTGCCTAGAAACTAATGGGAAGCCACAGATGTTGGAGCACATGTGTAATGTTCTCTGGGTGATTACCTATCAAGGGATTGGTACCACATTCTGAACAAACTGAAGCTTCCAGACCATAACCAAAGGTAGCACCATGCTAATAACATTATAGTAGTCTAGCCTTGAAATTACAAGAGCATGAATAATGGATTATGGGTTCTGATGAGACAGAAAGGATTGGAATTTTCTTATAAGATGGCTGTTCATGGAAGATATACTAGAAATGGCACACTAGAATGGCAAAAAAGAAATGAAATAGTTACCAGGCAATTTTTATTTTTAAAAGGGCAGTAAGTGTACATTAAAATCAAACTAATCCTATGTCACATTCCTGATCATGATACCAGAGAATGAAAATCATTTGACTTCCCTAAAATAAGAAAGGAATAAGCTCTCATTTTTAGCCTTCATTTTGGAATTGCAGCACCCATGCTAGCAGAAGCTGCCAGTTATGGATAGACAAAAATGCACAGGTCTGCAGGGGGGAAAGTTCCTCTCAGTGCTCCATTCCCTGAACAGCTGAGACAGCAAAGTCCTGACATGTTGAAGGGCAACCTAGCCTTCTTTGGACAAGAAGAATATTTGTTTTAATATTTTGGTTAAAAGAAAGAATACTAGATATGGTAAAAATAAAAGGAGAATTATTTGTATGCCTAAATCCAGGCTTTGGTGAGAGAACCCCAGCAGAGATTTAAAATCACACAAAAAATGCAGCAAAGCATGGAAATATAGGTGGTTAGACCTTTAAAATTCTGATTTTCTTCCAGAGCACCTCACCTCCCTTTGCATGGAAAGAGACCACATGGCTGTTAAGTTAAAAATGGTTTACTTACAAGCTCTTCAGAGGTAAGATTCATGGGCTTTTCTATACAGCAGCAAGAAAAGACAAAATTTAGTTTCAAAAAGTAGTAAATGTTTCTAAATTATTTGTACAGGAACACAAAGATGGCTTTCTTAAGCCACATGGTCTAAGCTTGGAGCATCCAGCTTAGGCATCCCAACTGGTAGGGTTCACATGGTAGAAAGGAAGAGAGAACAAGGGTGATGGGTAAATGACCTAGCTAGGCCTGGAAGTATGGCTTACTCTATGGTCTTAACCACTTCATGCGTTAATTAGACTTAATTTTGTTGGTTATATGAGGCTGGATATATCCCACAACTTCAACATGCAATTGCCCTCAAAAATGAAAGTGTGTGTCAGAATTGAAGGGAAATAAGCTTCGCCTGATCAAAAGAAAGGTCCCTACATGCAGCAAAAGAAAGGTCCCTACATGCAGCAGAGTTACACCAGACTCTAAATTATTGGAAATGGGCTGTATTAATAGAAAAACCAATGGAGTCTCTTTGCACCTCAAAATAATGTATAAATAGGCTTCATCTGGGGCTGTTCCACACATGGCCTACATGCCTTACATAAGGGTGGGGTGTGAAAGCAAAATGGATGGCTCTTCTGAGACATGCCTGCTCACATAGGAATTTACAAGCGTAGATCCCCATTCATGTTAAAATGCTCACTACACAGCAGGGAGGATTACGTGAGCCTGAGGCTTAGACCTACACTCTATGCTACATATATAAACAGAAACATAGGCCCAGCACAAGCTAGCCTTGTGCATCTGAACATGCAGGTATTTAGGGTTCTGTTTTTAAAGCTTAGGCACAACAGATGTACCTACATGGCTTTAATAATTTCAAGGCATATCAGCTTAAACCCATCAGATCTAATAACGCACTGTTCAGTTGCTTCCAGCTGACCTGTTTATTGAGCATTCATCTTGACTCGTCTGCAAAAAGTTTGCAGGAAGGTTAGACAGCATTGACTATTTACTGAACACTCATTCCAATTTGTTTGCAGGGAGGCAATATGATCTTGTCTTGAGCAAATGTTACCCCACACCTCCCAGTCCATTTTCCTGTCACTTCCCTTATCGTAACATGTATAATTTTGGCAAGAAGTAGGTTTGTTGTGTGAGAGCCCCAAATCAACTTTAATTGCACAACCTGAATCTGTCAGTGTCTGGTTGAATCTCACCCCAAAATAATGACAGGCTAGAAGCACCCTTTGTCCTTGTCAATCATAGTTTCCATTTATTTTAAAAGCCTTTTTCCTTAGCAGATGTCTGGATAGTGGATTTAGGAATGTTTTGGGTTTATTCTGGTTTTTTATTTGTACATCACACTTTCAAAATCTCTCTAGATTTATCTGCCTTTCTCATTGTCACGGATTCCCTGTTCCAGGGACATCCCTTACTTTACAGCAGCCTGATGCAGGCAGTAATCTTGATATATATTTGGTGACCCTGCAACATTAAATCACACACTGTAGTGCTTTATTCCTCCTCCAGAAGACTTTCTGCATTAGTGGGTATATAAAATTACACCCGAAAGATTGAATACACCCTGCAAAGTAATAAATGACACCATATGGTCTTCATTTTTCAAAGCAATGCACCACTGTTTTAAAGCAATTTGTGTTTAATTTTCCAATTAAAAGGCTTGAAATAGATTTCCTAACACAGGGACACAGAAAACAGTCACTTCAGGGGTTCTCCCTAGCTAAGAGATCAGGTGAACTAACAGCCTTGACAGTCACATGTTGCCCTTGGTCAGGTAGCTACCAAGGGGCCCATAAGCCTGAGCTGTTAATTTCTTCCCCTTTCTACTCTGAAACAGCGAGTCATCATTACAGCAAAGACAAGGGGCATGATGCCTCTCTCAACAAATTAAAATGTGTATATGCTTCCTTAAGCCTCTTGGGCTTGAACATATGTCAGCTCTGAACTACACCCTTACTACCCCCGCTTTCCCACACAATTTGTAAAGAAAGAAAATCCATTTTAAAAGAGCAGATCTTTGCTGTGCTCCATAGAAAGCAGCTATTAAGAAAAAAACAAACAAATATTGGAATCTTCTTCCACAATAGATCATTCCCTTCTGGGCTTGTTTGTTTGCTTTTTCAGTTATGCCATTGACAACTATCAATGTTGACTATTATTTTTTTACTTCAGAAAAGATGTATGAAAAAGTGAAACTGAGAGGTCTAGAAAACTTTTATGGCTTTTTCATTAGTGAAATCTACTGAGTTTCTGAGAAACTGGAGATTCTCATGTTTTATTGTCAAATAAAGTGTGTCACATACTCACACAGCAATAGTGAATGATTGTGGAGATATGGCTGCATTCTCAAGGGGGATGTGTGTGAAATATTAAAGTGAAATAAAATAATATGCACACTGTGCCTGTGAAAGAATGTGGCTTCAGTCATACCCACTTGGAAGCACTTCCCATTGAATCTAGGGCTCATGCATAGATCCTGGTGTTGCCATATTATAAGCAGTGATAATCCGGACAGAAAGGTTGTTGAACTTTTTTCAGTTTTTGGCTCGGACATTTGTTAGATTTCTGTCAGGGGTGGAGAACAGATGTTGTTAGATTGATCAGCCTGAGTCAGGGTAATGAATCATGGATAATGTGAGTTGCAGTCCATTCTGGAGGGTCCATTGTTGCTATAGGTGAAGCTACAATCAATTTGTCCTTAAATTGCAAAACACAGATTGGAATACAATTTATTTCCCATGTCTATTTCTCATTTATAATACTTACGCATGGCATTTAATAAATAATAATAAAATAAAGCAAAAAGAAAGCTGCAGACGCACAATGATTTATTAAAATATTTTATACCAACCTTCCAATCTGTAGATTCATAAAGGAGGTAACAATATATTTTAAATTACAGCAATAATTAAATCAAATTCAATAAAGAAGCAGTAAGCACAGCAAGAAAACAATGAATTAAAACAGCCATAATCAATACGCAGTGAACCTCAAAAGCTCTGTAGAAGAAAACTGAATGTCTGGAGCCTAATGCCAGTGCAATGGAACTCACTAGGAAGTGATTTCCATAATTTTAACTCCAGTTTGGGAAAGGACAGTTGGGAAACCAACTGGAAATCAGTGAAGATTGACTCAAACCCACATTATATGGTCCATGCAGTCCAGCTCAGTCAGTATCGTAGTGGCTGCATTTTGAGCTCCTTGAAGTTTCCAAGTATTCTTCTAAGGAACTCATAAGTATCTTATTCCCAGCAGCAAGAAACATCGAAACTAGACACTGGAAGGACCTATCAGAAGTGAACACAGACTACTGGTACCAAAATGTATGGGAAACCGCCCTAGACTAGGAAAGTTAACCAACAAACTTACCGTAAATTAGCACAGGGACAAGCAAAGGAAAGCCCCTTCATCCCGGTGTGGTTCCCCTTTATCACAAACACACCACAACAAGACAATGACCCCCTCCACAGTATATGAATCAATACGGCTAACCTGAGTCAACAGCCTTCCCCCTCTAACACACACACACACACACACATACAGACAAGCCACACTCCAATCAACTGAATGCAACAAACCAAGCTCTGGATCCCCTAATCTTTCATAGTGTGTGTGTGTGTGTGTGTGTGTGTGTGTGTGTGTGTACACGCTCACGCGCGCGCAACAAAAGATCTGCCCATGTGATGCTAACACAAATCGGTACAGTAACACTCTGCAACAAAAGAACAATACCCCCACCTCTCTCCCTTCCATCAACTGCAAGATGCCTATGACAAAAGTGTCTGTCACTACATGTAAACAAACTGTGAAAAAGACTCTATGAATTGAAAGTGGAGACAATAGATGTACTTTTCCCTGTTTATTTTTTTGTTTTGTAACAAAAGAAAATATTTAATAAAAACTAATAATAAAAAGAATACATAAAACATTTCACTGTAGCATCTTTAGAACCATGTGTGAAAACAGACAGCACACACAAATCTTGCATATGGAAGTGAATGCCTCTGTACTATCTTTTTTAAATTTAATTTTTTAATGTACGACTATAACACCACACCCACACCCACCCACAGTGTGACAAAACCAAACATGATAAGAGAGCTTGTAGTAAATACAAATGAAGTCATAGCCCAAGAGACTTATAAAGCAGACAACGATACAATTACCATCACAAGTTGGATAAATGCATTTTTCCAGAAAGGTAAATGTAAGCACCGAGGACAAATTTATTGGTGTAAGAAATTAAGGAAAACCATATTGGTTCCCAAACCTTTCCCAACATGTACAACCTGAAAATTGCCGAGGGTCTTGGTGAACCACTTAATGGTATTTCTACCTGTTGTAGCAATTGTAATGCACTATGCTAGATGCTGCACGATTTACAAACCCACCACAGACCACCTGAATAAAACTTGAGGACCACTCTGCTATGTTCCAACCATATAAACAGACAGAATGAAACAACAACTCAGAGCTATCTTATTTCTGCTGAATTTGCTGGAATATCTTTTCTATCATCGCATATGTTCCGCTTCCCCAGCCCTAGGCCAGAAAAAGCAAAGACTTCCACAAATGATTGCATATTTAAGAATATACTCAGACATCCATAAAAAAGCAATATTGTGAAGCTTGGTGTGTATTTGCCATAGACATCCTTGTAGATCTATTTCTCCTCAGGCTTTATCTCAGCTTTTTGACAACCACAGACCCCAGATCAAGCATGTTCAATGCACTCTCTTTAATTAAACCAAATAATAAACAATATCAGACTCAAGGCCACAAGCAGCAGGCACGCTGGTGCTGCGTGCCTGTTCCTGCTCACCCTTTGCCTTCCTCCCTTTACACAAAGTCGGGCTGTAAATAGTTCGACGCTTGGCCCTATGCTCGGCATCGTGTCAACACAGAACGAGATTCAGATCTGCCTTTCCCGCAACAATTCTCCCTTGCAGAACATCCTGCTAGGCACCTTATTTTATCCTTTGCAGGGCAGGCAAAGACAGAAAGAGATGGAGAGTTGCTCCACTCGCTCTTTCTGCTGGGCTTCCTCCAAGGACGGCCTCGTCCGAAAGCCTCCCCTCCCCGACCCCCCAGCCCAAATGCCAGCTCCCTTCCCGTTCTTGAGGCACTCAAGATCTTGCCCTTCCCCTTCCCGCGAGGACACGCGCCTCCCTTTGCAATCCCGGGGCTGGCAGTCTCGAGCCCCCTCTCCCGCTCGTGCCAAGGCCACCGTGGGCCAGATTCCCTCGCTCCCTCCCCTCCAGTAGGAGGCGCCTCCAGGACAGAGCCAGCTCCCAGCAATGGCACTAACACGGGAGCGGGGCATGGCGCGGAGGCTCCTCTTGCAGGGGCTGCACAAGGGCAGCCGCGCGCAACAGGGCCGCTCGCCCCACGCGCCTCCACCCAGCCGCCCACCGAACCCTCCGGCCGCATTTTACTAGATTGTTTATTATTTTGTAGTGGGCGGGGGAGGGAAGAGCAGCTGGGCCAATCGCGGGAGCCCCCGCCTAGACGGACGGCACCTTCCGAGCAATGCGAAAAGAGGGCGGGCCCCTGTGGTCACGCGCTTATTTAGAGAATGACATCATCCCTTGGCGCGCGGCAACCGAGCTTGGTGGCGATGGGGCGGGGCCGAGGGCGGAGCCAGGGAGTTGGGGCGGGGCCGGAGGGAGGGGAGGGGCTTGGGGGAGAGGCGGCTTGTGCATAGAGCAGGATTGTGGGGAGAAGGAGGTCTATTGTGGCCCGGGAAGGTTCCCCTTCTTCTCCTCGCTGCGCCCAGGGTGGCAGCGCGAGGGCCGAAGAGGCGCGTTGCGAGGAAAGCAAAGGCAGCCGTGCGGACCCCGCGGGGTCCGCAGCTGCAGACGGCGCTGTCGACAGCGCACGGGCGCTGAATGAAGGGAAGCGACCGAGCGGGTTCCTCTGCTGCGGAGCGCCATTTGGGGACAGGCGGGGTTGGGAGAAACCCCCTTTAGTGGGAAGGTCGCCCGCTGACCTTTATGCGCCTTCCCCAGCAGCGCCGAGAGGGGCGCCGTTTTGCGCCTCCCTCGGTGGTCCCGTCGCCGTGTTTGCACCAGCGGAAGAAAGTTAGAGGGCTAGTAACAGGAGGAGGCGCAGAGAGAGCCAGATTGGTCCTTCAAATTACCGCTCCGCCAATGATCGTTTCCGCAAGGAGCCCTTAGAAATACCGCTGACCTATAACGCGGAGATGGCGCAATGGTTCGTCTGTTGTGCAGGCAGTCCTCCCGCGCGGGCTGCTGCAAGCCGTGTTGCTAAGCTTTCAGGGGACGCTTTAATTTGCCCGTTTCGCATTACCTAAGCAAAGCAGGCTGGTTAAACTCTTTCAGAAATGTCTGCGCTTGGAGCACGCGAGGTGCAAATAACTAATAATCACGCTGCAATTAGGGGTTCATTATGTGTCATTATCCCTATTTACCTATGGACAAACTGAGGCAGAAACCGGTTGTGTCGCTTATGCAAGGTCACAAAGGGTGTCACCAACAAGGCAAGGAACAGAATGCGTATATCCTCAGTCTTAGTCTCTTCCTAGCCACCTGAATGCTTTAGGTGACACACTGCTTGGGCAGTTCATTCAGACTAGGGATGGGGAATCTGTAGCTTCCCACCTGGCACTGGAGGACATCTATCATCCCTCACCCTGCAGGCTGGGACTGAGGGCAGTTCTGTCCAATTATAGCTCCAGGGCCTGCTACAAGAAACAAACTGCTTTACGTTGTAATGCCAAATGATTTTCTTTCTACCACCTGGAAAGACCACCTCTGCATCTTCTGAATGGGTAGCTGTGTTGCAGCAAATACAGTAGAGTCTTGTGGTGCCTTAAAGATTAACAACTATAATAGGACCAGGGCTGGCCCAAGACATTTGGGCACCTGAGGCAGATCCAGAGATGGCACAGGGAAGAAGGGGTGGGGGAAGATCTACATCAGGAACAAGGGGGTGGGAAAGACTGACATTGAGATTTGCTGTCCTGGTGAATCCTCCCATCTGAGGCAGACACCTCACCTTGCCTCATGGGTGGGCCGGCCCTGAACAAAGATCTACACCAGGATCTGCTGGCCCTGTAGATCCTACCACCTGAGGCCTCCCCATGCCTTATTTGCAGTGACTATTCACAAAACAGGGCAGGAGATAACATAAATAACATGGTTGGCTATGCTTCTGAAGAGCAATTCCTGGAAACTGTAAGAGGGAAGAGTGCTCTTGCACTCAAGGCCTACTTGTAGGCTTCCCACAGGCATCTGGTTGTAAGAACAGGCTGTTGGACCAGATGGGCCACTGACCTGATCCAGCAGGCTCTTCTTATGTCCTTATGGTGAACTAATTGTTATATGAACCCTCTTATCCTGATTCAAGCCATGGATATTAGAATTGAAACACACGATAATTTGTAATCCAGCTGTTTCACACTGCTCTCTCCCTTTGAAGGTCCTTTGTTGAAGAATAGCCATCTTTAGGTCAAGACAGAGTAGCCTGGGAGGTTGTAATTTCCCCCTGCTGTTTTTTAAATGTTGCCATTTTTGTTGTCAGGGTTGTGTCTATTTACTCTTGTGCACAGAAAATAGGCCTTAGGTAGAATGTAGAAGGGCAGCATCTATGCCACATTGGAAGATAATGAGTGGGTAAATTAACCCTCAGTGTTTTGGCTAACATTGTTCATTAGGTCTTGTACTTGTGTTGCTTCAGTGGATAAGGGGACAGAGTTGGCACCTGGTTTTGTTGTGGCATCTGATCGCGGTGTTTGTGTCTCTGTTTTGTGGCCTCTTGTTGGGTATCTGTGTTAGATCAGGGGGCTGACTGTAAACAATGTAAGCAAGGCTACCACCCCATCTTACAAAAGAGGAGTGCCATTATCCAGGATGGGCTATAGATCCTTGGTGGTATGTTGCAGTGGTTTTCACCTTTTCCTTAAAAAAAAAAAGAAAAAGGCCCTAGGTTCTGCCCCTTTAACAATTATGCACCTCTAAGGAATTTAAAAGGTACAGCATTGCCAGGCATTGCAAATTCATGGGAAAGCTAAACCTGCTGAGTTTCTGTCACTTGTGCAGCATAATACCAAAGCCTCCAATACAGTGGTGCCTCGCAAGACGAAATTAATCCGTTCCGCGAGAGTCTTCGTCTAGCGGTTTTTTCGTCTTGCGAAGCAACCCTATTAGCGGCTTAACGGATTAGCGCTATTAGCGGTTTAGCGGCTATTAAAGGCTTAAAGGCTTAGCGGATTAGCTGCTAAAAGGCTATTAAAGGCTATTAAAGGCTTAGCAGATTAGATAAAGGGGGAAAGCGAAAAAAATCTCTAGACTCGCAAGACATTTTCGTCTTGCGAAGCAAGCCCATAGGGAAATTCGTCCTGCGAAGCAACTCAAAAACGGAAAACCCTTTCGTCTAGCGGGTTTTCCGTCTTGCAAGGCATTCGTCTTGCGGGGCACCACTGTATTATAATTGTTGTTGTACCCATCATGGAAGCAGCCTCACTCAACAACCCATCTTTCAATAATACCTGGAGCCAGATATCTGCCAACAGGCAGACACAATAATATTTTCACATCAATATTGAATTTTGTTTGACTCCCAGTAAACAGCAGTGATATTTTAGGGGCAATGAGTACGACAATTCAAAGATATGAGGTGCGGG